AAGCCCAGCTCTTCGAGGAGGATGGGAGTGTGTCAGACTGCATGAGGCTAATACACGGTGAGGGGTTGGAGTGTCGGTCGCCATCGGATACGGATAGAGTGTGGTGATGCGAGAGGGACCTTTCGCTGCTTTCAGTGGTGGCGGAGGCGCTGGTACTTGCCGTTGTTGTTGTTGGGTATACGTGAAGGCTATCCCTGTTACTCCGGGCTTGGGGGAGTTCGGGACTTAACGCGAGGAATGATGTGTTGGCGGCGGCAGCTTTGGATTTGTTGGTGGAGGGTGAGTGGTCTCTTGAGGAAGAGGGGGATTTTCGGGGTGGGTTGGTAATGGTGTTTGAGGTCCTGGGGGTGGATGTATCTGTGATAGAGAAGCTGGGCGGAATATTCCCGTGCTGACGTCTGATAGCTTCGAGGAATTGTTCTTCTTGTCTGGTTACGGCTATGAAGCGACTACGACGGTTTGTGGGCGGGGGGGATTGGTGGGTGCTACCCTCCCGAGTCCGGGGGCGGGGTTGTGGATGGGGGAGTTGGAAATCGAAAGTTGAGGTGTTCGTGGTTGTAGTGGCTGGTGCAGAGGAAGGAGGTGCAGCTGGTTCTTCTGGTTCAGATATTGTGGGTATCCCATTCGACGGACGATAGTTTGGGGATCTCAGGATAGACGAGTTTGAGCGATTCCGGGAAAGTGATTGTGGGTATGGCTCCGTCGCCTCTGAGGCTCGGGGAGATCGAAAGTTAGCGCTTCGGATTCTAGACACGACTGGGCCACCCCTAGCCGCAGCAACAGCTTTCGCTGTCGCGGTGCAGATCTCTGAACCCTCTTCGTCAAATGTGGCAATGCTATCACGTATTATAAATCCTCGCCGGGCGGGTGTGTTCCCCCCCAATTCCCCCTCTTCGGATTCATCCTCTGAGGAAGAGAGACAGAGAACGCTAGCCTCGTTGAGGTCTGATCTATTTAGAGCAGTCTTACTGCTCTTCCTGGACAGCCCTTCAGAGGCCGAAGCCGATTCTATTATGACAGCCGGGCTGGCCCTACTTCCAAACTCCCAGTCATGGGGAGAGGAGTAGAAGTTGCTGGTTTCGAAACTGAAGAAAGGGCTGAGATTATTGTGGGATTCAGGCGTATATTTCTTTACTGGGTTAGGGGTGGAGGAGAGTATTAGTGTTCGGCTCGAGGCTCTTGAAACTCCGCTCAGCGCATTTGAATTCACGCTAGCCCGATTACTGCTCCCGCGGGAATAGATGGACTCCCGAGGGGCAGGCTGCCTTGTCGCAGGGAGGGTTTGGGTGGCGTATTGGATGGACTTCCTCCCGCCCCCGTTATCGGGTTCTTCATTGTCATCATCGTCGTCACCGCTACTAACTTGTCCCTCTGGCCCATCGAACCACTCAACAGCTTTCTTTCGTGGCCCGGGGCGCTTCCTTTGGAATGGGAATTCGTAAGACTGAGATTGCAATTCACTTTGTCGTTGTTTCTGAAGTTGTTTCAGTTGCAGCTGATCGCGTTGTTCCTGCAGTCTCTGCTCTTCTTTCTGGCGTTTGTAAGACTGCTCCTCTTCCTCCCGCCGTTGTTTCTCACGCTTCTGGCGTTGGAAATAGTGTTCCTTTTCCTGCTGAACCTGCCGCTGAGGCTGTTCTTCTTCCAGCCTTTTCTTGTCCCGTTTCTGGCGTTGGAAAAATGACTCTTTCTCCTGTGGTACCTGTTGTTGCTTCTGCCGCAGTTTCAAATGCTGCTTCCCGTAAAGGCTCTGATCATACAGTTGCGATGGGGATTGAGGTGATATTGAAGAACGATGTTGAAGTTCCTGCTGCTGCTGTTTCTGTTCAAATAGTTTGCGAAGGGCTGCCAGCTCCCTGATACTTGGCGTCTTGGTCAATTTATTCCCAGTATTGTGTAAACTGCCAAGTTTCCACTGTTGCCCACCGAACGAGGTGTCTGACAGCAATGAAATAGGTGAAGGAGACATTGTTAAACGATGTGGAGACAATAACGGCATTCTCGGAATAGCAGCAGGATCGCTGGGTTTGGGGAAAAGGTGTGATAGATCGATCATAGGTGGGCGATGTTTGACTTTTGACGCCGTCTTTTGGGCTTGTGAGTATGGTTCAGAAGGCTCAAGGTCGGCCGGCAAAATGGAATCGGCCAGCCAGTTGGCTAGAGAGCTATTGTTTCTAAATGTGAGATCCCTGGAGGAGTACGATGCCGGTATCTGATTCTGCAACTGGTTGTGCGTCTGTGTCTGAGATTGGGATTGCGCATGTGCCTCTACATGCGCCAGCTGTGAAACGGTTGATGGAAAGGTCAAAGGATCGTGAGATGAGCATAGGGCCGACGGTGACTCGGGCACACGCAGGGTGGGGTTTGCCTCTGCATGAAAGGACGGAAGCAACTCGTGATACTTGTTTTGATACCGGTCACCCAAAAGCGGCGAAGAGGCCCTTTGACGCAATTGCTTTTGGGAATTGATAGCAGCTGGCTCTGTGGCTCGAGGGCTCAAGTTTCCGCTCAGTGCTCCACCTCCTCTTCCTTCTCCACCACCACCTCCTTCTACTCTTCCTTCAATTCCTCCTTCTCTGTTGGCGGACGATAAATGCAATTCAAACTGCCTTGATGTCCGGACAGTCTTTCCGAATTTTCGCCTAAGTTCGTTGTCGACAATGATATTGTTGTTCACCGTATACCTCGGGGCACCCTGGGAATGCTCTGCGAGGATACTATTGAGGCCATAGAGAGGGGATCTGTCGGATTTGCGGGTAATCGATTCGTTTGACGAGGACAGACTGGATAACCGTTGAGGCACTGGCAGTCCACGCGATTGGTGTTGGGACATATCCCCTCGTCTTGATTCCTTTCTTTGCTTTTTCCAGCTAGTAACTAACGTTAAGCGAATAGTAGCCGAGACTATCCCGTTTGCTTTCGTTGGTAAACGAATGGGGAAAAAAGCAAAAAAAAAAAAAAAAAAAAAAAAAAAAAAAAAAAAAAAAACCCAGATGAGCAACGTGTGATGATCAAGAGTCCAGTAACTAGTCGACTGAATCCATTCGAGTGTCCTTTGTTTCTTTTTCCTTTCCCTTTTCTTTTTCTTCTCCGCCTTCGTCTCCGATTTTGACCGCTATTTGAGTGTTATTTTTGACGATATCATCATATCTGAGGCGGTTCAATGAACTGACAGGGCGGTATGGATTAAAAAAAAAAAAAAATCAAAAAATCAAAACAAAGCGTAAAACAAAGATAACGCACGTAGCTGTCGTAGAAATAAATGGAGTAGAAAGAATTAAATCCCCACGGTAATGCGTTATTATTATTTTAATTGGGTTTTGTGCTCCCTACTTCGGGAGCAATCTCCAGGAACTGTCCACGAGTGCCGATCCGACGAACCAGGGTCAGAACTTGGGGGGGGGAAACAAAAAGAAAGCAGTCAGGAGGATACACGGATCGCAGAAAACGTGGCAGCAGGTGCCAGCGGACCGCGAGTGATCCTGGATGCCCCAGTTAGCAGAAAGCAACGAAAGCAGCGAGATATGCTCCGTGGAGAGAAGGGGTTGGGACAACCCGGAAAGCATGCAGAACAAAGACAAAGAGTGTGAGAAAGAGTAGAGTTGCATGACTCCTGAAGATTCAAGGCAGGGTCAAGGTCGACTAAAAATGCCCACTAACAGCGGAAGAAAAACGCCCGCAATTACTGGAATATAACCGGGGCTACTCCATAACTACAGTGTTTCGAAAGGGGTAACAAAAAAAAGGCTGAATCTGCACCTTTATTAGCACCCGGGGCATCTACGCCTCTGGCGGTGGTGAGATGCTGTCAGACAAGCTTGCTGATCGACTTGACGCTGGCTGAAACCAGCGTGGATCTGAGGAGTTGTAGAATCCCCAAGAATCGGCGAAGAGCAAGCACTTCTCCGCAGAACCGAGTAAAATTGGGGGGATAATCACGGCTAAGAGCCTGTGCTAATTAGTGGCTGGCTCCTTTGAAGTTGCTGCTCCTCAAGCGCAAGACATCGCATCGTAATAATCCATCCTTTATTGACTTAGTTATTCCTTGCTAACGTTAACTAGTTCTATCGTAACTAGTCATGCCATCAACGGATGACTTACAGGGCAGATCAGGGGGAAACAAAAACTGTCAACTGGTTTAACTGATGCTCCTCCAGGGCTGCAAGGCTCAACCATTTCCTGTATGGAAATCTCCGTGGGAAAATAATATCCCCCATTGAAACAACTCTTCTCTGAGATCCTCTCTGGAACAGTGGAAACCTGGAGGCCACAAATCATATGTCGTAATTGCAAGGTCAATTACAGTCTCACTTGATATTTGAACAGGTGGAAAGTGAGAGAATTTGAACATATTGAGAAAGAAAAACGATGCTGTGCGTCCATCCTATAAAGACTGCCAAAGCCGTTCAATAAAGAATATTTATTCCTTGAAAGACTTAGTTAATTTAGCTGGGAAGTTGATAAACTATCCAGATTTGCCTCCCACTTCCTTTCTCCGTTGATTTTCCGCTTCTTCCAATAGTTATTCCGTGAAATCTATCTTTCGATATGCCATAACTATCTCTTCTTGCGAGTTACCTGCGACAAACTACCCACCATCGCTGCAGAACGCTGATAACTAGTCACAGTATTATATTAACCTGCTGCAGACTATCCATGGATCCTTGCTACCACCACACTCGCAAGGGAGTAAGAAAAAGCAAAACAGAGCAAAACTAAGCAGAAGGCCTGCGACCCCACCCTTCTCTATCTGCATCAACTCAATAAAAATTCAAAAACTCCGCTCTTCCCGTCCATCCAACGATCCACCAACATGGTTACTCAGGTTAGGACACAGAGAGTCAAGTCCTTCTTACGCACAGGCTCAGCACAGGAAAAATTATGAAGTTCTTGACCCTCCTCTCCTCGCCACTCCCTTCCAGATTCCCAGACAGTGGAAGCTTAGCCAAGTTAACAAGTGAGCAAACCATTCCCCGGTTGTCCTTCTTGACCATCCGGGGTTCCCCCATGCATTTCATCTTATCATACCTGTTCTGGGCTTGACTGTTTTGAGGCTAAGGGGGGTTCATCCGCTCAAAGGTTTCAGGGTCCAGCTTTTGAGATGAAACCTCTCCGCAAGCGTATACATGAATTCAGAGGGCGTGTGTCCGTGTATGTCGTCGTAGGTTGTTCGATCTGGAATCGCATAACCGATTGCCTGTGGCCAGCTTGAAGTTAAAGGTGCGGTGGTTGTGAATTAGTTTCAAAATCCCACTTCCACGGCGCGAGAGAACGGAGTTGATTGATTAATTTGCGGAGTACCTCTGGCCCACTTCCCTGCAAGCTCACCCCGCTTCACTTGCCCAGTTCCTGTCCCATAAGATGAGGAACTATAGTACTCGCATTCCTGTCTGACAACTGCATGAGAGCTACAAATCCAGGGATGGCACGCCTTTGACTGCGAGTTGCTGCTTATGGATACATATAGTTTGGTTACGTGGTTGCAGGGTGTATCGGGGCGTTCCAGAGTTATCTAAAGTTCTTATCCCGGGCATGCAATGCCGTGTTACCTGTTTCAATAGGTTTGAACTTTGTCTAGAACAACCCTCCACAGCTGTTGCTGGGTATCACGTAGCTAACTAAAGAATGAACGTGAGAGCGAGAATGAACATCAAACAGTGTCACATGTAAACATAGCCCAGGAATGTCTTCAATAATAACAATATCATTTCTTCATTGCCATTGCATTGCCTTGCATTACTCCTAGGTTCACACCTCTCACCCACCACCTAGGTTAAATCACATCCATAACGCCGCCAGAGAGAAGTCAGGCGCCTCCGTTTATGAATGTAAACATTGCCCATATATATTTCACAGATGAAGAAAACAAACTTTAAAAAACCGAGGCGATATGGCAAGAAATGACAAATCAGAAACGGAGAAAACAAACCACATCAAAGCAAGAGGACATAAGCTTGAGATCGCTCGATCAGTCGCGAGAGGAAGATGAGGGCTTTATGAACCTGGGGAGGGAGTTGATATGGGTAAGGCACAAAAACATAACCCGTACGTGGAACATGGGAACAAATAACTATTTATACAGGAGAAAAAGAAGGGGGGGAAAGGGGGGGGAAATTTCAGTTATCATCAAGATCAACTATCCACCACAACTTACCGGCCATTAGCAAAGCAACATCCCCCAGAAATACCTTTGCAGAAACACAGCAGATGAAACCTCCGTCAAAACCAATAATTTTTTCTTTCAAACACTCTCACTCCCACCCCCATCCTCGCCCTCACTCTCCTCCTCATTCCAAATCTCACTGGTAGGCTCAAAGATGCTAATCGGACTCTCAATCTTACTCAACTTCATCCTCTTCCGACGGCTCCCTTTCTCCGAATCAGGCATGCTATTCCCGTCGACATAATCATCGTCCCCATCGCTGCCCACCAACTTCTTCCTACGGGTGCCAGAGCCAAAGCCAGAGGCGGGGCGAGCGTCAGGAGTAACCATCCCACTGGAGTCCAGAAGACCCCTCCTCCGATTGCGGTTCTGCGGCGGGGTTTCCGTCTGAGCCCGAGTCCGATGACTACGCAAAGGGTCAAATTCCTCCCTCATCGAGTGCAAGTTCGCGTGAAGCGCATTAAACGCATTTCGAATCTCGAGAACTTCTGGGGCTGGCGGTGTGGTTCTAGCCAGGGTTGTGTATCTACGAATCTTGCTCCCGCGGATACGTTCTTCATAACCCGGACTGCATTCACGGTTAGTTGTGCTCCGTCCGTCATACCGTGATAAGAAGCCCTCTCTGCAGCTAGGAACGTGTTGTTGCATTTTTACCTTTGAATTGGCATCTCCTCGATTGAAATCTCGTCACTCGAAATATCCGATGAGCACCCACCAGGTTTATTTACAGGGTCCCACTTATTAGGTGGAAAGGTGTACTAAAAACAAAAAAGTTGAATATTAGCCATTGCCAGCTTCCTTTCTCTTCCCAACATACAGAAAGAAAACACACATAGTGAGAAATTTTCGCAAGAGGGTTAAAGATTTCCGTGCGAAGTCTCTCCTTTATGTCCGGCGCCTTAGAAATCGTGAATTTCGGGAGTCCTTTCTCCAGGAACCCCCTCGATTTGGAGCCGGGCGTCGCCAGCAGGAAACCCTGCTTCCTTAACAAATCCGTTGTCTGGATGATCGTCTGGCCATTGCAGTCTAAAAAATGACATCCTTAGAAGTGACCTTCCATGTGTAGGAAAGGGGATACATATAGAATACATACTTAGCATCTGAGCGAAATCTCTCACTCTATTCGGATAGCCCTTCTCAATGATGACACTCAGAGCGCGACGGAGTAAGACCAGTGTCCGCATCTCTTGTTCGAGAGCTTTTTCCTGCGGTTCCAGGAGGCAGGTGTAGCACGCATGGGTTTCCGGGATGGCTGGATCTTGCCCGTGCATAAATCCGTAGCAGACGAAATGCTGTCGATTCTCACAGAACGCGCATTCCAGCTGATAAAGCAGTTAGTTTCGTGATAAATAGCTTCTGCCACTTTAAATATTAACATACCATCTTGCGGGAGGCTGCGCTTGATCCACACTCGCAACGGACCGTGCCAGGTTTGTTGGGAAGAGCAGATTCCTTGTCCAGCACGTAATGGTTTCCAGCTACAATCGAACCTGTCTGGTTCCGAGCTCGTAGCTGCGCGAGCTTTACTTGAGAAAGTTGCGCTTTTGGAGCTTTGAGGGAGTCGGGGTTCCTCTGCGTCGGAACGAGATCGCCGTCAGGGGTCGACGTAGCCAGCTAGACGAAATTGAAGTTAGTTAAATTCACACGTAAACCTTGATATATCTAGCTTTCCATACTGGAATCATATTTTGCAAACCCTTCTTGACAGCAATATCTTGAAGAGCCTGAGTAGAGAGCTGGCTGCTTCCTGTACACAGTCGACAATTAGCTTATGTATGCAATGAAAAATAGTCACATGGGCATAGTATCCCAACGAACCTTGAATCGATCGTCCAAGACTCTGGATGGACTCCGATACGTCGCTAATGCCCACATCATCCGCACGACGAAATCTGTCCCCATACTCGATATCTGTCGGGATTTCCGGAATGTAATACGAACTCGGCCCGTTCGTCCCAGACCATTTCAGAGAGGTGACCTTCAACCCAACGCTATTATATCAAAAATTAGCTGCCATTTACTTAATAAAAACTGATCAAACTATATATATACCTGTGAATTCCGGTCTCCATAGCACCACACGACTGAGTTTCCCTAGACCACAACTCATTCTGTGCGAAGAATAAATCGTTATGTTCAGCCGACTTGAATCCAGGAGGATTGTATCCTGCTGGAGAGCCTTCATTGTAGAAGAGATGTATCTCCATATAGCGCTGACCTGGAAAGTGGTATCAGCAATTTTTTGCATAACGCCTGATGATGATATGAATCCACATAGTTTCCATACTGGGAAGAATTGGCAAAAACGAGCTCAACGTAATCAAACGGCGAACGATCATCTCCAGACCATGTCTTGCCGTCTTGGTAGTTTCCATGTCCGCTGTACAGCCAGTTGAGTCGAGAGAGATGCTTGCAAGCCGCTTGCCAACATTCTTGCATCCGTCTGCGTACTTGAAAGTGAACGTGTAGCTCTCAAGAACGTTCGATGATTTGGTCTTGTCCACGAAAATGGTCATCTGCACCGCCTCGAGGTAGTTTCTCTCAAGGGCATCGAAAATCCCACGTTCCTTACAAGAGTTAGTGAATAACGCATAGACGCTGCAAATTGAAAAGGGCAAATAATTGGAAAATCTTGACATACAAGAAAATCAAGCAACCTGTCCGCCTTGGCACTTTTCCCGCGCACGACTATCTTTAAAGGCTGTGCACGCCTATCCTGGGTCGTCCTGTTGAAAATCGATTCACCTGGCCCCAGCTTCCCTGCAATGAAGTCCGCATACGACAGCTGTGAATCCGGTTTGGATAGCTTCAGGAGATCGCGTTCCTCGAAACAGCTTATCGGTAAAAAGTCCCTGATGATATCACTGAGTGGTTAGTAGCGAATATTCTACAGACAAACGCGCGAAACGCGTCGGGTGAGTTTCGTGACTCCTACCTAAGATAAAACAGAGTGCCCAACTAGAGATAAAGGGGTAGAGAAGGGAAAATGTCAGTTTAATAACCCCCCTCTATTTGTCATTTGTCCAGGTGTAAACTAACGGAGGCATGGAGCATAATCTGAACCAGAGCCAGGCTTTGATCTTGTCGCATTTCTTGAGCTTGTTGCTGCTTTTCATTCTGGCCAGGGATTTGCACGACAGATGTAGTCATGCCAGGGTCCCCAGATGCCATTTCGGTGCCAGTGGTCTTCTGGGCGGACCCAGTGAAGATAACTCGGGCCATAGCTTGATAGACTTTGATGAATTTAGGTGTATAACATACAGGTGAGCTAAATGTATGGGAAACTAGAGATGTTGAAGAAAGGGGGGAAGTCTGTGATCGGAACAGGCACTCCCGACAAGTTTCAGTGTTTAGTGAAAGGAGAGTGATGAATGAGAGAGTGAAATATCCCAGGGCTCCAGCAAACTCTGGGATCGGCAAAGGAATGCTGATGAAGGTTGATCCCAAAAGAGGGTTAAAATTATAAAGGGGGATGAAGAGGATGAGAGGACGTTGGTCAAAGGGAATTAGTGAGCTACAAGTAGCTAAGCAACAATTTATGTTGAACATAGAGAATAAACAAGACGATATGAGAAACACATAGCAACGTCAATATCAACATAAAGCCATCTACAATGACAGGTGCCATGAAATATATGGCAAAAATATCAAAAATGTAGCTGAAAGACATTCACTCTGAGGCTGTTGAATGACATTTTTCTTGTTTCAAATAAAGTCTTCTTTGGTGTATGTGTATGCTTATTTTCTATCCGGGACTTTCCAACCCTGAGACATGGAATTTAGAAACCTAAGGAAAGGGGGAAACAAAATGGAAGAAAGACGAAATCATTCTTAGGTTTGATGCTACATCAATCCATTTTCAGTTTAACCGGGATATAAACATATATGATCATTAGATCAAATGGATCGTTGGTTCCCAAAGGCAAATAGACGGTCACTCGCTCCCAGCAGAACACCTGCAACGATGCTGTATTCTCTAAGCAGAGAACGCCGTCCTGAGGTATCTTGAAAGATATCTAGTTGAAGAAAGGATGATATTTGGTGCATTGCTTTAAACGCCTCAGCAGTGATCCATATCTCCGTGGCAGTGTAAGGAGTATAAAATCTTAACAGAGAGATACATCCCGGAATAGTAAAACAGCCCTGCATGTTATAACCAGAGCACATGGTGCGCGGGTATATCCCGTATCACAGGCTGGTAGAGCAGGTAAGGGTATTTGGGGCTTGCTCCAGAAAAATAGAAAATAAAATAAGAGAATTAAAAATTGCCCACAGAACCGCCAGGCCCCTTGTTGATATCAATGGAAATATTCGTAGGACGCAAATGTGCATCAATAAGTATCTCCTAATATCATATATGGAGGAACGATACTCGACACCATATGGGCACATGTATATAAGAGGGCGATATGCCAACACACCCCACATGCGTCGTACACCAACCAACAACGTCTAGGCTGTGGCAAATAGCCAGTCAGCAATGAACAGAGACAATCCATGATAGGATGTGAAGAAGAAGGCAGGGGTTCTCTGTAATTGCTCGATTGGAGTGTCGAAGGGTGACCAGCCTGCAGCCTGCAGCACCCGCAAGGGCTTGTAGCGTTGGTTGGAAAATTTTTGAAATAATTTGAAGCCGATGGCGAAAAGCTAGAGGCTACCTTTTGAACAGTAACTTGCAGGAAAAGATATTAAATATTGACGGTTTGAAATGGGACGGATGTACAGACAGGAAGCTGTTGTGGTTGGTTGTGGTCCAAAATTTTAGGGATCGAAGAGAGGGAATGCCAAGTCTTCTTCACCTGCAAGATTTGCCCAGATGAATGACGACAACGTCTACATTTCATGTCCACCGTACCAGTAACTGGGTAACGGCCTATGACAAGCGGTGGGGCAGATATTAGGTACTCTCAAAACGTGGATCGCAAAACTTACACAGTGGCTCTAGAAGGTGTGATGTAACTAATAGCCTGCCTGCCCTTGTAGCTGAAGTTATTGACACTATCCATTCTTTTATTCCTGCAAAATCCCACTCCCTTTGCCGCGAGGGGCCAATAACCCGTCTAATCTCCACCCCTTGAGATGATAAGGGCGCCCCAGCTCGATCCAGTTGGTAATCAAGGCTAGTCTTTCAGACGCAGTGGATTTTAAAAGCAGCTGTCATCACAATGCCTGTCGTTTTCATGGCGCAGAAAGCAACCACCCAAGACGATGACCACCACAGTCAAAATCGTAACGAGACCACAAAACAAACAATTAATTGACATGATAGCCTCTGTTAAGAAGGGTTGGGGGGGGGGGGGAACTGGGGGGGGGGTATTGTCATGCAAGCAAGTCCCGGTTTCGACATCCGTGTCGGCAGCCGGGGACAAACGCATATATGGCCTGCAGATGGCTCACTTCCAATAAGGGGGTGGGTGTAGGTTGATATTTGCCAAACACTCCCAAATCCGCTTGTTGCTGAAAACTCGCTGTGGCTTACCCTTTCCTGGCCTGACGGAAACAACGGTCATCGATGAGGAGCTGGTGAAGGGATTGAAGTTGTTAACAATGGGGCGAACAACATATGTTGAACGGAATCATAACGCCAGCGAATTTTAACTGCATTCCCGCTCTTGTGCTTGTGGGTGAAAATTTGGAAAGGTTGAGAGAGAATCGAGGCCCCGGTTTGGGCGCTTCAGGTGGAAAAGTCAAGGATTTTATAAAGAGGCAGGCCTCGTCCGCTGCGGGGAAAAGAAGATTTCGTCATGAGATGCACAACACCGATTCGTAGCTTGCTTTCCAAGACTTCCCTGGGTGACAAGGAGCTCTGTAACGGGCGGTGGAGCGGGCTGAGAGGGACATACTACGAACGAGGCCGCTGCATATTTTGGTGCTTTAGGGGGGGAAGTTGTTCTCCAAACCTCTGCTCGAGTAGCCCAGCAGAGCATGAGCAGCTAGGCTAACGGCCTCGATATCGAAATCGATTTGATTGCCCCTTTTCCACGTGCGGGATATGACAACACGCGAGTGCCTGGGTTTCAATTACCTGTCCCAAGGACTATTTCCCGAGATTGGAGTGGAGTCAACTTCCTGGGTGTGGCCCCACACCTGGGACCCAGTGACGGCGTAGGCGCGAATAGGATCAGAGAATTTTCTAACCTCTTCATCACCTTGGGGGATTGTGAAGAATCAAGGGGGGAACTAAAGGCCGGGTTAGCGGACAGGATGGGGGAAGTCAACGGTATATATCCCTAGGCATTCATGTACACTTGTCCGGCGGGCACAGGATAGATGGTGGTGGTGTGATTTTTTGTAGGGGTGACAGTTTGAGAGTTAGGTGCTGCAGGCCCTAAATCTTAACTGACGCCTGAAGATTTAGTGAAAACTAGTCTTGAAAGTGAGGCGTTCCCGACCTATGATGGAGTGACGTAGATCTACCCCCACCCCCTGGGATATTTGATTTTGAAGCATAGATGCGTTTAAAAAACATATAAAATAATAAATAAAATAATAAAATAAAATAAAATAAAATAAAGAAAGAAAGAAAGAAAGAAAGAAAGAAAGAGCAAGAGATTGTGGAATATATTAATTTATATTAATTTATATATCATTTGAAAAGAAGTAGTAAGAAAAGGATAAACCGTCGAGTATGCACCGTACACCGTAAATATAACTGTGTTTACTGGATGTTCTGCAGGTTGTCCCAAGATTGTTTGTTGGTCAGTCTTGCAGGCGACAGGCGACAGGATCATCATCATCACCATTATCATCATCATCACCATTATCATTATCATCATCATCATCATTATCATCATCATCATCATCATCATCATCGGGTCCCAAAGGCTCCCAACCTCAGCCCGCCGTCTGAGACGTTGCCCCGAGACAAGTCGCTCCTCCAGCTCAGGCTCACTCGCTCACGAGCCACACTGGATGGGACCAAAACTCTGCCCCTCGTCCCCCCCATTCTGGCTCCTTCTTTCCCTTCCCCTGCGTGGTCAGCCTTCTTCCCCCCCTTTCCGATTTTCTGCTGCTCGTACCTTCCTACTCTATGCCACTGTTGTTGTTCTTCTTCTTTTTCTTCTTCTCCTGTTCTTAATCTCAACTTCATCTTCATCTCATCTTCATCTCATCTGCTCACACTCCAACCACCCTCAATATCCCTCCACTTCACTAGTCTTCCCGCTCCCCTTCTCTCAACTTTTTGGTTGATTCCAAGCTTTTCCCCCTCTCAACCCCAAGAAAGTAAACACCGAAAAATTAAAAATCTTAGCGGGGTGAACGAAATATCTCCCCTTCCACAACCCACTTCTTCCCAACCACCACCACCACCATCATCATCATCATCATATCTGGTCTTCCACTCCCGCGACTACCTCACTTTTGTCCCTCGTCTACTTGTCACTTGTCCCTCGTCACTCCTTTTCTTTTTAGCCTTTTCCCGTCTACAGCTACCGGCCTCATCTCCCTCACTATTCTATTACGTGTCGAAGCTCTCGTTCGCCTCGTTGAACTGGTAGTTGCCCTTCAACTCGACACGACCTCCGCTCTCCCTATCATGACTTGATCGGAAAACAACTGGCCCAGCCACGACTCGGGAGAGATCTTCTTCTATTATGCTGGGCTCCAAAACTACTTCCTAGGCACACGCACAGAAATAAAAAAAGCGTGTGTGTATGTGTATGTGTATATGAGTACTTGTTGCGTGGACGGGCTAGACACATTTCCTCCTCCCTTCATATTTATCACCACCCATCTACTCCTCGGTTCACCTCTTTGCCATTATGTCCTGCTCAGCGGAGACTCCCAACGACACCGCAGACCTCACCTCGAAAACTCAGACCCAGAACACGTCCCCGTCACCGTCCCCGATAGAGCCTCCCAATCCCCCTGCCACATTTCAGACATTCCCATCTAGTTTCGAACTGGCTGGGGGCTGCCATAGCAAGATGGACTATCTGGAACATCTTCCCTCCAACAGCTCAATCGGCCAATTTTCTTTTGCTCCCGCCACCCAAACGACCGTCGTCACGACCACTACCACAACAACTACCAACTTCCCTCCACTAGTCATGAAAGCACCTGGTTCTTCAAAACCTCTCGACCCCAATGTTTATCCTCTAGCGTCTACCCCGACTCCAGATTCCATAAGAGATATCCATTTTAAACTTGGGGATACGTCCATCATATTCAACGAGACAGAGGACTCGTTGGCTACTTTCGACAAGGTAAAAGTTTAATTTATTTATCTATTATTGACTCCTGCTCTGTCCATTTTTCATCAAGAAGACGACATCTGGGTCCGTGAAAATGTTCCAGCTGCTGACGCGTAGAACAGTTGAAAGAGCAGCGTGATAACTTGAAAGCTTCTAATGGTCTTATTCAATCCGTCTCCACATGCGACTCCCGCAAAACCACGCTACCTAGACGCTCACGTTTAGGACAAGATCCCCCCCATCAAACATCCCCCATCACATCAAGGTTAAGACGACGTCCAGTATCACCCATTTCTCTTCCGGAATCCTCCCATGTAATGAAGCGAACGCGTTCTTCTTCCGCCTCCCTTGGAACAAACTCCATCACTCGCCGTCGTAATGCTCAGTCACACCTGGACGCTGCTCGGCTTCACAAAGACGTTGGTTTGGCTACGCCAGAAACGGAGCACGGCAGCTTCAATATTGGTAACGATCAGAACAACCGTCGACAAATATGCAGCATAGGGTCCTTTGGTAAATCTGCCTTCGAACACTCCCCGACATCTTTGTCCCAAGAGAACCAAAATCTCCTCAGTCCTGTTCCCCAATCGTACAAAGAAAACGTCAGGTTTGTTGGTTCTCAGATCCAGAAATCACCGCTGTTTGAATGTCGGACGGGATCAAGTGCTGAGGAGTTCGCCTGTCAGTCGACGCTCGATAATCATAATCATAATATTAGTTATGAGAATAATTCAAAACCGGGTGATGATGCGGGACAGCCTCCCTTGAGACAAAGTCGCAGACACTGTTCGGCCGGAAATCCAACCTGGAGAGGGCCCCAAGCGCCTGCAAGACGTCTACTGCCAGTTGATAGTCTTGCTGCCCAAGACATGTGCCTTCCCAGCCCAAGTCTTTCTCCTGTCACAGCTATGAATGCTCAAAATCTCGATACATCTTTTGACTCTGTTGACGAGCAAGAGACTGACACGGATTCCAGTTTTGACCAACGTTCGAAGAAACAAAAGGCTGACTCTGACTTAAACCTCACCGTGGACCTTTTTCGGAAAGAGGAAGGCTATGGTGCGGCTCTGCCATCACCCTCTTTGTCGTTAATGGACATGCCTCTAATGTTGGATTACTTTGAGTCTGTCCCGGATAAGCTCAAAATGTACATGATGTACCAGTTGTTGCGAAGATGCCCGAAGCCTACATTACGCTTTGTCGCTGGAGTTGTTAATCCAGCTCTCAAATGCGATTTCTTGGCTCTCCTACCCCTGGAACTCAGTCTGAATATTGTAAAATATTTCGATGTTAAGACTATGTGTCGAGCTTCGCAAGTTTCGAAGAAATGGAGACACATCATCAACTCCGATGAAAAATCATGGAAGGAACTTTTTGAGTCGGATGGATATGTTTTGCCTCGAGGAGAACTACAGCGCGCCATCGAGGAAGGTTGGGGATGGCAGTGTCCGAACCCGGGTGACGATTATGAAAAGGATCTTCGTTGCTCTACCTCCCTTAAATCTGATAGCGAGAACTCGATCGAATCTACCTCATCCTTGGCATGGCTATCGTCTCGTAAGACGAGACAAGCCCTAAGTCCCCTGTCGGTAGAATCCCGACGACCAAAACGCAAAGCAGCAACCAGAGTCACCAGTCGGAAGCTTACAAAAAGGAAATCTGGAGTATCTGCTCAATCCAATCGTCTAGAACCTGTTAACTGGATGGATAATATGGTCGCTGCAGAGAGCCCCTATGCGGCTGCAAACGCAGCTGCACTAGCAGTTCCTTACCCGGATGTTGGACTTTCATCACTCCGAAGCTTGCACCTATACAAATCCCTCTACCAAAGGCACTACCTCATCCACAAAACATGGATGCGAAATGACATCAAACCGATGCACATTGCCTTCCGCGCCCATGATCGTCATGTCGTTACGTGCCTACAGTTTGATACAGACAAAATCCTCACCGGAAGCGATGATACCAACATTAATGTGTATGATACGAAAGCGGGGGCGTTGCGAGCAACCCTAGAGGGCCACGAGGGAGGCGTCTGGGCGCTAGAGTATCATGGTAACACGCTTGTTTCAGGATCAACTGATAGATCGGTGCGTGTCTGGGACATTGAATCTGCCGAATGCACGCAGATTTTCCAGGGACACACGTCTACTGTGAGATGTTTGCAGATATTAATGCCCGTCGCAATTGGTAAGCTGCCAGATGGATCGCCAAACATGATGCCAAAACAGCCATTGATTATCACTGGATCCCGCGATTCCAACCTACGACTTTGGAAACTTCCTCAACCAGGCGATCCCAAGTTTTTCCAAACGAGTCCCGACACTGAAAACCCGTACTTTATCCGTGCCCTAACTGGACACACCCATTCAGTCCGCGCCATAGCTGCTCACGGGGACACACTGGTTAGTGGCAGCTACGATTGTTCAGTGAGGGTGTGGAAAATATCCACCGGCGAGTCTGTACATCATCTACAAGGCCATAGCCAGAAAGTCTATAGCGTCGTCCTCGACCACAAAAGAAACCGCTGCATAAGCGGCTCCATGGATAGCATAGTTAAAGTCTGGTCACTCGACACCGGCGCAGTTATATATAACCTCGAAGGCCACTCGTCGCTCGTGGGGCTTCTAGATCTTCAACAGGATCGACTCGTGTCCGCAGCTGCCGATTCGACATTGAGGATCTGGGATCCAGAGACGGGGAAGTGCCAGAGCGTATTAGCCGCGCACACGGGTGCGATTACGTGTTTCCAGCATGATTATCAGAAGGTGATTTCTGGGTCGGATCGGACGTTGAAGATGTGGGATACGCGGACGGGCAAGTGTTTGAAGGATCTATTGACAGATCTTAGTGGAGTTTGGCAGGTTAGATTTAATGATCGCAGGTGTGTGGCTGCCGTGCAGAGGGATAGGTTGACATATATTGAGGTGTGTACTTTACCCCTCTCCCTTCCTGTCTTTGTATTTTTTCCTTCTCTTTTCTTTGAAGGTGATTTGTTTGTTTCATGCGCTAACTGTATTGAAACAATGCAGGTCCTTGACTTTGGTGCATCTCGCGACCGAGTTCCTAGTGAACGTCTCGGAAAGAGAATCGTTGTTGATAAAAATGGCGAAGAGATTGGGGATAATGAAGGTGGAGCTGAACGGGAGGGTTCGGATGACTAGACAAGACCTGACCTTCAATCTGTCTGTTTGTCACTGTCTTACGCTTCGAATTTATTGCGGCTTTTCTTTTTCCAAGGGGGAAACGCGTTTTATGTTATGCTTTCTCTTTTTCATTCTCATACCTACAGTCCAGTATATTCTACATTACATTCTGCGATTCATTATTGACCCCTTTCCTCTTGATCAATGGTTTCGTTTATTTTCCTTTTATCTTTTTCTTCTTTTTATTTTATTGAACATATTCATTACATCGTCTTTATTGTCTGTTGTCAGTCGCCGGTTAATCTTCCGAATCCATCATGATGTGGTATGATATTCTGCTTTCCGGACCACCCCATTTACACTTTCCGGACCATGGGGCATCTGGGATAGGAGGGAATGAGGTTCGGTTCTCTTTTTTCCCATTTTCCTTATTTTTCCCCCTTTCGTTGCTTGTGAGAGTAGTACATAGCGTGGATTTATCTTTTGCCCTCTAGTGTTTTTCCTCTTTTACTCTCACCTTCTCTGCAACAAAAAGGGGCATGTAGTACACGCGTCGGGTTGTGGAGGAAAAGCTTGTGGGGAAAGCTCCAGACCGGAAGACACGGAGTAGTGGAAATGTGTATATCATCTTATACAAAAGCCCTTTTGTTGATCGACATTGTCTCTATTTCTTTTCCGAAGGAGAGGAAGAATATGTTTGTGTTTATTTTATTGTTGCTTTTTTCAGCTTTTGTTTTTCTGGGATTATTGTATATCTACAGTGAGTGTGATGCTTTATTTTCTTCCCATGTTTCTCTTTTATTTCTTTCTTTTTTGTTTCCTTTTGCCGAGGCATGCAATGATACCTCTCTATGATATTGTGTTGTGGTAAGTGGCAAGTTTTTATGTTTTATTATTTGTTAATTTTGTTATTATTAAAAATATATATATTCTTCGTTGTTTTCTTTCTCCTTAGTTTCTCTTGTTATGAGGTGCTCTGAGAATTAAGCTCTCTCTTATGATAACTTCTTATGATTATATTGATCAAGTAGTATTTCCAACTTTCCGTTCTTGATCTTGTAGAGAATTATATACGTGTAATTCTGCATATACTATTTGCAAGGCTTTGGAAATGAGATCATGCCTCTTGTGGTTAAATATGCTTTCTAGTAAGTGTTATAGGTAATCAGTCCGATCATTCAGTGTGATAGAGTTTTAAAACATGTGCAGAACAGAGATCTTTACATTTATATAACTATATTACAAGAAAGGGACAGGCGAATAAGATATCTATTGTACAGAAATGAAAAGTCGGAGAGGGCAGGGCTAACTTTTAACAGAAGTATACGTAAGTATGCGTGCGGATTTGGCACATGAAGACCAGAAAGATAACATGATTCCCAAAACAACCAAAAAAGGCCCCGATTAAGCCAGCAAACCAGAGGGGATCTTAAAAATAAAGGTGATGTGGGTTAAGCAGATGGTTAAAATTATCCCGACTGCCTTCTTTCTACTCCAGTTCTTCCTCTTCTTTCCCCCATATACCTAAACATGTTGTTCTCCTCCAACCCGACCGCCCGGAGAACCGCCCACCGAATCGCATTAATCCCCAAATAACTTTCATACTCATTTGTCACCCGCGCCGAGCAGGCAATAATCTCCCCCAACGCCGGAACCCCCAACTCAACGCCGCCCTTCCCCACGTCTCGATCGGGCTGCACCTTGTGCAGAGTCCTCTCAGCGAGAGATGCGAGTTTTTGAATTTTGGCATCCGTGATACCGCGGGGGACGCGTTTTGAGTTGCCCTTGACGAGGACGGAGTCGGCCTTTGAGAGGATGACTTGGTGCGGGATTGCGGTGGAGCGGAGGAGGGAGAGGATGTCGCGGTCGCCGGGTTTTAAGCCGTGGTGGGAGTCGATGAGGACGAAGGTGCGCCGGAGTCTGGGTTGGTGTTGGTTAGCGGGAGATTTTTTTATTTTTTATTTTTTATTTTTTATTTTCTCTTTGTTGGGCATTCCCCTTTGAATGCAACAACAATATATAATTGAAGAAGAAAAAAATCTCACTGCTTCCTCTTCGTCAAATACTTAATAATCTCCTTCCCCCACTCCTCATGACTCCCCTTCCCGTATCCAGGCGTATCGACTAGGACAACCTGCGCCTCCCCGGCCTTCCTCCCGCCAACCCCATACGCATTGATCGTGTGCGTCCGCCCGATCTTCGACGACGTATAGCACACGTCCTGGTCCATCAGCGCATTCAGCAGCGAACTCTTGCCCACGTTCGATCTGCCCAGGAACACCACCTCGGGCACATTGGACATGGGTATGGTGCGGAATTCACTTGCGGTCCACATCTGTATGGGGGAGTGTTTGGAGGATTTGAAGAAGCTCTCGGCGTGCCATAGCTGTTGGCCGGAAGGGGGAGAGGTATCATAGTAGAAGGCGTACTCTTTTAGGGTTAGTTCGGAGGGTTCGGGGTATTTGATGATGTAGTCCGTTTTGGGTTGGTTGATTGTTTGTCTGAGGAAGGTTTTGGCTACGTTTGGGCCTGTGGATGTTGCGAGCTTTGAGGCGGCGAAGGCCATGGTTGTCTAGGTTTCCCTGGTGTTTATCTTTGGGCCTGTGGTATGTCTAGGGGGGGGGGGGGGGGGGGTATGCGGAGGTACCGGGGAATTCGGCATTGGGGAATACGTAGAGTATTTATGGGTTGGGATTTGTCAACTGGTTGTTATAGTTTCGATGCGTTGGAAGCTCAAAATTATGCCGATGAAGATGACCGGGTTATTGTTTTGCCGGGAAGCTCTCTTCAACCTTCGTCCGTAAGTTCTTGCTCAATTAGCGCGGTCTCAATTAGTGTATATTATATGATTTCTCATTGAATTATTAAGGTAACTTTCGTATTACCGTGTATTAAGGTTGTCACTATTAGATTGGGTAATCGCATAGAATTCCTCCCAACACCAAGTATTCAAACAGAGAGGCATATTTTGACATGCTGAGCAACCAGAATATGATCTTGGTGTCTGTTTATGTTGTTGCTGACCTAGCTTTTGTTTATACTGACACCAGACACAAACTGATTGCTTTGGTAAAGCAATCTGATTCGATCGTTGGGGTGAATTCAAAGAGTTGTTGGTAAGCCGTTCATGAAAGCTTATATGAGAAGGCTGGTTCTTTTTGGAATACTCTGCTGGTTCTTATATATATATTGAAGCCTATAGGCATTGACTGGTGCAGAATCAATAAGCCAGTAGAAAATAGGGAGCCAGGTTTGATAGTGATTCTATGGCTAGTATATGCTGTGCAGAACTGATTTGCTAGGCCCACCCCATTCATCTTATGATTATAGTCATCTATAATTTGAATTTTCAATCTCTTTTGTGGCTGACCTTCAAAGATCTTCTGTACAATTTTAGCATTTGTTGAGAGCTCTCCAGGCCGCTTTCGAGTACGCTCAATAAAGGTGTCCAATGAATGGATTGTAGTCAGTGCTAATACCATATTATTATCTTGCCAGGCAAGACAGAGAACATTCTCATTCTCAATGGCATGCAGAGTATTCCATGGAATAGCTGCCGTATGCTCTCTAAGTTCAGATAGAAGAGATGGAGCCTGATTTGGTCGAGTAGTTCCACAAGCACCATATCCCTTCTCACGTAGTAATTTGAATACAGCAATGGAGGTAAAGTAGTTGTCAAGGTAAACTGAGTAAGGAGTTACCTGCTGAATGACAGGAATTTCAGTGCTTATAGAGGATTCAATGGCGGGCTCAGCAGGCAGCTTAGTGGTCAATAAAGAGACCCATTGCTTGCTATTTCTTAGGTGTCTTCATATGGCCTGGAGAATCAATTAATTAGCTGGGCCATAAGATTTAATTCTTATATGGAGTATTACCACTGGGTTTGATAGGTTTTTTGGTGGATTCCATATTGGTTGGCAGCTTCAAACATGTTGAATTCTATACAACATCCCGCCAGCTCAAGGAGGAATCGCAAACCAAGTGACCAATTATCATCCATATAAACTTTGATGGGATCTTATTGGTTACTGAATGGCGCCGGTGCAAAATTCCATACACTAATTGAAATCACGCTAATTGAGCAAGAACTTACGGACGAGGTGTTATCAAGGCAAACACAGCAAACGAGACAAACAGAGCAAACGGCAACCTGCGCCGAATGCGGTCATTTCGCTCGTCTTTCCCTTCTTCTCAGTCAACAACACAACACTCACCACTCCTGGGATTCTCAACACCGCCCAACAGTCCCCGAACGGTACATTGTTGTCACATATCCCCGGCAGCTAGACGCCATGATAAACGCTGTACTGGTCTTTAATAACAGTGGTCAGCCTCGACTGACCAAATTCTACACCCAGCTTGTATAACAACCCACTATTCCCTAGCACCAAATTACATCGCTGTCAACTCAAATCATCCTAGATAATAACCTCCTCGTGTATTCAGCAATTACAAACTCAACTAACCCTTCTTTTGAAATCAGGACACACAAACCCAACAATCCCTCATCGCACAGATATACAACCTCGTCTCCCAACGCCCCTCATCAGCCTGCAACTTCCTCCCCCTCCCCCCTTTGCTCGCCGAAGGCGCCAGCTCCAACTCCTCCAACGGCTTCTCCGATGCCCCCACCCAAATCACCTACAGAACCTACGCCACCCTCTCCTTCATCCTAATCTCCACCTCCACCGAATCTCCCCTCGCCCTGATTGATCTGATCCAAGTCTTCGTCGAAGCGCTGGACCGCTTGTTCGAGAACGTATGCGAGCTGGATCTTATATTTGGTTTTGAGACGATGCATGCGGTGCTTGGCGAGATGGTCGTGGGCGGAGTTGTGGTGGAGACGAATCTTGAGCGGATTGTGCAAGGTGTTAAGAGTCAGGAGGGGTCAAAGGGGAAGCGGAAGGCCGTGGAGGCGGGGAGCACGGCAATTGGAAGGGGGGGGGTTCCAGGGCTGGGGGTGCCTTGGAGATGAGGTAGAGGAAGAAAGTATCATGGAGGAATCTTGCTTCGGTGATTTCTGTTTCCTTTTTAACATACCCATGGATGCCCTAATGGCATGGCATGGCATGTTTTCTGAGTCTGAGCTACGGATCTTCGGCGTTCGGGTGGTGATGTTTATAGAACCGAGGTCATGAGTGCATGTGAGAGACATTATACCCCCCCCTTCTTTTCCTATCTTCCTATAACTTTCATGGATGCTTTCTCCAAAGAGTCAAAGGCGTGTTAGGTGTGATTATTATGAGAATTACTCCCCACAGAGGCGGATAATTCTCTGATTCCAAATATGATCATCTCATCCTCTACGATCATGCTCCTTTTTATATTTTGTATGTACATCTAGTCCATATGTTGCTTCACACACACACACACACACACACACACACACACACACAGTGACTATTACATAATCCTACCTGTCATACCTAGTTACTCGCGGAAGTTCCATGTGATGGCCGGTTGAGTACGGTGTACATCGAATGTAGGTGGACAGAGACATATGGGAAGCGCCGGGCGCTGGCCCCGCACGGGAAAGGCTTGACTAGGTCGGGTAGCCCAAGGAATTAACATGGGCTCTTCGCTATTGAATTGCATTATGTGTTCCAGTAGTGTTTGATAGAGAGCACGTGCTAGAAACAAATCGCCAAATTGCCACGAACTCACCTGACCATTGAGTGAATGATGGATTTCCATCATGGGTATTCACTGGCCGATTGGGACTAGGCCATGTGGGTTCGTGGCAAATTTGGAGATTCATTTTAAACACGTCCTCCGCATTAAACACGACTGAACACATTTCAGCATAATAGTAATTATGTCGAGTTCCCGTTTCCCCCGATTGTTGTTGGCACTATGTACATGCCACGGTGGCACTAGTCCTGAATAGGAACAACAGCTTAGTTAGAAATATTCCATGTGATTAGGGCAACTTTCGCTTAAATCATTCTACGCTAAGCCCTTTTCAGTAATAATGCACATCCCAACATCCCTCAAAACCGCAACACACGATTTCCTTTTCTTCATCCCTCTTCTCCTTGTCCCCGCCAGCCAACGAAACCACGACAACCTCGACCAACGCCGATAACAATGGTAAGATTTCAAATTCCAATATGACATGTGAATGATTCCTCGAGCCTCTGCAATGTTTTGTTGATGACCTGAGTGTCTTCGACAGACAGAGCATGGCAAGCTCGATGAAGCCCAAAATTTCCGTTGTCCACCACCAGCCTCTCGTCGAGAATGGTTGTGGATGGCGATGACTTGGCTTGAGTAGTGAGCAGAGCAGAAATGCGAAGCCCATCGTCTCTGTAGAGTTCAAAAGAAGATACAGAATTTAGCTGAACAAGATTCGCTGATGTTCTTCTTTTTCTCAATGACAGCCTCCCAAAGGAAAGAAAGTCGCGGCCGCCCCCTTCCCCCAGGGAAAGGCTGGCTCTAAGAAGGCTCCCAAGGTATGTCAATTTCTTCTTCTTTTCCTCTCAGCCAAAGTAAAGTGTCCTCAGAACTATGTGTTCAAATCACTGACTCAAAAAATCTGCAGAACCCTCTTATCGAGAAGCGCCCCCGCAACTTCGGCATTGGCCAGGATATCCAACCGAAGCGTAACCTTTCGCGCATGGTGAAATGGCCTGAATACGTCCGTCTGCAGCGCCAAAAGAAAAATCTTGAACCTCCGCCTCAAGGTCCCCCCCGCGATCGCCCAATTCCAAAACACTTTGGACCGCAACACCGCCGCCCAAGCCTTCAAGCTTCTGAACAAATACCGCCCAGAATCCAAGGCTGAGAAGAAGGAGCGTCTCCTCAAGGAGGCCTCCGCCATCGAGGCCGGCAAGAAAAAAGAGGACGTCAGCAAGAAGCCATATGCTGTGAAGTACGGTCTTAACCACGTTGTCGGCCTCATTGAGAACAAGAAAGCTTCTCTCGTTCTCATTCCCAATGATGTTGATCCTATTGAACTCGTCGTCTTCCTTCCCGCCCTGTGCCGCAAGATGGGTGTTCCATATGCCATTATCAAGGGCAAGGCTAGACTCGGAACTGTCGTCCACAAGAAGGTAAAGACAAAGCTAATCGCCCTGGAACTTATCATTCTTAAAACTCTCCAAAAAAAATCATTATATTACCTATGATACTGATTTTTTTTTTTTTTTAAAAAAAAAAAAAAAACTATAGACTGCCGCCGTCCTTGCTCTGACCGAAGTCCGCTCTGAAGACAAAACTGAGCTCTCTAAGCTTATCTCCGCCATCAAGGAGGGATACAGCGATAAGTACGAGGAGAGCAAGCGCCACTGGGGTGGAGGTATCATGGGTGCCAAGGCCAATGCAAGACAGACCAAGAGACGCAAGGCTTCCGAGAACGCCATCAAGCTCTAAATCCTCTTTTCTTTAGCCCCATCGCCCATGGTTACGATCTTTGATTAAAAATGATAAAATCACTACAGAAAATTAATTCGGTTCGAAGTTAGTTTTGCATGGCGTTTCCTCCTTACCTCCATATCTTCTTCATTTCATTTCTTTTTTTTGGTCCTCTCTCTCCATGGTGATGGGGGAACTGGCCATGAAGGCACTATAGGTTAAACCGGGGAAGAAGAGGCAAAGGAACAACGAGCTGAATACCATCTTCTGAACCGAATGAACATTAACCCACGCATATCGGTCCTAACTCTCTCTTCTCTCTCTCCCTCTGGTCCTTTCTCTCTCCAATGATGTATGAATTAAGCATATACCCGTTGGGCGCATCTTCCCATTAAGCAAAATCAATTAACACGTGAACCTCATGATAATTCCTGTCATGACAGTCTTCCTCAAAGTATCTCCTGCGTAGCTATTTCTAGTGCCCTTCCGAGGTCAATCCATGGTTGGTAAAGCGATATCGTTCAAATCCCGAGCATCTATTTCAACTCAATATTCAGGTCTTTTTGAGCGCTCACATTACAACTATACAGAATTAGTTATTTTCAAGTATTTCCAACGGAGAGTAAATTGCCCAAAAATAATCATGTTCTCATTCGCTATATATCCAACTCTCGTATACATTATTATCCTCCCCTTGCCAAGCCATCACCCGCCCTCTCAACTCACACCAACAAAACACCCAAGATTCTATCATAAGAATTATAATGTAATGTCGATAGCAATACTACTCTCTTCCCCAAAGATGAAAACTGCAGGAGTTGGAGGTAGCCAACAAGGGTAAAGGGGGAAAGCAAGTCCAAAACGCGAACAGACGCGAACATTCAAATCTTGACAAAAATATTGTGAAGGAGGAGAATTGCTTGGCGGAGGACCTTAATGAGAGGAAGTTGAGAAGCAAAAGAAGGAAAATAGACCACCCAAGGAAAAAGGGATAAATCGACAAGGAAAAGAATCCTGGCATTAAAAAAAAAACCCCAAAAAAAAAGGAAAAGGGAAAAGAGAAAAAACTATTAACAAAAACCGCGAACAAAATCAGCCAAAACAAAACCGAAAAACAATCCCTCGTTCCATCCCATCAGAGCACAATGTGTAAGTGAGTGGTCGATAGCCCTGGGTTAGATTTTATATCAAAACATTTTTTTTTTTTTTTTTTTGATTTCATTGAATTATGGTTGTCCATTTTTAGGTCCTCCTACGCCTTCCTCCATGCCCCTGACGTTCCAGAGCCAGAAACAGAAACAAAAGGGAGAGAAAAAGAGCACTCAGGAAACTCGCAGTCAGAGTCAGCAAAAAGGATTTGAAAGAGAAAAAAAAATAATAACAAATAAAAGGATGCAGAAGAGATATAAAAATAAAAAGTTGATTTGGGGGTATTGACAATGTTCAACAGGACGAAGCGTAGGAGGGAAAGAGAGAGACAAAAGGAAATAAATGAAAAAAAAGGAGGCAAAGGAAGATATATAAGAACAAACAAATGAAAAATGAAAAATGACAATGACAATCGTTAAAGAGGAGAGCGATGAACAGCAAGAGTTAAGAAAGGGCTATATATATAGGGGATGACTAGCCGACGGGAAACGGATTATTATCTCTCTTCCCACACTGTGGAACGGACTATGTTGGCGCCGGTCGAGAAAGTCCTTGCCGTGCCTAAAGACATCAAAATAAACGCACAGTTAACCGATATCCGTTATAAAGTTAATTTTTAGAAAGAAACATCGCGCCCGAACAGACACGACGGATGATCTAAAGAAAAATATCACAAAAAAATAAATAAATTAAAAAAAAATACCTTCATCTGCTCAATCCTCGCCTTCAACTGACTCGTAACCTCCGCGGCCCTCTTCCAATTCTCAGCCGGCTCGCCTTGCGATATCGACGCGGACGCAGTCGTTAACCCATCTCCGCTCGACCCTGTCCGCCCACCAGCAGACATCCTCGCCGGACTAGTCCTGCCAGACGTATACGATGAACCAATAGGGGGGCTAAGTTTTCTGCGTCCCGCATACCCACCACCACTTAGACCAGGCGATTCGAGACCGTTAGTGTTCTCCTTTTCCTCACTGGGGCTGGCAGACATGTAACTCTTAGGTCGTGCGCTGTCGAAGCGGGAGCCGAAATGTAGACCGGACCGCGAGGGCGGGCCGTTCATATTACTGTTATTATTATTATTATTGTTGTTGTTGTTATGCCCATTCCCGTTGTCCTGGTATATACCGCCATCTCCAATTCCCATATTCAGGCCCATATCTGGAAGAGTAGTAGAAGCTGGCGGACTTGAAGCGCTGGCCCGCACAGCGCGGAGACAATTCCCTCTTCAACCTGTCGATTTCCCTCTGCTGTTTCTGCACATTCTGCTCCGCCGCCTCTGCGTCGCTACGTGCTCGAACCAGCTGTGTCTCCTTGGCTTTGATACTCAACACATCTCTCGTGTGGTCTTCTATAAGCTGTGCATTTTGATTTTGGAGCTCGTTGATCTCGGACATAAGTTTCGTTCGCTCGGATTGTAGATTCTCTACCATCCGCGAATACCGCTCCTTTTCTAAGCGGAGTTCTTCCAATTCAGCGCGTTCGATCGCAGACATGCCGGCGCTTACTGACACCGGGGGGGCGTATGATGGTGCAGACTCGGAACTTGCAGGTGCTGTTCGTCCAAGTGAACGGCCCGCAAGGCCCCGATTACCCATGCCAAACTTAGGTCCTGGAGTCGGAGCGGCGGCGGCGGCAGCAGCAGCAGCAGGGGAGGGATTTTCTTCAAAAGGTGGTGAGACAACTCTTCGCGGAGATGCAGGTGCACCCCCGGGCCCCGCGAGCTTTCTTCGAAGTTTAAGCCCAGATCCAGGTGTTGTCATGCCTCCGGCCTTGGGAAGGCCAAGTTTTGAAGGAATTGCCTTTTTCGCTGTAGTTGGCACTGGGGCGGGTTCTTCTACGGGAGCCGCAGCGGGAACCGGTTTCTTGACTGCGCCCCGCGGGTCTCTTGGCAATGGGTTTCTTTGCTCCTGCTCCTGGAACACTTAAACCCTTGGGAGGGCCAACGATGGGTTTTGGGCGCTCCTTGGCTTTAACCTCTGCTGTATCGAAGAATTCCTTTATTTTTGATTTTCGGATGTCGTCCAGGCCATCTAGGTAGGGACTCATTGCCCTTTCGCCTATGATCTTCATCAAAGTTCCCAGGATCTCAGCACCACCGGACCGAGTGGCTTCGCTAGATTCCGTCAGTAGCCTTGTAGAGGCATCCGCTATCGACTTGGTTTCTGGCTTTGACGGAACATCCCTTGTTGTTCTGAGGCAGCGGATCAAAAACTTCAAGGTCTCCTGCTTGACTTGTGGGTTTTTGTGTTTTAAGAACTCTATTATTTCTTCAAGACAATCTGAAAGGCTAGTTGAAGCGAAGACTGCATCCAATGCAAGACCAAGGGCATCCGCAACTGATTGTTTTTTCTCTTTCAGGCGTTCCAGGATAGGTGCTAGAATAGCAGGCTTGTACTTGGCGAAACTTTTGCGTAATCCCTTAGCAAGAGCTTCTATAGTGTTAGCAGCGACAGTCACAACAGCGACGTTCGCATCCTTCATGCATTTCGCCAGCGCACGTATTATTTCGTCAAATTGCCCGTCCTTGATCCTGGGAACGTTCGCAGCGGCGAAGAGGGCATCGAGCGCTTCTTTACGGTCCTTCCATTTCGACGACGCTAGCTTCTCGTGGAGATCCTTGGGCGCCTGAGCCAACACGTCAACTGGCTCTGCAAGATCAAACACATCAACTTCTGCCTCCATTTCGTCTTCTCCTCCATCTCCCGCACCTGCATCCCCATCCCCATCACCTGGTTGGCTGCTCGCTGCTGCCATCACTTCTTGCTGTGCTCGTGTAAATCGTTCCTGTTTCGGTGAAGGTTCCTGCTTAACAGCTTCGAACAGCTTTTCTAAATCTTGTTGTTGCACTGGTTTTAAATCCCCCCAGAACAACGGTTTCATAGCGTCTTTGAGCCATCTGTAGAGTTCCACGGTTAAATTTTGCGCCTCTGCTCGAACATTCTTATCTGCATGAGCAAAAACCTTTGGTAGGGCTTTCAAAACTGGCTTTGAGTCGACGATCTTGCAACCGTAGTTGTGAAATACGGCTGTCAATGCGGCGAGAGTTGGTGCGATTACCTTAGGTAACTTGTGGGAGAGGGCGGGGATGAGATCTTCGACGACTGAATCCGGCCTATCAAGTTCAATACAGAGCAGTATAGCCTCTAATGCGCTGGCTTTAGCTGCAGGGCGAGTCGACGGTAATCCCTTTTCAGTAATAGCGGGAATTGTGGTTCCCCGAGTCCTGGTTATTTTTTTCATCCAACGTCAATATACCGATTCGTATATAGAAATGTTCCATCCAATCCCCACATCATCATAATCAATACATGGAACATATGCATACCTTGTGCATCCCTGAACACCAGAATATTTTAGAAAGGCGCAGTACGCATTCAGGCCTTCCTGTTGCGCAGCTACGTTTGCATCTGCAACGGCCCCCTTCCATAATCCCGGATCTTGTAAGAACGGTCGAAACACGGGGTCCGATTCATCTGGTGACTTCTCGAACTGTTTTGTTGCATCTTCATAACCACTTTTTCTAACTTTCCAATTCTATTTCCAGATCAGGTCAGCATCAACCCAAACAAGCGGGGGATAGTCGCGCGGGGGCAAGGTGTAGGAGTCTAGGACATCGCAGCGCCGACCTTGTGAGCGAATCTATCTGGTAGAGGCAAAGAGCTAAAGTCTTCTTCCTGTTCAGCCATTTCGTGTGCGAGGGTGTAATCGCGATGGTCTCCCTAAGAAGGTCAGTTACTTAGCGCCGTTATTCCTAGGTGAAACCCCCTGTGTGTGTGTGTCTTGCGTACTCCCAATAATGATGCCCAACCGCCCACGGGTGATGGAGAGGCCACGCAGCAAACAACACTGAAACAGAAACAGAAAATGAACAGAGGTGGCTATGACGGGTTAAACACACCTTATTAAAGGACCAGCAGCAAGAAAGAAAAAAGCGATCGGACGAAAGTCGCGGGTTGGATTGGGTTGGGTTTGGTGTGGGTGGTGGTCTAGGAATATGCACGGTCCTTTGTTGAGGGCAAACGCAATATGAGATAAGCTATCTCGAGGGAACAACAAGAGAACAAGGTCGAAATTATAATTTGCTGGGAATAGGGGGAGGGAGAAATGGAAATTGGGATCTTGGGATAGGCCGGGCCTGTTCCGTAGTCTCTCCCAGGCGCGTGGGCTCCGCAAAACCCCCTCCCAAACACAACTTACTAATGATTAGTTCACCCACCAACCAATCGTAAACCTGTCGATTTGCGGCAAAACGTCAACAGTTAACAGAGACTTGACGATTTAGTGTCGAGTTGTTATAGTTAGGACGTGACTCTGCTCTGCGCTGTTTTTAGCCGCCGAGTTAATTGAATATTAATCAGTATTGGCTCGTCTCGAGACTCGAGGATACGCGCACTCTGCTGTATTTGAGATCAACCAGAAGGGTCAGAATAGCTTAACTATGTTAGTGTCCAGCTGCTACGGGATGAAGTGGTTTTTGCAGAACGCAGAACAGAGGACGGAGCAGAAAAGTACAGTGTATATATACATTCACAAGAATAGTAATTTCTCAGCCCCTCAAAGTAGAAAGGTCCATTCTTATTGCCATTCCATACGCCCCCATCAATCATTCATTCTTCAGATAAGTATATGGAGGATGTCGCTGTCCCTGTGTCAAGCGGCAGTCTCGGACGCAACGCGCTTAGCACAGCGCGCGTAGTTATTTAGTTGAACTGGCCTTGGCCGCTGGTGGAGTCAACATCTACAGTAGAGTTGGAACCTGCAGAGATAAACAAATTGTGAAGACCAAGTGAATATTTATGAAGAATGTTAAGAGTATTCCATTTGCATATTTAATGCTTCATTCATGGCTTGTCAGAGATCTGTCTTGCATCTTCTATGAAACTATGCGTTCCTCTTCTTATTAAAGGACGACATCATATAACTAACCTTCAGTTATCCGCCACGCGCGCTCTTCATTCAGTGCTACCATCCAACTCCTCCTTTACCTGCGCATCTGCCCGCCCAATACCTGGTCGTTCTATGGCCATTTCCACTACCTGATATACCCTCTCCGTCTATATATCACCAAGTTATCTGGCAAAGCTTGGTGGGCAAGGTCTCGTTGGGTGGTCGTGGAGGGGGCCGCCTGAGAAGAGAGCCCCCCAGTATAAAACAATACTCTACCAGCCAGCATCCATCGCCACAACCATGAGCCAATTACTGACTGCCCGCCAGGCGGAAGAGCTGTGCGTTTCCAATTTATCCCTATATTCAAACATATCTGCTGATTATGCTGGTGTATATATGCAGTCATAAGGCCATGATCGCCTACCTCCTATCCGCCAACCTACCGAAGAGTGCCGCTGCGCTACGCGAAGAGTTAGCTGACAGTGTCCAGCTTGACGACTCCACCGCGAAGAAATATGAAGGGCTTTTGGAAAAGAAGTGGACGAGCGTGGTGCGGTTGCAAAAAAAGGTCAGCTCGAACGGGAAGTGGCCCAATATCAGACATGGCTTTTTCCTCTGTTCCCTTGTTTTCTTGCTTGTGATACTGGTCCCATAAAAAATATCCCTGATAAAAACGGTTATATTTACATATTCATGCAGATCATGGACTTAGAATCTCGAAACAATGCCCTCCAATCCGAGCTGGACTCTGCTACTCCAACATCCCTCGCCCGAAGAAACCAAGACCCCGTCTCCTGGCTGCCCCATGCCCCCGCCAGACACATTCTACAATCCCACCGTGAGCCCGTAACTTGCGTGGGCTTCCATCCCGTCTTCTCCTCCCTTGCATCCGGATCGGATGACACAACCATCAAGATATGGGACTGGGAGCTAGGTGAGCTCGAGCGGACAATAAAGGGCCACACAAAAGCTGTATTGGATGTGGACTACGGCGGACCCCGCGGCGGCACCCTACTAGCCTCATGTTCATCAGACCTCACAATCAAACTCTGGGATCCATCAGACGGGTACAAAAACATCCGCACCCTCCCAGGCCACGACCACAGCGTCTCTGCCGTCCGATTCATCCCCTCCGGCGCCGCCGGCTCTCCGCTCTCAGGCAACCTCCTCGTTTCCGCCTCCCGTGACAAAACCCTGCGTATCTGGGACGTCACGACGGGATACTGCGTCAAGACGCTGCGTGGACATGTAGACTGGGTGCGGGACGTCGCAGCCTCGCCGGACGGCCGCTTCCTCTTCTCAGCCGGAAACGACCAAGTCGCACGCCTCTGGGACGTTTCTTCCGGCGAGACCAAATCCACTTTCCTCGGCCACGAACACGCGGTCGAATGTGTCGCTTTCGCCCCGCCAACCAGCTATCCGCACCTGTCAGCTCTGGCGGGGCTGAAAAAGGCACCCCCATCCTCCTCGTCGGCGGAATATGTGGCCACAGGCTCGCGCGACAAGTCCATACGCATATGGGATGCGCGCGGGACGTTGATCAAAACCCTCATCGGCCACGACAATTGGGTTCGCGCCCTCGCGTTCCATCCAGGAGGCAAATATCTGCTCTCCGTCAGCGACGATAAGACGCTCCGCTGCTGGGATCTGACGCAGGAATGCAAGTGTGTTCGCACGGTGAAGGATGCACATGGGCACTTTATCAGCTGTATACGGTGGGCGCCGAATATTATCAAAGATGCTGGGGTTGTGAATGGGGATGATACGTCGACTGCTGCTTCTGCGAATGGGGGTGCGCTTGCTGCCTCTGCTATTAATGGGGTTGTTCCGACGGGGAAGAAGGAAGATCCTGGCGGCGGGCCGATGATGGGAATTCGCTGTGTGATTGCGACGGGGAGTGTGGATTTGAAGGTGAGGGTGTTTGCGTCGTGAGGATTGTGGCGGGGTGAACATCCTGCACATCACATAGCATGGCTTAAGATCAGGACTCGGGAGAGTGGTTGACACACTATATGTAAGTCATCACAGGAGAAAGAATGGAAGAAGCCCAAGAAGCCCTTGAATTCAGAAAAGGAACATAAATTAGATGATGGAACACACCCTTGAGGGATGGTTTTGCTTTATACGGCACTTTTTCTCTTCTTTTCTCTTCTTTTCTTTCCTTTTTTTCCCCCTTCCTCTTTATCTTTTGCTCAAACCTATTTACCTGCCTTTGCACCTCCTTTCCTTTTCTCCTTCGTTTCTTTTCCATTGCCATTTTCCAAACTTATAATACGCTCATCTCATTTATGCACGGTTTTGTTGATCAGACTAGCTGCGAATTTTCCTCACCGCCATGAATATATCCAAAACTCAACGTAGCTCTCCTAACTTCCTCCGGCGCATCTTCCCTTAACCGATGAACCTCCTAATTCATTTTTTTTTTAAAAAAAATTTTTCGAAAATCATTCTCTAGACTGATGTCGTTGCCCTGACCATGTCTCTCCCACTCTATCAGAGAAGCTCTCTGTACCGCATATGCGGTCATTCCCCAGATAGCCAGCTCGTTTATCCACATTTCAGATTCTACCAGCAAGATAAAAGACAACTGGCGAGCCGCGGTAGTTAAAACAGAAGGTTGGTGAGAGCACACCGCAGCGCCTGAGGAGTTCTGCGCATACAGAGAAGAGAGGCCATTGTTCAGGGGGGAATGGGTGATTGCGGAAAGCTATGTGTGAAATGGCGATAGGGTCATCCATGTGGAAGAAAAGTAATCTCAACATTGGGGGAATAAAATAATAGAAACTGGTTTTTAATAGATTGCTCTTCGTCGTTAGACTCTCCTCCGGTGCGGCACCGGTAGCTAATATGATATGCATATATATATATATATATATATATTTCACGCTCCATTGTTGAACCCGAGGCTCCAAACTTGGCTTACATCTTATCTCCCAAGAAGGCGTTTTGGAATACGGTGGCCTTGGTGCCTGGAAATCGGAGTTCTCCAGATTCAGAATCACCCGCGTCTAAGCAGTCGATAAGGACGAGCAATGAGCAAGGAATGAGGTCATTGGCTCAGTGGTTTCAGGACGAATTAGGTTAAGCCATGAACGCGGGTGTGGACATGGATATTTGCATATTTAGAGAGTGAGTCTTCGCGGAGGATGAAGAAGAAGAAGAAGAAGAAGTTGACATCACGGCGGACAGCGCTAGTTATGAGAACAAAATGCAAAAAGGTGGCAGTTGTATGATCTCTGCAAGTGAGTTGAGAGCGGGGTGGAAGCCTACTCTGTAACGGGTTTTTGCCGAGTCAGCGTCTAAGGTTAGTTACGTACGATGCCAGTGGGGTTCAAGGGCAAGCAAGGAAAACTTTGCAGTGTCCTGGAAGCTGGTCTTCGAGTTCACCATCTATGGATGTCAGGCTGTCTTCAGGTTGAGTCCTGGGGCATATATTTTGAGCCGGCCATGCATTAATTGTGAACGTCTTTCCCTGGCGATATTTTTGCCGTGGCGAGGTTTTAGATGTGGGAAAAGGGGCAAAATGAACAAAAACGTACGAACTGTTATGGTTGTCCGTTCATCAGGTACAAATTAAAAGGGGACTGATTGTTTTATTGTTTGAAAGAGATCGGAAATATCATTCCAGCAGGGTATTCTATATATCAGGCTTATTTTAAAGCGAAATAATGCGTAAAATTCGAACAGTCCACCGTCCACCGTCCACCCGTCCGTCGAGGCAATTGAACGAAAATACTATAAGAAATAGTATATTTCCAAATCCCATCTCCCGCCCCCGGTTTCAACCCCGTTGCCAAAACTAAGCAGGTGGATAAGACATGGACTGAGATTTCTGGTAGCCCTGGCCAGCAGCTTGACGAGCTATCACCTCCTTGTTTTCCTGGACGAGGGCGAAGCACGGACAGAAGAAGGCGCTAAGACAGTCCTGGAGATGGGACTCTTCAAAGTTGTGCTTCGCCTTGATGGAGCCCGGTTCCATTTTCAAGAACTTTTCAAGATGAGTCTGCGTGATGCCGTATTTCTCGCGCATCTCAATTCGTCTCTTTGCGACTAGGAGCCATGCGACGGCGAAGCAGTTCAGGCCGCAGAAGATGAGGCACTGGTATTTGGACAGTTTTAGAAGGGCTTAGGCGGAAATGCGATTGATGTGAAACTGAGAGAGAGGGATAAGAGCTGTTCCTTTTGGCTACTTACGTTGTCGTTAATGGGACTGTAGTTCTGGAGAGTGGGGTCCTCCATACGAGCCTGCGTCTTCCCGAAGAGAATACATGGGCAGAACCATCCGACCAAACCTGAAAATCGAGTAAATCATTGTTAGCTTTCCGACACCCAACGACAGTCAATCCACGACAAGTGCGCAACGTACATGTATCAATGGGGTTCAGGATGTCCCAGAACGAGTGTGTCCAGCTAGGGTTATGGGTTGGCTCAGCAGTGGCCATTTTTCGGGGATAAGGTATTATTAGGGGAAACTTGGATATGAAATGATTTGAGAGTTCTAAAAGTAAAAGAAAAAATGTTAAGGGGTATCTTCACTGAAATCAAAGCACTAAAGAGCGACAAGAAAATAACTATACTAAACGAATGAATGACAGAAAATGGCTGATTTAAGTGTTCAGAATGACAATAGCCCACTGGCTGGGGAAGGCCGCTCGCTATATATATGATATATCATTTCAGAGGTCCAGCTTCAGGCGCCCCCTTGCTCTTCAAACAGCGAAACCCCTTTACTTTGGTCAGCAGAGGGAGGCTCAATCTGTGCTTCGTATTGTCTTTCTTCGACTCCACAGTCAAACTTGAAAATTGGCCCGATTGGAGTCAAACATGCCGTATGCAAGTCAGGCAATGTGCCACGGTATGCCATGCGTTACGAGAACTAGGAATTAGAATGGGGAGGAAGCGAGTCACTCTTCTTTCTTTTCTTTTCTTTTCTTTTCTTTTCTTTTTTTTTTTTCCTTTTTTGATAGCTTCGAGGCACTGCCGCCAAAACTTCCGTCTCGAGAGAATGGACCACAAGAATTCAAGGATCCGAGGGTTCCTTTTTTCACTTCGTATCTGCTGGCCAGTCGCGATATATTATTTCAACATAGTTCTCAGTTGTTCGACTTAAGGTGTGATAGCCAGCCCATAGCTACCGATTGGGGCTAGTTTTGCACACGCAGCCCGTGTGGGCGGGCCCCTGAAGTCGGTGACTGGCGCAGCCTGATCACTGAAGCGACCAGTGACAGCCCGGAAGTTAGAAAACGATAGCAGCAGGGCGTTCCGTGCCAGCAAGCTTTCCCATGGAGATTCGCCGAAAGAAAAAAAAAAAAAAAAAAAAAAAAAAAAAAAAAAAAAAAGGATGAGAAAAAAGAGGAAAAAGGAAAAAAGATCATTACATCTTTACTTTTTTCTTTGTTTTCAACTCCCTCTCCCCCTGAGACGCCAACTGTAGAAGAGTATATTCATAAGGTTTTTAATATATGTGCAATGACATGATAGCATTGGCTGAAGTGTCCCAGGCAAAAACTCTCATCACTGTTAGCAAGACACTTGACATTTATTCGTCCCAGAAATTTCCATCCTTGCTGTTTTCAAACCGAGCCGGACACTTGAACCGAGGGTTCCAAATAGCGTTATGAAGGAGCTCTGGCCAGTATTCTGCACTTTAGTCCCCGGATGAAACAGGGACTCGGACGGCATGATAAATTCCACATCTTGGGATTCGGAAGCGTCCTCTACTATGACATTCTCAAATGTGATCATGAAAAACGCATAATGCAGATGAATATCATGCAGGATAGTTATCAATGTTCCTTCCGTCGGTTCCTGCTAGAAACGCAACGGAATTTCGAGGGTGTGAAACTGCTCTTCTTTTTACAACAGGCTCGCAGGTGGGGATGGTACAATGGCTGAGTGACGAGCAGCTAGGACATACGTATATCAAAATGAAATGAGCCTGATTCATACAGAAGGATATAAAGAGCACCCTCAAACCAGCGGACCAGAAACCCTAGAGCTCTTCTCACAGCGCAGGAGATTGATTGCCCAGGTGTCGCCAGAAGGGTTTGCTATCTTGTTTCCCCCATATATCATTATGCCATCCACCAAGAAAAATAATTTGACGCTGTGCGAATGATGACACTGGGCATGGTGGAGCACGCATTAGCTTTGCTGTTCCCCACACCAAAAGCAAACACTCTTGGTTCGGCGCTTCAGGCGCTTAACCGACTTATCGGGGCGCCCCGGACCAGAACTAATAGAGTGTATGGGAGCAATCAACCGAAGAGACGATGAAGCAATGCGGAATAGAATAGATAGTAGCATGTGTTCTTCATTCTGGTGGTTCGCAAGAAGGAATAATAATCACGAGGTAAGCTACACAGTTCCTGAACTGAAAGAGAAGAACATGATGGACAAAAGATATATATATATAGTAAATGTTCAGTGTGCTTGCTCATAGCCATGTTCATGTGTGTATATAGCACCTTGAAACACCAACTACGGTAATACTTCGAAAGGAGGCAAGGTGTGTTTCGTATGTATGCCTCAGGGTGGTATATAATGGTAAACTACGGAGTAGAATAGGAGACAAAAAAAAATTGGACAGCTAAGATTAACATGCGCGTCTGGACTAGAATAGGTACCGCCTGAAAATCACGTGGGCCAACGGCGAAGGAGTGAACAATAGGGAGCGTTGACATGAGAAGGCTGTGAGCTTTTGACGGCATTGCGGAATAGATCATGTTATGGACAGCAAAGGGAAGGAATGGATTATATATATGGGAACCGTACAAAAAAGGGGTTGAATGATAATAGGTGAAATATATGGGGAACCAAGACGGGCTGTCAAGCAAAAATAGATGATACAAGGAAAGGGATGGAAAACTAGTTCGCGCGGGGGGCGGTTATTATTGCAAGAAAAGGACAGGAGGGCAAAGGAGGGGGGTGAAGAAAGGAAAGGACATAAGGGGAGAGCAATCGGGAAACGGTGTAGATTTTAAGGGCTAAATAACTCTTACAAATGACAAAAGGAAAACGATGTCAGATGGAGTAGAAAAAGAAGAAGGTGAGGAGCAGACAATGGGTTTGAAAGGTAATTACATGAACCTAGGTAGGTAGATTGTAATAAACAAACACTATCACAAAGAAGAAAAGCATGGGGATGGGATGAAGAATGACAAACGCGCAGACTAAACTGGAAAAACCCAGGGGAGAGAAAAGAAAAAGTGGTTCCCTGAAACAAATTATTAACGGCGCATTTCTTCAAAGAACAAAAAGTTCACAAGAAAAATCAACAAAAATTAAAGGATTAAGAAAATTTAAAACCCATATTTGGAATGACGCGGGACAAAAAGGAGTAACATAGCAGGAGGAACAGGAAGGGAAAACGGGACAGAAAAAAGGGGTGTAGTATGTAAAAGGAATTAAAAATTCAAGGTGATGTGCCCATATTGAAGAAAAGTATAATTGCCCATACTCAAAACCACTCGCCTCTTTTCTCCTTCCTCCCTCTTCGTCAAAAAGCTTATCTTGATGCCCGACCGATTTGCAAGAAAGAAAATTCTGAAAAAGGGACAAACTCTTTTACCATCCCCAGCCGATTCCAAATCCAAATCCAAATCCAAATCCAAATCCAAATCCAAATTCATATATCAATCAAATTCCCACTCTGCCGCTGCTGCGATGCCGCATAACCAGGCTGCTGCATCCCAAATGGATTATTCGTGCGCTGCTGCTGAGCGCCCGTGAACTGCTGGCTCAAAAACGGGTTATTCGCAGTCTGGTTAGGCTGGAGGCGCTCGAGACCTTGTCCCGCGGAGTTTACGAAGACGCCGGGAGTGGTGTGTTGAGCGGGGATACGGAGGTCGCCGACGTTTCCAAAAGTATCTTGTCCGTCGCCGGTGGCGAGGAGTGCGTTGAGACGGGCGTGTTGGGGATTCTGGGTTTGTTGTTGCTGTTGTTGCTGTTGTTGCTGTTGCTGTTGCTGTTGGAGGTTGGAGGGAGGTTGGAAGTTTGTGATGGGGTTTGTTGAGAATTGAGTGTGGTTCGTGACGGGCTGAGCGGTACGTTGTTGGGCGAGAGTGCCAAGGGAGGGTGGACCCGTCTTTTGTGCGCGCTGTGCTTGGTTTTGCGTGAATGATGAGGCAAAGGGGTTGTTGGAGCCGGTTGGCATGGGTTTGAGGGCGTCTGTAGATTGTTGTTGGTTTGATGCCCAGGGGTTATGGCTGCCTGCCTGAAGGAAATTGTTGTCTTGCTGTTGCGGCTGTTGCGGTTGGCCGAAGATATCACCATAGGGATTATTGAATGCGGTTTGCTGGGGTTGGAGCGCAGTCTGGGGCTGCATAAAGTTGTTCTGTTGCTGGAATTGATCATAGCCAGGTTGCTGGGCGGGGAAGCCACCTGTGTATCCATTTGTATAACCTGTCTGCTGAGGTTGGAATCCAGTAGGCTGGGTATATTGATTATTTAGGTAACCTGTTGACATAGATTGTTGTTGGTCCACAGGATTTCCGAACCAATCTACAGCAGGCTGTTGCTGATATCCTTGGTTATATCCAGTCACCTGTGGCTGAGTAGGTTGTGCAGGAGTTACGGTGTTATCATCAAACAGTGCGGAGGCATTGCTCTCTTCTAGTTCACGCCTCCGTAGCTCCTCTTCTTCCTTACTTAGCTTGATAGCCTTGGCAAGATCATCATCGTCATCGTCAGCATTTAATTCCCTTTGGCGGCGTTTCCTCTCCTCCTCAGCTTCATGCTTGCTTGCCTCTATTGCAAGGCGGTACTCAGCGTCTTCTTCATCACTGGGCGGTCTCAGGGAGGGATCGCGTCCAGAGCGACGTCCTGGATCACTGCCACCTGAAATGCCGTGAATTCCATCATCGATACCAGTAACCCGGGATTTCCAGAGTTTCCTATCAGAACGTTCGTTTCGAAGGCGCTCTTCGTCGAGGATCAAGGCGGTCAATTCCTTCGCGGAAACTCGTACTATTACAACTGTTAGCAATAGGTCTCCAGACATATACCAGTCTGTATAGATATATATCCCGCAACTAACCATTTTGCCCAACATCACGACCATCATCATCAATATACTGGAATTCGCGCAGCGTCTTGATAATGTAGATATTTTTTCTGGCCCACGTAACCACCATTTCTGAGCCTTCATGAAGACAGTAATCCAACACTTTCAACGATTTGAGCACATGTCTCCAATTCTTGCCCTTATCATTCAATCTCTTATCTAGCATATCCATGATCTCGTAGAAATCGCTGGGACTGCATCAAGAAGGGAATAAATCTGTCAGCAGTCGCACATATCAAAGAGCGACACAACTGTCAAGCATAAGAGATATTCTACCTATGGAATGTCATCGCCGCAATCTCCCCCATTTCCGTCCCGGTGGGGCCCCAAGGGTCATTACTCGTCGCTACACAGAAGAGTAATCAGTCACATGAAAATCTCTGTAAGGTTCAGAGTGACGCAGGGGGAATAAGGCGCGGGTATCAACCCAAATCTAACCAACAGGTACCTACCATTGCGAACTTTGACCTGCACAGACGAGTATCCCTTCGTAACGTTCTTCACACTCCTCACAACCTTCGACATGGTCGCAATATATAAAAATCCTCAAAATCCGGCTAAGGAGAGAAACGCGGGGGAAAAAAAAAAACGAAGATCCTCCCTTTCTCGTTTTTAATATCCTGATGGATATTCCCCACCGTTTTGTATAATGCCGATATAATGTAGGAGACAAGAAGGGCACTCTTCCACTTCCCCGGACAAGTCCCCCGTCAGTTGTATCTCTTTATCGAACAATGAACCCCGTTATCTTTCTTTCTTACAATTTTGCCTGTGTGAACGGGTTGAGGCACGGTACTTAATTACCTTTTCCCCTTCTCGAGGTGTTGCTTTGTCTCAGAGCGGAGAGTAAGGAAGAATCGTGTGTGTGAGAGGAAGTCGCACGCGATTTCCCAGAGGAAGACTATCTTTATTCGCCCTGCGTTTTAAGAGGTAGGTGGTATTGTATTTACTTATCCATTCGAACGCAAAATTTTGCCAATGGATGTAGACTCTTCTTTCTTTCTTTCCTTCCTTCTTTCTTTCTCTCTTTCTTTCTCTCTTTTTATTTTATTTTATTTTTCCGGAGGGAAGAGGAAATCCTGCGTGGGGAAAACGAAGTTGCCGTAGAAGTGAGAGATGGTGGGGACTTTGGGTATGAACAGGCGCGCGAGGCTGTCTGGCCGGTTGAAGGTTGTCCTCCGTCGTCCTCGTCGTCGTCGTATTGGGGAGAAGAGAGGGTGAGGTTCGAAGATTGGTAAGTTGGCGAGGGTAGAATGGTTCCTGGGCACACGGAATCTCGTAGGTCCCCGTAAGGTATTGGAAAGTGTTTGGCGAGCACCGGTGTATGTGGTTGTCGGGTGGTTGGTTGGTTGAAGAGTGAAGAAAAGTAGTTGGTTGGTTTGGTTGATGATGATGATGATGATGATGTTGTTGGTGATGATGAATCCCTCCCCAGACCCAAAGCGGAAAAAGTGGCTGAGCCCCTCGCCTAGTTTCTTATTTTTCTTGGCGGGGGGGAAAAAAGTTGGGGCTGGTGGTCAGCCACGTGTTTGACCGCCTGGCAGAATTGTACACATTGGTTGAACGCCAAGCGCCAGTGTTTGTGTGGATGAATAAACCATACGTGGAAGATCAGAAAGAGAAGCAGGAAACATTAAATATTCTAATTAGCTGGAGTGTATATCTATCTTGATGGATACTATTGTACTGTATATACATTAATGTGTACGGAGGAAAATTCTAAAAATATCGCTAAGACAATTGAGTTACCCGGGGAACCGCATGGCCATACGTCATATAAGATGCAACTGTTTCTCCGAGATCTAGACGCTCCGCATTTCCCAAGCTTCCGATTCCAAAAGGGACAAGGGGAAAGAAAGAGAAAGAGAAGAAAAGAAGGAAAGAAGGAAAGAAGGAAAGAAAGTAAAGAGAAATGAATAAAACACAACCTTCAACCATCAAACAACAGAAACCTCCTTCGCCGCCTCCGCCTGCTCAGCCAAATACCTTTCCTCCGCACTCTTAATACACTGTATATTAGCCCCCAACTTATTCAACGTCTCAACGTACTCATCATACGGATCCGAATCAAACACAATCCCGCCTCCAGCCTGCAAATACGCAACCCCGTCCTTCACCATCATAGTCCGCAGCGCAATACACGTATCCATAGGCCCATCCACAATCTCCCTCCCATCCCCGCTAGCGTAATTGTATCCAAAATACCCCACCGCCCCCGCATACACCCCCCTCTTCTCCCCCTCCAGCTCAGCAATGAGCTCCATGGCTCGCACTTTGGGCGCCCCGCTGACCGTGCCGGCGGGGAAGATGGACCTGAAGGCGTCGAAGCGGGTCTTGTCTGGCCGCAGGATGCCCGAGACCTGCGAGACGAGGTGCTGTACGTGCGAAAATTTCTCGACAACCAGCAGCCGGTCCACGTGGGTGGTTTCGGGATCACAGACGCGGTTGACATCGTTGCGCGCGAGGTCGACTAGCATTACGTGCTCGGCTCTGTCCTTCTCGCTGTTGAGCAGGTCCGCGGCCAGCTGGGCGTCTTCCTGCGGCGTCTTGCCTCTCTTGACGGTTCCGGCGATGGGATGCGTGATGATTCGCCGCCCTTCTTCCTTGACTAGCAGTTCAGGACTGGCACCTATGAGCTGGAATTCGTCACAGTCGATGTAGAATAGGTACGGGGAAGGGTTCACGGTGCGTAGGTGACGGTATAGATTAAAGGGGTGTAGAGACGTAGGTCGTGCGAGCCTTTGGGAGGGGACTGTTTGGAAAATATCCCCTTTCATAATATGTTCCTTTAACTTCCTCACGTGTGCTTCGTACCCCGCCTGTCCGATGTTGGAAGTATACTTTTGCCCTTCCGTGATAGGTGGCTGGTGCGGAAGAGGAGTTTTAGGATCCAGCAGGACATCGATGGTCCGCTGGATCACCCTTTGACCCTTCTGGTATTCCGCTTCAAAATCCTTCTCGTCTTCCGGAAGATGTACATATGTAATCACCTTGACGACCTGGAAGAAATGATCAAAGGCAACAATCGTGTCAACCATCATGAAAAACGATTCCGGTATCTTGAGAATATCCTTCATGGGTCGCGCAGTTTTGGGCTCGAAATATCGTACGCAGTCATAACTGACGTAGCCAATTGCACCACCGGCCATCGGGGGCAGTATGAGGCCCGGGATTGTGGCGACGAGGGACTGGGAGAGCTCTTCTTGTAGGGCGGGAAGTGGGTCGCATTCGGGTCCGTAGCCGGGTCCAGTTTTGATGACCTTTTTGGGGTCTGCTTGTTGCGGGGGAATTGTTAAGGTCAGTTTCGTTTGACGGATGTCTGGATGATCTACCAATGGCTGTCTGCGGGTCGAAGAAGACATACCAGCTCCCACAAAGGTATACCTCCCAATTGTCTCTGTCGTAGCAGCGCTTTCATATAGGAAGGACAGTTTCGAGCTATCTCGCAACGAATGAACATATAGACGTCAGCAACAACTATGAAGCTCTCTGCAAGTTCGAAGAGAGAAGAGCAAAGTTTCCGATTCTTGCCGAATGAATTAGGAAATTTAGCACCAAAAATGAAATCACGCACTCACTTCGCAGATAGCTTCAAGTATGCCAGAGTGGGTGTGAGAAGATCCGCGGGCACCGACGCCATCAGTGGGACGAGGTTGGGCGGGTGCGGCGCATCCTTCGATTGCGCCAGGACATCTTTAACCACTTCTATCGACGGTTGAATAATAACCTAACATGCAGACATAGAGACGTCAGCAGCGGACACCTAACAACAGAGCGTAAACAACACAGAGTAGATACAAATTATATAGAATGTAAGTAGAACAACATACTCGCGGGGCCATGGCTACGGTTACGGGAACCCAGGAAGCAGTTTCAGACGAGGTGATAGGCGGGGTGTCGGAGCTGAGGGGGAATGCGGGAGGTGTGAAGTGGCACAACGGCGTTAACCCAAATAACTCATATCAACTGGCTATTTTGAGGCCTTAATATGAAGTGGATGTTGGGCGTGTGTTGCCCGGGCGGCCGCCCCGCCGCACGTGATATAGCGTATATTAGATAGCTAGCTAGGCCTCCCAATATGAGAGATTCAACCATCCCACAGGTTATGAGCCCGGATAGCAGTTTTTTAAGCAAAACAAGACGTTTTAATTAGAATACGCTGCAACCAACGCGATATTGGATGAGTTCGACTAGATTTCCTTTAAAAACGCTCTTTTTACACTAAAAATCAGAAGATCCCAAGGGGATACTCTCTGTTGTGAGAAAGCGATCGCGTCCGCGAAGGAATCAAAACAAAACATCATTTTTCTCTTTTTCCTGATTTTCTTTCTTTTCTTAAATTTTTGATCTGAGGATACCCAAGTCTTGTGTCTAGATGAGTAGATTACCCCCTACTCCTCAATCAGAACGAAAGAGATCTCTACGTTCCCATTCAAAGGCCCAAGAGACGTTCCCTACACTCTACGAAGAAGGTGTAGTGGATACGGTGCCCACCTCAGGAGACGAAGGAGAAACCGAATACGCGTTAGTGGAAGAAGCAATGGAAGAAGCCAGCTCAACCCGTGATACAGGGAAAGGGCCCGTACGCGACGAATCAGAGGATGACGGGACCCCTAGCCCAAATCCTGGCCCTATCCCAATCCCTACCCCCAATGCCAACGGCATGATCACGATGACCGCGGCCGATCTTCTCACGTTTTGTCAACAGATGATGACCGCGCGGGAGAACGCCCGTACGAGTGATACTACCCCTGCGTATACCCTAAAACAGGAGATACGTGAATATCATAAGGAGGTGCAAGCTTCGATGGATACGAAGACCGTGACGACGTTTGATGGAACCAACTACCAAGCATGGAGGATTGGCATCCTGGCGGACGCGGAGGTTATTGGCGCCACTGATATCCTTATGAAAAACCAACATGAACCGCCTGAAGAATACGACACCAACCAGTTGGATAAAGAGCGTTGGACAGTACGTACAAAGGCCTTATACCGTCGAATGTTGCAGTCCCTACTGGGACCTGTACGTACAACGATTGGAGTATTAGAACCGGATAACGCGGCTGCCCTATGGCAGAAGATCAGCCAGGAATACGCTGTCTCATTGGCAGAGGAACGTATGAACGTCATGAAGGAGCTCTCAAACCTTGCTGTCAAGGATAACGACTATCTTGCCTACCAAAGGAGATTTCGCTACCTGGTTGCACGGCATAAGGAGTTAGCCACACAAGATGACGATTTTTATCACGATCTTTTCCTTATTGGCCTACGTGATCATCAGAAGGCGTTTGTAAAGACCCGTCTTGATGACTTCTACGCAACTGGCCAAGATCCAATCGTGAACATGGATATTGACGATTTGATGAAGCAGTTAACCAATCGTACAAGCAAGACAAAAGAGTCCGATCGTCCGAAGACCTCTAAAGCGAACGCTGCCACCACGAATGGCGATAACAAGCAGTCCAATACGTCGACTACTGCCTCGAAATGCGATGTTTGTGACCGCGTAGGACATACAAATAAGACCTGCTGGCGCCAGCACCCGGAGTTAGCGACCGATCGATGGAGGGAAGCGAATAAGGATAAGATCGTCGAGAATACCGATGAGAATAGTGGCGGACGGAAACCGAAGAATAATAAGGGGAAAGGTAGATATAAGGATGACAAAAACAACGAGAAGACGCCAGATCTCCTTGCCTCTCAACCTAGTGCCAACGCCGCGATCGCACTATCCGCGTCGTCCGAGATATCATCCAAACCATGGTATTTGGATACCTGCACCAGCTTCAATATGAGCGGCGAGAAGCATTCGATGATACGTACGGTGTCTTTTGAAGGTAATCTCAAAGTTAATACGGCCGACGGAGGACAGGGACAGGTTAAGGAAGTTGGGGATATCCTCCTAGAATCGGATGGGGGGGATATCATGGTAAGAGACGTCCATTGGATCCCAAATCTAACCGTCAACCTGTTGTCGTTCGCGAAGCTAGAAGACCAGGGTTTCCGATTTGAATTATCCCCATCTACCCCGTCTTATTTCATTATTCGAGCGCCAAACGGTGTCATATTTACCGCGATCCGAACGCCCCAAAGCTCCATATACAAGATCGTCGAACGAGAATCGGAAGTTGACGTCCACCATGCGTCCAAAGCGGTCAACTTCGCCGCCCAATCCTACGTATACGGAGACGCGATGGTGACGGTCGATGAATCTGGCGATAAACCGAATAAGATATTGAAAACCCTCGCGGAATGGCATGTTGACCTGGGTCATATTCATGTTGGGGCGATAATCGCTTTGGCAAAGAATCCACTATCAGGCGTACGAATCAAAGGCCCCAAATCAGGACTATTCTGCGACGCCTGCGTCAAAGCCGGAATGACACGAAAATACTCGCAGACCCCGATGCCACGGGCGCTACGAGCGATGGAACGCGTGCATATCGATATCGCAGGCGGAGGCAAGACGCTCGACGACATGAACGATCACCCCGTTGAATCCCGCCAGGGGACGAAATATTACATGCTAATCACCGATGATGCCACCCGTTATAGGTGGATCTACTTTTTGCATGCGAAGGACCAAGCTGTCGATTTTTACGGCCACTGGGTCCAATTCATGAAAAACCTCGGTTTCACCCCGCCTGCGTACGTGAGAACGGATATTGACGGCGTATTCCGTTCCAATAAGATGTCTACGATTATGACCAGTCAGGGGACGATTTGGGAGCCTACGACCCCCCATTCCCCCCACCAAGACGGCGTATCGGAGCGCGGCATTCGTACGATCATGGCGCGTGCCAGGGCAGTCCTTATGGGAAAGGATATCCCTAAGAAGTTCTGGGCGGATATTTTGGAAACGGTAGTGTCGATCACGAACAACACGCCTACTTCCACCGTCTTGTATAATTCGAAATTTTGGCCTACGGATACTACGGATGAATCGCAGCTCGTACGCTGTCCTCATACGATCCCGTTCTCTGCGCTCCTAAACGTCCCGCCAGAGGTTTTGCACTTCCGCGAGCTCGGATCGGACGTTTACGCTCACCTCCACGGATCGCAAAAACCCGCGGATAAGCTGTCTGCCAGGGCGGAATCGTATAAGCTTATTGGTTTTCGCGGTAAATCGATTTTTCGTTTGTGGAATCCCGCGACGGACAAGCTCCTGATCACCAGCGATGTGATTTTCCCCTCAAAAGAGCGTACGAATGAAACAAACGTTGAAGGACTAGCGTCCAATCCTACGACCTACTTGGTTGAGGATGGCGAAGTTCCCGAAATCGAAGACGCCGAATGGATAAGACCTGCGAAATCGTTCGCTACGTACGTCCCTTCTCCTATCACAGGTTCATTGCCAAAGACGTACAAGGATGCCGTGAATCGACCAGGCGTAGGAGAATATTGGAAGAAATCAATGCAACGTGAGATCGCAGATCTCGAACGACGGAAAACCTGGACCCTAATCCCGAGATCAGACGTCCCCGCAGACGAACCAGTGGCACCAGGCCGTTGGATCTTCGTCGAAAAAGATCGCCCGAACGACCCCAACGCCGATCCGGACGGGATATTACGAAAATCTCGCTGGGTAGCGTGCGGTAATTGGTTGAAAAAGGGATCTCGCGAAGAGACGTACGCCCCCGTGGTTAATGACACTACGAATCGTATGATGTTCGCGATCTCAGCGAAAAAAGGATGGACACTACGTCAAGTCGATATTGTGATGGCGTATCTTCATGGCCGACTGGGACGAACGATCTATATGAGACAGCCCACCGGATTTGAAGCAGGAGCTCCACGGACATTGGTTTGTGCTGTGGAAGGATCTCTATATGGATTGGATCCGGCAGCGAAGATTTGGTACGATTACTTGACGGCATTGTTGCGTGAGAACGGATTTGCCCCGTCCCCCTACGACCCCGCCCTATGGCGGCATACGACCCGTAGGCACCTCTATATGACGATCTACGTTGACGATCTTCACATAATGGCGGAAGAGCCTGCGGACGCCGATTGGTTAGTAGAAACGTTAGCGAGCAAGTTAGAGATCAAAGATCTCAAAGAGCCGTCGAAATATTTGGGTATGGAGGTTGAACGTCGCCAGGATGGCGGAATCAAATTGACGCTGAAACGGTATATCGATCGTTTAGTGCAAGATTTCCACCTGGAGGACGCTGTCACCGTTCGTACGCCAATGGAAGAAGGACTTCGAATCGACGACTCCCCTGTCTCCGAAAAAGAAGCTGGTTTTACAAAACAGCGTTATCAACACGGCGTTGGCTGCTTACAATATCTCGCGGTCAAATTACGTCCGGATATCGCCCGTGCGGCATCCCTCCTAGCGCAGAAAAACGCCGTTCCCACCCCCAAGGCGTGGAAAGCTCTACTCCACGTCGTACGCTATTTGAAAGGAACGAGCGATCTAGGCATCTCATACGAGGGGCCCGACGATCGTGAGCGCGTTCAATTCCCAAATGCTACGTTTACACCCATTGGATATACGGATTCCGATTGGGCAGGACCCCTGAATGGCGATCGGAAATCTACGTCAGGTTTCGTCTTCTTGCTAGCGGGTGCCCCGATTTCATGGCGATCTTCTAAGCAACCTTGCGTATCTTTGAGCTCTAACGAAGCCGAATACGTAGCGCTTAGTGAAGCCGTACGCGAGGCTACGTGGATTCGCAATATGATGTTGGATATGGGATTTATTACGAAGGACCCCCTGCAGATTAGGGCGGATAATAAGGGTTCGATCGATCTCGCCACCGTGGCAGCGATTACCGCGCGCAGCAAGCATATCGACACTAGATTCCACTATTCCCGTACGCAATTGAATGAGGGGGTGATTTCGATTGACCACGTTCCTACGGAGGATATGGCGGCAGACGGGCTTACAAAACCCCTAGGCACAGTGGCATTTAAACGTTTTATCAGTTTGCTAGGTCTTTCACAAGGAAAATAGTTCATTCTAGCAAAATCTTGTATGTAGCGTGTTTCGGTTGACATCTAGGATAGGATAGCTAGATTTGAATACGCGGAGGACATAATATCCCGCACGTTTGGTGCGTGGGGGGGTGTTGGGCGTGTGTTGCCCGGGCGGCCGCCCCGCCGCACGTGATATAGCGTATATTAGATAGCTAGCTAGGCCTCCCAATATGAGAGATTCAACCATCCCACAGTGGAATAACTACGCATGCATTCTCAGTCACGTGCCGGGCCTAATCCATCTGCAAGATCTCAGCTAACTTGTTAGGAGCCTTGCAATAGGGACTCCGGGGCGAAGCTAGCGCGGTATAGTGCAATATAGAGGTCTTATTGGTTCTAATCTAATCCTTGAGGAGGAGAGGAATGAGGTTAGGCCACTGAGTGGCGATATTATATACAGAACGTGGGTCATGTGCGTGTCATAACCCTAACCCTAGGCCTTAGCTCCTTTCACTCTGCACCTCCCCCCTCCAGCCTCCCCACTTCAGATGGTATTGTCGCTGGCGGCAACATGGCCTGCCCCGCGACCTCTGCTGGCGGCAACATGGCCTGCCCCGCGATCTCCGCTGGCGGCAACATGGCCTGCCCCGCGATCTCCGCTGGCGGCAACATGGCCTGCCCCTGCGATTGGCTGGCGGCACTTGCGCCTGCCCCAGTATCAGCAGCACCCTCGCCTGCCCTGTTTGCTGTAGTTGGGTATTGCACAGGTGTATATAAGCAATTTTGAGAAGGGGCTTTTTGTGTCAAATTGTGTTGCTCCTGTAACTAAAAAAAGATTTCAAATACTACAACAAGTTAAGGTAAAATATTAAAAGAGTTAAGATGTATATCATGGTGCTTTCATTGGTTTTTTTTTCGTTGGGTTTTGCTGGGGGATATATTGAATATTAAGTATTGGTGTGGAAGGGTAAGATATATCATTTTGTCTTTTCAGTTTGTTCTGAGTTGAACATTCATGTGAAATGGGGAGTTTTGTCGTGGTTGATCTGCGTCTGTGTATCTGTACAGTCCTCTCGCTGTTGTTTGATATGGTGGTAGCATGCCAGGTTGTGTCTCTGTTGCTGGTGGGATTTCTTGAGGCTGCCCTAGGTCTTTGTCTGTTGGTTGAGGTCTTGTTGGGTATCTGTTGTGGTATTGTTGCAGGAATGGCTCCGCGTTGGGTAGCTGAATCGGGTCCATCCATTCATCAAACTCTGGTCCTTTGTGCCGCCACCTGACACGGTACCTCAGCTTGCCGCGGATGATTCGGGAATCTAGAATCTCATCTATCTCCCAGTCATTGTCATTGTTGGTTGTCCACTGTTCATCTGATGTCCTAGTGTGTTGTCTATTTTCATTGATTTGGCTCATTTTGTGCGGTTTGAGCAATGAGATGTGAAAGACGTCATGAATTTGGAAGTGTCTTGGCAGGTCCAGCTGGTATGATTGTGGTCCTATCTTGGCTCGGATTTGGAATGGTCCTGCAAATTTACTGTCCAGTTTCTTGTTCGGCCGGCGGGTTTTCAAGTTTTTTGTGTTCAGGTACACCTGATCTCCTACATTGAATTCATGGGGATTGTCTTTCGCGTACTGTTTCATCAAGTCCTGTGAGTGGATCAACTTTTCATGGGCAATTTGCTGAGCTTCCTTTGCCAGTACTGCAGCTCATTCCGCGTCTGGTTCCTCTATGGCTTCCCTTGGGATGTTTGGTATGGTTGGTGGTAAGGGTTGGTATCCGACATCCATCATAAAGGGGGATATTCCTAGGGCTGAGTGGGTAGAGCTGCTGTATGTGTATTCTGCCCATGGTAGGAGGTCTGCCCAATCATCCTGTAAATAGTCTGTGTATAGTCTGAGATATGTTTCTAGTTCTCAGTTCTGGCGTTCTGTCTGTCCGTCTGTCTGTGGATGGTATGCAGTGGATAGCTTGTGATTAATGTTCATCATAGCTGCCAGGGCCTTCCAGAATCCTGATGTGAAGAGGTGGTCCCTATCTGAGATGATTATTGCTGGCATTCCATGTAGTCTGATGATGTTGGCAATGAATATGTGAGCAAATATTCCAGGTGTTAGGTCTGTTGTAGTTGGCACGTAGTGTGGTCTCTTTGACCTCTTGCAACAGAAGACTGCTATTGCATCAACTATTTGCCCACTTGTGGAGCATTTGGATTTGGGAAGATTGATGACAAAGTCTACTGTGATTGTATGCCAATTCATGTCTGGTATGGGGATTGGAGTAAGTTCCCCAAATGCTCTGCGGGTGATGGGTTTGGCTCGTGCACATGCTTCACATGCTTGTGTGTATTCTTCAATATCTTTCCTCATGGTAGGCCAGTAGAACCAATGTGCTATTGATTGGAATGTTCGTTTTCCCCCAAAGTGTCCTGCTGTTGGTGAGTCATGGAACTGCTGAAGAATGTTTCTGCGTAGCTGTTGGTCATCTGGTACATAGATCCTGTCTTGGTAGAAGAGATATCCATCTTGGATTGCCCAATTCTCAAGGTGATTGTGTTCGTGGAGTGGGATCAGTGTCTCTAGGTCTTGTGGTAGTTGTTCTTTTATTTGAGTCAGTATGTCCGTGTCTGCTGCTTCAATCGGGAGCATGTTCACTGTGGCAATGGCTGCCATTCTGTGGTTATACAATAGTGTTGTAGCCTGGTCATAATAGTGGGTGAGGGTATTGATTTGGGATTGGGAGTGGTTGGTTTGGGCTGGGTCGATGAACCGGTGGAATTTGTTATGGAGTTCTGTCAGTTCTTTTGGTTTGGGTCTGTAGTCAGGTCGCCTAGAGGGCCCATCCGCGGGGTTCTTTGTGCCTTCTTTGTGCAAGATCTTGATATTTAACTCACTGAGGTGTTGGGCCCATCGTGCTTGTCTACGGGTCAGGATTTTGGTTGTAAGAAATGGCAGTAGATTGTGATGATCACTATAGACTGTTGTTTGAACTCTGTTTCCTCGTATGAAATGGTGCCAGTGCTTGGTGGATTCAACAATTGCTAGCATCTCTGCATCGTATGTTCCATAGTTCCTTTCTGTTGTTGTCATTTTCCTGCTGTAGAATGCTATGGGATGTAGATGACCATCATCCTGCTTCTGACACAGAATTCCACTGATGGCAAATCCGCTAGCATCGCAGAATATGATGATTGGTTTATCATCACTATAGAATGCCAACAGTGGTGCTTTTGTGAAGGCATCCTTGAGGGTCTGGAAACTTTTCTTTTGTTCCTCCGTCCATTGAAATATGACATTATCCTTTAGCAGGGTTGTGAGTGGTATGCATATAAGGCTGTAGTGGTATATGAACCTCCTATAGAAGTTACAAAAGCCTAAAAATGCCCTCAGATCCTTGACAGTTCGCGGGTTTGGCCACTGAAGTACTGCCTCCACTCGTGCTGGATCCATTCGTACTCCATCTCTCCCTACTAAGTATCCGAGGAAGTCAATCTCCTTTTGCAGAAATCGGCACTTAGATATGTTGCATATCAGGTTGGCTTGTCGTAGTTTTTGTAAAACTTGTTTGACTTGTTCCCAATGCTTTTCCTGATTGTCCTCTTTTGTGTAAATGACTACATCATCTATATACACAATGACAAAGTCGTCTATGTGTTCCTGTAATACTGTGTTTATGAATTCTTGGAAATGGGCTGGGGCATTTGTTAATCCAAATGGGACTACTAGGTATTCGTATGTGCTGTATCTGGTCTTAAATGCTGTTAGGTGCTCGTGACCTTCTGCTATGCGGATTAGGTGGTATGCATGTTGTAGATCAAGCTTTGTTATCCATTTCACTAGGCTGAGGCGCTCCATCAGTTCTGAGATGAGAGGGATGGCATACTGATTCTTAATGGTGATTGCATTTAGTTTCCGATAGTCGACACAGAATCGTTTTTGTCCTCCCTTCTTGTCTGTGAACAAGACTGGGGATGCGTATGGAGATTTGCTTGGTCTTATGAAGCCTTTTGCCAAGTTGTCATCGATGTATGTCTTGAGGAGGTGGAGCTCTGTCTCTGACATGGAATAGAGTGGACATTTGGTCAAAGTTTTCCCATCCATGATCTCGATTCGAAGGTCTGAATTGGAGTGGGGGCGTAGGGTGTCTGCCGCCGGTTTGTGGAAGACGTCTGCGTACTGTTTTAGTTCTGTGGGTACTTGGGTTGGGGGTGGGCTTTCGGTGCCCGCTTGCAGCCACGCTAGTAGTGGTGTGAGATCTGTGTTGTCTTCTGTGGTTTGTTTGATTTGTTCTCACCCCCTCTTTCCCCTATATGTGATTGAGCCTGTTGCCCAGTTTATGTCTGGGTTTGCTTTTTTCAGCCATGGTCTGCCTAATATTATCGGCATTGACATTTGTAGAGGTCGAAAGTAGTGTGTGACTATCTCTCCACTGGGGTCCGGGAGCTGTAGTTCGTATATGTATGGAAAGGATTTGTATGGGTTATTGTTGAGATCCTGCAATTGGACTTCCTTGCAGGGTATTCTCTTCGCGTTTAATGCGTCAGCTGCCCTTGGTGTTATGACATTTGACACTGCTCCTGAATCTACCATCGCTGGGATCGTGGGGGTCATGGTGAATGTAGTGAGGTGTCTGATGATGTGCATGTCAGGTAATGTTCGTGGCGCTGGTATGGCGTAGTATATGGCGTGTTCCGAGAGTTTGTAGCTGTTGATTTCTTGTGCGAATGGGCTATCGTGTTGGAGCTTTGGTGGGCACATCATCGCTCCTATTGACGCGCCGAGGAGTTTTTTGCTTTGAGGTGAGGAGATGGGGATCTTGTCTCCGTATGCGGTAGTATGCTTCGGTTGGGTGACAGGGATATGGTGCGGGATTGAGCTGTTAATGTCGTTGGGTGGGGGGATGGGGATCGGGTCGGAGCTGTGTTCAGGTGCCCGACGCGGGAGTAGCAGGTGTTCCACCAGTGTCCCCGCCTGCCGCACCAAGTGCAAAGTCCGTCTCTTTGTCGTTGGAAAAATTCTGTGTCTGATATGTCAGGGTTCTTCCCCGCCCCCTTTGCCTGGCGTTCTGGGGATCTTGATCTTGTTCGTCGTCTATCCGCATTGTAATCAAATCGGACGCGTCTTGTGTCTTGCTTGACCAATTGACGTGTCATCACTATGTGACTCTCAGCCCTGATGGCGGCCTGTTTCCATTCTGAGAATGTGGTTGGCCACGTGTTGAAGTAAGCTTGGTTTACTTGAGCCAGTATGGCCTGTGTCAGTTTGCTTCTAAAGGTGGCGCAGATGGCTGCATCATTCCATTTCAGATCTGATATTAAAGTCTCAAACTGGGTAATGAACTCGACTGCTCGTTGATATGGTCCCATCTGCAGGGTGGCTAGTTGCAATTCCGCTTGTAGTTCTGGGTTAGTTGTCTGATAGTTGTCCTGTAGCCAGACCTTGAGAACCTCCCATGAAGCCACGTGCATATCATTTGACATTTGGAGTCTTTGAACGCGTTGGCGTATTGGTTTGTCTAGATAGCTCTTGGCATATGCGATCTTTGAGGTTCCATTGGTGATCAACCTCTCACGGAGGTTATCTTCTATGTCCAGGAGCCAAAAGCGAATGTCCGAGTGGCCATCAAAGACTTCTGGTTCCTTTAGTTTGGTTTTCACCACTGTTGCGGTGTCGTGTCCCGCATCTGTGGTGGGGTCTGCAGTCATTTCTTGGTTTCTCTCTAGTGCAGCGATCCGTTCCATTAGCTGCCGGTTCTGGTCAATCAGCTGCTGGTCCGGGTTGCCATTTGGCTGTTCCAACACGGCCAGGCGCTGTTTCAGGGCCTCGCTCTCCCGGGCCATTTCCTCAAGACGTTCGAGGATGTGGTCCATCGCCTGTGCTTGGTTCCGTGTGGTCATGGTGGCGCTACGCTAATGGTCCAGTGCTGAAACAAGGAAAAGAAAAAAAAAACGCTTGCTTCCTGGCCGGAATATCTCTTGAAGGATTAGAGTGTTAGGAGCCTTGCAATAGGGACTCCGGGGCGAAGCTAGCGCGGTATAGTGCAATATAGAGGTCTTATTGGTTCTAATCTAATCCTTGAGGAGGAGAGGAATGAGGTTAGGCCACTGAGTGGCGATATTATATACAGAACGTGGGTCATGTGCGTGTCATAACCCTAACCCTAGGCCTTAGCTCCTTTCATAACTCTTAACCTTAACATTAACTAAGTTAGTTAGTTAACGTAATCAATAAGCGAGCGAACCACTTTCCATACAATGAGAAATGCTCTGCATCAAAAATGTCAACCACATAAAGAAATAAAGCCTCTACTCAGGAAGGAAGGCTTCTTTTAGTCATTCAAGCACTTAAAAATTGATGCATACAAGCAATTGAATAGGTAGGATAAATCATGTCTGATTCTCTTCTAATAAGATGGGCGAACGCCCTGCTATATATATATATTATAATCACTCTATATGGTAGGAATGATTGCATAGAATAGGAAATATAGAAAAGATTAAGATCTTTGAGTGGATTAGAGAGGAGCAAATAGAGAGTGAATACTAATATAGAAAGAGGTGAAAGAATAGAGATGGAACACTATAAAAATGATCAAATTTCAAGTGTATGAGCTGCAGCAAAGCTATATGAAGTCTTTTATACAACTTTAACTCATCATATATATGATTGTATGGCATGTGTTGACATTTCTTCAAAGAACTGAAAACTTAGTTTTATAGAGAAAGAATCTCTTATTCAATGAATTTTGATCATGAATGAATGAGATTAATCTCTCTGAGTTGCAGCTGTATGAGAAATGATCAATCTTCTTCTTGTCAGTTGAGGATTCAATTCCTCACTCACAGTAGATGAATGCTAGGTATGAAACTTTATCAAGTATCATGATGAGCTGAAATTCAAGTTCTCATGCAAGTATGATCATCAGCAGATTCTATGTAAGGATTCTGAGATTATGTATAAGTGATTTAGACTTGTACAAAATATTATTACAAAGTATGAGATTCTGAAAGATGATATCTATAACTTTAATAAGATAAAGTTTTAGATAAGTGTAATTAAAATTGCCAAAGTAATGACTGAATCTAAAAAAGTTAAGAATTTTAAACTTATATAGTCTGAAAATTGAGAATAAGTGACTGTTATTGCTAAAGTCAATACAACTGACTGAGTCTTGTGTACAATGATTATTCTCAAAGAAAAGATGTATTAATTCTACTGATATGAGATAAAAAAGCTATTATATAACTAAGTGATTGAAGTCAGTGAGAATAACTGAATCACTGATCAACTGAACTTATATTAATTGAAAAAAATATTCAATAAAAAGACTCTACTTTATACAAAGAGCAGATATTGACTATTAATTCTAGACTAACACTGAAGTCATATCTTAGCTGAATTTAATCAATTTTACATTGAGAATTAAATTATTATTCTTTATATGCTATTACATTTCTTTCATCTTCTTTAGTCATTGAATGTTAACTGCTTTTTATTTTTGAAAACTATGTATAGACAGCAGATGGAAAATCAGATATAGTTTAAGATCAATTATATTGATAAAAAGAAGTTTCTGAGTCTCTATTCTGCAGTTCAGATACATGTTCTGACTGAGAGCAACATCAAGAGCAGCTTTAGAGCTGCTGAGTTGATTTTATATAATTTTGAGCAGATTCTCTTGCAGCTTAATATTATAATATATATTCTCACTCTCTCAGAGATCTTTCACAGCTCTCAGACCTTTTGAGTGATAGTTACATTATATAATGTATATCAATTGAAGTAGCAGGCTAAAAAAGTTAAAGAATATATCAAATACTGTACACAGAGCTCATTCAGTTCAATCAATCATACTCTAAGTCAGTTGATTAAAAGATGTCAAATGACAATACACAGTGCTGCTATTCTAGCAGCTGAAAACAAAAAGTTAAGAGCTTAAAGTATCAAATAAAAAGGAAATCAAGAAAAAGACTAAATATATATAGCTCAAAAGAGTGCTTTGAGAGTTGAAGAAAACTTGAATTATGTATAAAAAATCAATGAATAAAAGCAGAAGATGATTGAGACTGCTGAGTTATAATTATAAAAATGTGCAGTATTATGATATAATGTTTGTGAGATTATTGAGCATACTGTCTATATATACTCTAAGTGTATAGAAAATAATTTATAATGTAATTTGCTAGTTTTTCTTTACAGTTGAGGCTTTGAAAACATTCTCATTGTATAGAGAGTAGAAAGTGATTCACTCACTTATATAATTCACTTATTGATTATGTTAATGTTAACTAGTTAACTAATAACTAATATAATTAATCATCTAGTGAGACAGATTATCTACTAAGACAGATCTTTACTACATAATGTGTTTAACTACTTAATTGATCAAATGTCAAAATGTCAGCAATTAAAAATGGTAATTCTTTATACAAGAAAGAAAGACTTACTCTAGCTATTTAAGCTGTTAAAAAAAATTAAATTTCTAGTTCTAGAGCTGCTATCAAATTGTACAACATCTCTCATTTCATTCTTTGTCATCAACTTTACAATCATTTAATGTGAGAGAACTCTCAGTTAAGAAATTGAAAACTGATTTCTATTGAGAAATTATCTCTTGTTTAATGAATAATCTTCATAAATGAATGTGATCAGCCTTTCTAAGTGAGCACTGTATGAGAAACAGTTAATTTTCTTCTTATCAATTGAGACAACTCTTCTAACTCAAAAACTGTTGATGAAAGCTGAGTTAAATAATTCCTTGACTGTCATTCTGAGTTAAAAATCTGATTCTTCTGATTGTATGATCATCAACAAGCTCTATGTGAAGATTTTAAGATTATTCAAAAATAATTCAAGCTTGTACAGAATACTATTCAGAAATATGTGATTGATTACGTTAACTAATTATTATTATGTTATTTCGCTATGCCATTTTTGAATGCGTCTTGAAGGGAGAATAGATCAAGTGGACGAGGACTCGCCGTTGCAGAAAGCGAGGCTTGGACTCGACGGACTGTTTTCTTAGTGGCTGTATGGCTGTATGAGCGGCAGGACAAACTGCTTCCGCCCCTCACCAGCCACAGCATTTTATTATTCCTGAAGCAAAGTGCCAAGCGGGCAAGCAAACGAGGCAGGGGGGGAAATTATTGCAAGTTTCGCGGACACTTGCAAGGGCGAGAATGAATAACACTGATGGGAAGTGCATGCATGTTGTTTTACATAGATATACCTCGCGAGCACCACTTTGTAGGGAACGGTGGGATTGAGGGTGAGAGGAATAGAGAGTGATCTGATCACATTGGGCCCCTTGCTCTTCAATCTGAGATTTGTTTTCCTGGTGCATGTTTATTTGTTCTCCACATCGCACGTTGCTGCTGAGGTACACCCAGCCAGAGAAACAACACCCTTTCTGTCCAACCAGGTGGCACGTTCGGAGTCCACTTATGCGCGTACTGTATACATGCTCTCTATCTACAACAAAATTACAGTAGGCAACGCGAAGAGCAAAAATAATAATAAATAGCAATCGATAAAGAAACATGCACGGGGAAGGGGAATTCGATTTGGCGATATTGGCTTCACAACGAAACGATAATGCGACGATGGGGGTATTGTCACCAATTGCGACGGCGACGGCGACGATGACAGAGCCAGCAAGAGCCAAAACAACAAAAACAACAACGACGACAACAACAACAACAACAACCGACTCCTCAATGCATCTCCCCTTCTCTGACTCCGCAATCGACATGGACACTGAATCTTCAGGAAACGCTGATCAAACGCCAGAGACGACGACAATACCAACGACAAGAGACACGATGAACGCGACAGGAAAATCCCACCTGCAAAGCCTAACAACAATAACAACAACAATGATTAAAGAACGCCTAATACACCTAACCCATTTGATAACCGACTCCGATTCCCATCCAAAACCTGATAATAGACACAATAAGGACCAAAACAGCAGAAATGAATACAGTAATAGCTCTCCCTATCATCCACTCACATCACACGCAACGTCACCGTCGACGTCGCTGTCATGGTCGCCACAGAAATCTATTGCCATCAACCGATATCTAGATGGTATAGAAGCGCTCCTGCTAGCTCTCCATATCACCGGGTTTTCCAGTGGCGCGTCAAGCGAAGAGGAGGAGGAGGAAGAAGAAGAAGAAGAAGAAGAAGAAGAAGAAGAAGAAAAAGAAGTAAAGGTAGATAGAGGCGAGAATGAACGCAAAACAAATCACTGCTGCACACTATCCAACAACCATCATGATCCACGCCTGGCCTGCATATCATTGGAGGCGGGATGTCAAAATGCCAATACCAAGCCCCATAACCAGAACCAGATACAGACTAAACTCGACAGTCAACTCGACGACGTCATCCGCGATCTAAAAGTCGTCACCGGAAGCCTCGAACAGCGCCGCGCAGAGTGCCTTCACTTAAACGCCGTGTTCACGATGAAATGTGAAAAGCTCGCGCAGCGTATTCTGGATTTGGAGGAGCAGATGGAGGAGCTGTAAGTTGCGGATCTCTCCCCAAATCCACCCCAATCCTTCCAAAAGTAATGAAAAATGGAAAACAAGACGTTTTTACATCCAATAAAAGGCGGTATTGATCGGGAAGAAAGAAACTAGTGGTATTACTTTTTGTTTTTTAACACATCACGAACCAAATATAGACGTGCGAAGAAGATCGAAAACACGATCGAGCTGGAAGGATTGAAGGGGACGGTGCGGGGGTTGGAAGGGTGGATAAAGCGGTGGAAGATGCGGCAGTGCGAAGACGAAGAGGGAGAGGAAGGGAGGAATTCCAAACATGCTTGGTCTGAGACTTCAGACCACGGGCGCGGACAATGGGGTAAGCCGGGGAGGGTGTTATGGGGTGGGGATGGAGATTATGACAGTAACGATGGCGATGTAGATGACGATACGTTGATGGATGGGGTTAGTGCGTGGTTGCGTGATTGGAGGGATGTGGAGGAAGGATTTAGGATTCGGGCTCGGCTGAGGGAGAGAATGAAGGCGGTGAGGAGGGGTCCTGGAAAAAGTGAATGATTCGTTTTCCGGTTGTCGGGAGGCTTGGGCTGATGGTACGGGAGTATAGCACCTCTTCTTGCTGATGGTATTATCCTACAGTATTGCTGGCAGCAAATAACCTATTGCAAACCTTCGACAAGGCCGTTCGCGCTCCATTGTGGGAAAATGGAGGAGGGGGAGAAGTTGGAATTTGATGTGTGTCCTGAAAAGGGGACAACGGGCCAGGGATATATCGATGTGTCTTTTCACAACACATCTACCATAAATAGCCCCTTACATTAGTTAACGAGAAGAGGACATTGAAGATGTGTGTCGATATTTCAAGGCAGGTAGCGAATGGTACGGAATGGAGTTTCGATATTTTTTTTTCCCTATGGAGTGTTGAAAGGGGGATTTGATTTATTTTGGCAATCACATAGAGCTCGCGCGTCACCGTTGGAGATTGATGATGGCCATCTAAAGGGGAAGTAGTTAGTATAGTTGAGCGTGAGGGGAAAGGGGGTGGAGTAAAATAAAACCAACGGGTCTTTGTTGGGATGGTGGGGAGGGGGGGGGAGGAAGTTATAACAAAACATAAACAAATGAAGGCAAATTCCCCTTACCTGTCTCCCAAACCCTAACGCAAGTTTCTTCCCATCACAATCCCACGACAACGATCTATAAAAGGCTCCTTCCTCCTCCAACACATCCATCATATCCGACTCATCTACATCCGTCTCCTTCTTCGTCCCCACCCCAACCCCCGCTTCAGCAGCAGATGGCGCGACCCACTTCGCCAACGGCACGCCGCCTCTCTCCACATTCCAAATCAACAACCTATCCACCGTCGCCGCAGCAATGGCATACCCATCCGGCGAAAACCGCGCACACAACGCCGGCGACGACGGCCCCATATACAACCGATGCAAGCAGTGTATCTGTCTAGACTCCACATCGACATTCCACAGCTTGACCGTATCGTCCATGGACGAAGTGGCGAAGAGGAGGGAGTGTGTTTTGGGCAGGAGGACATGGGATTGATGTTGGGGCCGGAGTTCAAGGGAGGTGATGTCCGCGTGGTGTGCGGTTGTGATGCTGATGTCGTGAGTGGGGATCCAGATGGTTGTAGTGGAGCTGGAGGCTGTTATGGCTACTGGGGCGCCGTCGGCTATTCGGGCGCTGGCGATGAAGGTCCAGGGTTCTTGGGGATAGGGTGATGGGTAGACTTTGGAGAGGTGCATGTCTGTGTCTGTGCGATATTCATAGACAGATCCATCTCCGCAGGCATAGATGACCTCGTCCCCACACCATGATACGTCATGCACGAGCCCGTCGATTACGTGGGGTGATGGGAACTCTCCTGGTCGAACTGCTTGGTCCCAGAGCGTTAATTCAGAATGCTGTCCGTCGGATAAAACTACGGCCATCTGCAAAGTTCGAGGAGCCCAGTGTATCCCCGATACCATCCTTGGTAGATCTGGAAGGAGATCTACCGCGGTGCCGTCCGCACTGTACATGGTAATGTTGCCATTCAACGGGTCACTATAAGTAGCTACAGCCAACATCTTGCCAGCGGAATCCCAACTTGAAGCAGTAACGCATGTTCCAGCAGCCTGGCTTTTACTTTCGATCAATGGCTCGTGAGAAGGTGCTGTCGACGAGCGTGGTCCTGAGGGCTTCCACAGGCTACAAAATGTGTCGCCGGTTGCAGCCACTATTGTTGGATCATCTGGCCGCCACAGGGTCTGTGTGATCTGACTGTCCCCATCGATATCAAGAAGGATGGTGTCCGGACCCAAATCGGCCGCCTTGGAAGGAGATATTTGAACACCAGTGCTGTGACCAACTGTTAATGTGAAAATTGGCGGCGACGGTTCCCGTTCCTGCTGTCCCCGCATACCAACATCTCCATCCGCATCTACCACAGGCTCAACCGACGGAGATTCCCTGGTGACAGCAGCCAGTTCTTGGGTTAGCTCTTGCTGATCGATATCCTTGGGTTTTTCATCCGGATTCAGGGTCGAGCCGGTCTCCTTGACACTGCTAGGCTTGCGAGTTTTCCCAGCTAAGGGCGGAGTACCAACATCATTGGAATGTCCATTTGTGATTCCATCGATGGTCCCCCCTGTAGACTTGGGTGATGGTGATGATGATGGGACATGATTTGCGGCGACGGGTCCACCTTTGGTCTCACTCTGGTCGTTGCCTTCTGCCGGAAGGCGCGAGTCGCTAACCGGCGGGCCGAAGAAAGATCTTGGCGTCGAGGAGAGTGGATTCCCAGCCTGCAGAAAAAAAAGAAAGAACGAAAGAAAGAAAGCATAGTTAGAACGGACTGACCAGCGGTATTATAAAACTACCAATCAAAAAGGGGGCGGGACTTGGCTTGCTTGGTCTAATGATTGTTCAAGTTCATAATATTGAAGGCCTTTCTGGATTAGAGTAATTAAGGCGTATGGCTTAATATACGATGCAAATGGAAAACTCTGAGGATTGTGGTTCCAAGCGCGCTGTAGCATCACCGCAGCTTCTCCATGACCTAGATAGAATATAGTTATGAAGTGGTAAGCAAGCAAACCAGGAAGAAATAGCAGATTATGGATAACCAGGAAAACAAACCGGATTCCTGTAAATATCTGTTTCGCGTTGTTTCAATTAGTTTCCGTTACTTAAACGATCGCCAGAGTGAGCGCAAAAAGCAAGCGCTGAAGAATATATATATATAACCTCTATTTGATAAGCGGATACGCAGAAAGACTCACCTCCAAATCAAGTAATTGACATGATGCGACGTGAGGCCGGTATATGCCATGGTGACATGTGTGTAACCGCTGCGACCCAGCAGCAGTGGAGTAAAGAGGAGAATGCCAGCCAAACATACCACGCCTTCGCGGCAGGTTCAGAACAGCCTCTTTTGGCGTTTAACCCTCCCGCGTAGAATAATAGCAGGGGAGATGTCAAGGGGAGCGCAAAACACAGAACCAGTGAGTGCGCGCGCTGTTCCGGACCGAGAGTCGGGGCGAGGTATTTGGGTGACCAGACAACCAGTGAGGGAAACCCCAAAAATACGTAATATTAGGCCCGACGCGCATAGGGCGATCGGGAGCTGTCCTGTAAATATAAAAACAGCGCGGTGGTCACTGGAGCTGGAGAGTGGTTGGAGTGAGAGAGATGAACCGCGACGGTTTGACCCCCCTTGTATGGATTGGAAAAATGAAAATGAAAGGATGCGAGATGGACAGCGACGATTTGGAAGGGAAAAACGAAGCCCGACACCCACGACAGCACGGATCCACAGATCCACAGGTTCCACTGGTTTTGGTTATGAGAAGTTACGGAAGAGTAGGGGTAGAAACTTTGAAATTTCAAGATTTGGGAATCAGGGATCCAATGATGCTTGGTGCTTGGGAAAGGCGATCTCACGGAGGTCTGCAAGGGGGGGGGGGGTTGTGGGCGCTGCTGCGTCAGAAACCTTAGGAGGCTAATTAGGGAGATGTGGGGAGGGCGGACTTCAGCCTCAGCCTCCGGGGACAGGAATCGTTGAATTATTATTGAACGGTGGGCGACTATTGTCGAAATGCGGTTAGGGACACGGGTATTTAACTAGTGGGGATGGTATGAAGCGAGGGATGGTTGTTCGGTGTTCAGAAATTGAAGCAGGCAGTTAGTTTTATCGCGGAGTCGTGTGTGGGTGGAGAGAAGTTTGTTTTTTGTCTTGCTCCTAAGGAGAAAGAGATGATGAGGTTAGGCAGAGGAAGGACTTGCTTGAGGTTGGGATCTTGACCGTTCTGTTGCAGATCGCGAGATGTTTCTTCTTCTTTACCCACCTGCGCCAGTGGCCCGTTGCCAGTAGAGCGTTGCCAGTTACTCAGTTGCCAGTTAACCCGGTTGTCCCTGTTGTCCCTGTTGTGTCCCTGTTGTTGTCCCTGTTGTTGTCCCTGTTGTTGTCCCTGTTGCCCCGGAGTCACCAAATTTCTTCTTGCCTGTTTCTTCCCACTCACAAAGGGCTTGGTGGCTCGATCGGGGTTAGCGCATGGCTGCTGTAACAGGTACCTTAATGGGCTTGGCGGGCCGGGGTTCGTTTTTGGCCCGGGTCAGCCTTACACAGCGGTACGGCTTGTTTTACACTGGAAGTTGCTGCAGTCAACACTGCTGTCAAATTAAATATATATATATATATATATATATAACCAAGCAGCCTTGGAGCTTTCAAATGAGACCCTTCCGAGAGAGAAAGAACTTGGACCCTTTATCGTCGGTGTTGTCTTCTTAAACAACAAATACACAAGTCTCCTCTTCACCTTACATCTGATTTATTACCAGCTGCCACGCCCCTTGGGAATGTGAATGAATTGTTGGAGATGGATCACATGACATGTAGATTGATGTCATGTGACTTCTACCAAGCCAGATTTGGACCCCAGTAATGGGTTGTTGCAAACAAAGACCCCCGACCCGACCCAATCTCGCTATCCGTTTTCTAGACTATATAAACCTCCTCCTCCCGCCATTCAAACATCTCCTCTCCATCTTCCCTATTTTCCCTTTCATTCCTCACGATTCTCTCCTCTCCCCTGGTCTCCTCCTTTCTGGCTCCACCGTCGGTGTCACGCAGCTCAGCTGGTGCCGCAGCTGAACAGTTCTAGGCCCGTTGGTCGTTTCCACATCCCCCTATCCCTGCAACATCGCAAACACCGACGCCCCAATCTTGGACCGTGTGGAAATTGAGGCATTGTTTCTGGGGCGGTTTGGGGGGGTGCGACAATTCGTGACTGGCTGCGGTGATTTCCTCCTCCGTTCGCCTCCTTTTCCCCGGTCGCATCCAACAACTCCTGGTGGATGGTTTTCCGAACTCAAGAATACTCTTTGAGTGATTTTGTCATTTTGGGACTTGTGGTTTATTCTACTTGCCTAGTACTCTGCTGTGTGGCTTCTACATGTCGCCCTTGATCTTGCATCCTCTTTTCCCAATGGCGCCAATTTCGGGTGTCATTGTGGAGATTGCGATTGACGACGGCCTTGTGACCATTCCTTGAGATAGCGCGCCGCCAAAAAAAAGAGAATGTCCCACACAACAAGTACAATGTCTACCTTACTACACTCCAGAAATTCCATGTCGGCTTCGGGTCTCTCCTGTTCGGCTGAGCTGAGACATGGCAGCAAAAGCAAGGACACGCAATCTTTGTGTCAACCGATTAATCAGGCATTGTTGCTGAAGGGGCAGGCAGGGGTGTCGTCGGTCTCCCTGGCAGAAGTTGCTCCGTATCACTCAGCTGTATCTTCCGTGAGAGGGGCGCTTTCAGCTTTCGTTGGCTCCTTGGCTTGGGGGCGCTGCTCGTCCTGCGAGGATATGTAAGGCAGATCCTGCAGCGGCGGGCATGGAAACGGAAAATGGATGGTTGATCTGATCGCAACTGTAGCAGTGCATTTTGTCACAACTACGTGGAGGTGGTATCGACAGTGTTCCCTGTTGGTTCTCCAGAGCTCACAGCGAGTCTGGATGCTTTGCAGCCTGAGTGGTCCCTGGTCACTGAGATGATATTTTCTGGTTGACAGTGGTGGACAGAGGGGTTATATTTTATTTATTTTTCTCTCTACCCATCGCCGCGCAGCTGCAGAAAATTCCAGACGCAAAAGAACGAGAATTACGCATGAATTACGGCGCTTTTGGTCCACCCTTACTGGCAGCAGTGAGATCTGTGGGTATTACGGGCGGCAACGGTTCTAATGAGGCTCCCTGGACTGGGAGCGGCTGAGGAGTCGCATGCGTTGAGGGGAAATGGATGATAGAAGCCATTAAGGAGCATCATTCAGGGAAGCGATGCTCCTTCAGGCACTCCATGTCGGACCTGCAGACGCATCAAAGGCGCCTTTCTTCCTCGTCCAAGACCGTCTACTCCACGATTGAGTTACGCGTAATAGGCCATAATTTGCATCTTTTTCCTTTGCAGAGATGTCTTTTCGCTTTCCCCCTGACTCTCGTCCAGAAGGTCCTCGTGCACCGTAAAAATGCGACGCCAGACGAAATTCCAGGGAGGTACAAGCGCTCTGGGTCGCAATCGAGACCTGGTTCTGATTCCCAGTGTTTTTGATCAAGATTCCTCAACGAGCTTCTGTGATCCCCAGAGCTTCGCAGGTTCGAACCTCTCTACTGTGGACCAACCTCTGCAGCGGATACGACGCCGACATCATTCTCCCTCTCGCTCGGTTGATACAGAGCCTGGGTCTTCGCCCGACAACCCAATCGATCTAGAGAATGTTACGGATCAAGAACAAGACACTCAGCCTCTCAACGAAGATCGAGAAGCTGAACACCTTGATGGCGATCCCGAGCCTGAGAGCGATAGTGAGGCTGGAACTGGAAGAGATGTTGAGAATACGCCGCTGCCGCTGCAGGACGCGGAGATGGAGACGGACCCGTACAGCAATCTCTGGGGGAAGTAGCGGCTATGACAAGCGAAGGTGGGCTTTTCTAGCGCCATTGGGTTCCAAAGAGTCATTTCCTCACGATCACAAAGGGTCTTACGGGCACGGCCAGCGAGGGCAGTGACAAGGAGAACGTTGAACCGCCACTATCTCTTCCCACTAAGCTCGCCGATGATGTCTCCGTGGATGGGCCCTTGAAGGAGACAGACACCTACCGCAGTCAGCGAGTCCCCTTCAACCTACGTCAATCCAGACCCAGGCAGCCCTCATATCTTCATCTCACGTGCCGCAAGGAGGCTGGAGACAGGTGCCTTGAAGTATCTTCTGTGGGCACCGGCATGGTGGACAGAGGATGAGTTGGCACAGATTGCTCCAGATCAGCTCAAGCAATACAAGGAGAGGTTAGACATCGGGAGTGGGAGCAGGGGTTGGTTCCCAGGGCGATGAAGCGGGCGGCGTCCCATTTTTCACAGGTCAGGACATCATCACAGACGAAGAAGCCGCGACAGTGGTAAGGACGGTAGTGGAAGAGAAACTCTGTTTTCCTTAAAAAATAGTGTGTACGGTTAATCTCAACATTAGATCCTTCACACCATATATAGAGCCTATTCTTGTTATCACCATTGACCACATCCATGTGAATACATTGTTGCTACCCGTCTCCCCGACAAGATTAACCCTGACTGGAAGCCCGTGCCCTTGGCATCCAATCATTTCTATGCATGGAATCTCCGTACCCCTCCCTATGCACACCTCATAATCTCGCTAAAAACCGTAGGGCTCACTATGGTATTTGGAAAACCACGCTTTTCATGGAGAGCTACGCTATAGGCCAGCGGCTGGCAAGGCTCGCTAGAGTGCTAAGGTCCCCCTCCAACGGGGGCTAAAGCGCGCAAAGGGTCAGAGGTCAAAGAGACATTAATCTGCCGAGTAATGATGCCGGTTGTATGTATGGCTTGAATAAATCCATTCTATTATTTGAATAACTAGAATCAATAGCAATTCTTGTCCTCCATTCTGACCAGCTGCATCTGTCAGACACTTCAGTCACGTGACCTGCTTTCCACCATAGTCGTTCTCGTAGTGTGCAAACTCTACAATGACGTTTTCGCTGCGATGAGCCAAAACAACAGCAACATTGCTATCACCAAGGCTCCTCTTCACTCTAAAAAGAAGAGAGCCCGCGCAATCTCCTCTGCTCTGCTAAAACCCCTGGACGACCCTCCCCAGCCCCAAAACACCATGTCCCAGGACGCATTGGACACTACAACAGCCACCACAGCTCAACTACATCAAATCAATATCAACTTCAATCCCCGCCCAGCCCTCTCACCAGGAGGAGAATCCATTGAGAATGTGACTGACTGCACTCAAGCAGTCCTGCTAACTGTGAAGAACTCCTCTTCCACAGTGAATTATAAGCTTAATGCTCTGCTGAGTCATGTCAACAACTCCTTCTCTGCAGAGCTAGCTGCAGTGCTTGAGCTATGCAATAAGCTATCTGCAATACTGGACCTGATACTCTGCACTTATGAGAACTCTCTACCATGCCAGACTGCTGTACTAAGACAAGTCATGGAACATGACATAGTCAAAGTCATTAAAGACCTCATCACTGAATCAAAGTCTATGTTGATGTATGCTACTGCTGTGACAGCTAAGACAATTCTCTCAAACAATTCCTCTCAGACTGTTTCAGCAACAGAACAATCTCACAAAAAGCAGATACAGCAGGCCAATCACTCTCTGCATCAAGAACAGAAAGACAAATAAGTCATGATTAGACTATCTGCAGCACATGCTGCTTGTGACCTAGACTCTCAAGCTATTTGTGAACAAGTACACATCATGATCTCTGATCTGATCTGAATCACTGATGTATGGCACTGCTCATTGAGAATCACTGTGACTGTTCTCTTCTCAGCAAAGACAGCCTTCATTCTTGAACATGCAGATAAGCTGAAAGCTGCTGTAGATGACTGTTTTATTGAGTGACAGAAATTCTGAATCATCTTTGTAGTTGATTCAATCAAGAAGTCAACACACAGCTTTGAAGAACAGAATATCACTCTGATTTCAGTGTCAGAAGAGATACTTCTTTCTGAGATTTGAGATGCTGCTCATCAGACTTCAATCACTCATTATCACTGAATAAAGAAGTCTATGGACCTCAATCTGCATGAAGGGTACATCTAGATTGGAGTATGAATCTCTGAAGTGCATCTCTTTTCAAACAAACTTCATCTTTTCAGTTGCTCAGTGATGGTTAACAAAATCAAGAAATCATCAAAGATCTCAATTTGCACAAGATGTCACAGCTTTCACACAGAAAGAAACTGTGTGTGATCTCTACATTGTGAGAAGTGCAGCAGTCTCACACATTCAGATGAATGTCAAACACCAGCTCACTGCTGCAACTGTCTTGACTCTCATCTCACTCTCAGCACTGACTGTCCAGCAAGACTCAAAATAGTCTCTGAACATATAGAACACATCTTCTGCTGTCAGCTACACTCAATACATGAAGCTGGCAGAAGAGCATTCATCTCAGCTCATCAAACTTCAGCAGAGAAGAGCAATTCAGAGCTAAACTCTAGAGACTTCATCTCATCCCCTCTCTCAGCTCTGCTGACACCAGTCACTAGCTCTCAGAGCAATCAGACAGACTCAATGACCTGCTCTCAAACAGACATCAAGATCACATCAAGTCTGAACCTTCACTAATGAAGAGCAGTCACAGCTCTTCTCACAAATCTACACTCACTGTATATCAAGTCAATGTAAAAAGACAGTCAAGCTCTCATGACATCACTCTCTCACTAGCAGATGAAAGAGTCTGTGACATTGTGATCATTCAGAAACTCTGAATAGCTACAGATCTCTTCATCCACCTCTTCAAAAGTCATCTCTCATACAAACACTTCATCTCACTCTTCTTCAACTGGATCAAGAGGCCCAGAGTACTGCTCTATGTCAGAAATGAAAGAGCTCTTGCATCAACTCAATCTATAGCAGATATCTCAAGAAATGTTGTCTGTGTCTCAGTTAAAATCTCTAACTTCAAAAAAGCTAATATCTACAACATATACAATGTCTCATCTGATGTCACAGATGCAGATCAAGGCCTTCAAGATCTTCTCTCTCTTACACACACCACAGAGATCATCCTCTGGATGGCATTAGAAGACTTTAATATTAGACACACAGCATGAGACTCTACAACTGATAGGCATTCTCAAGCAGAAGAGAATCTGTATAACTGAGCAATCTCTTTTGAACTTCAGCTTCTCAACCCAGCTGAATCCTCTACACATAGACAAGAAGACACATTTGATCTTGTCTTCTGTGCTGCCAACTCAGCTATCTGTCATATTGCTTCTGAACTGCACTGCATCTCAGATCATGAAACTCTTATCACAACAGTTCAATTATCACAGACTCAGACTCAATTGATTAAGGAGAAGAAGCTTAGTCTTGCAATCTGTGATGCTGATCACTTCTTGCAACTACTCACTCTCTTCTTCTCACTAATCTATAAGAATGTGAATGAGAAAGCAGTGGACATCATGAAATCTCTTCAACTGACTCTACAAGACTTCTGCTCTCTCACCTCAGGACTCAAGAGTCATCATGCCTCATGATGGACCCCAGCAGTCAAGATAGCCAGAAGAGTATATCATGCAGCATGTAGACACAGCTCTTGTCAATCAGAACAAGTGACATTCTGAGTGGAAATTAGAAAAGCTAAAAGAGCATGAAATCACCAGTGAATTGAGGAGACTTCCTCCTTATCAGATGTCTACAAGATTGTCAAATGGCATAAATATCAATCTCAAGACCTCACTTCTTCTTTATGACATTCTGATGGACATCTAGAACAATCTTGTGCTGGCAAATCTTCTCTACTGCATGAGACACTTCTGGCCAGACATCTTGACATGGAAGATATCCCAGAGCATACATCAACAATCTCATGCAGAGAGATACTCTGAATGTCTCTTACAGAGCAGAAAGTCTACAGAGTCATCTGCCAGACACTTAGCACATCTTCTGATCTGAATGACATTACAGTCAAGATTCTTCAAAAGACATGATCAGTGATAGGCAATCAAATCATTCTACTCTTTCAACACTGTATAGATCAAGGAATTCACTCTCAGAGCTTCAAGAAGACTGAGGTGGTGATTATTTCAAAGTCAGAGAAAAGAGATTACTCTCTATCAAAGTCTTACCACTCAATCACACTGCTATTCTGCCTCAGCAAAGGGCTGAAGTGTCTGATAGCTAGATGAATGTCTTATCTCACTCTTCATCATCACATTCTAGCAGAAGATCAGTGTAGTGCTGTTCAACAGAGGTCTGCAGTAGATCTCACCACCACACTAGCCTGTGATGTACAAGAGGCATGGGACAAACACCTTCTGGCCAGCATGATCACTCTAGATGTCAAAGAGGCCTTTGACAGAGTTCTTCAAGACCAGCTTCTAAGACATTTACAGAAACAGAGCTGGCTGGTAGTTCTGATAAAGTGAGTAGCATCTTTTCTTGATCAATGACTAGCTTTGATTCAACTAGACAGTGTTCAATTAAAGATGTTTCAGATTCTCTGTGACCTTTCACAGAGATCTCTCATCTCATCAATTCTCTTTCTGCTCTATGTAGAACCCCTCCTCCAGCTTATCAAAGACCAGTTTGGGTACACAGACAACATTGCAATCCTGGAGACTGAAAGCTCTCTTGAGCAAATAGGAAGTCAGCTTCAGAATTCTCTCAACCACACTCTGAAATGAGATATTGACAATAGAATCTCATTTGACCCAGTCAAGACAGAGCTTCAATACTTTCATAAAAAGATCAAGTACTCAGAGCCCTTCATCTTCTTTAATGAACAGACAATTTCCCTCAATAACTACATCAGATGACTAGAAGTTTTCTTTGACAGAAAGTTACTCTTCAGAGAACATATTCACCTTGCATGCACTCAAGCCAGAATTGTTACAGAACACATTAAATCATTAAATGAAGTCTCATTCAGAAATCAAACACATTTGCTCAGACAAGCAACTCAAAGCTGTGCCTTCAGCACTCTGTTTTATGGAGCTGAGATCTGATTCTTGAAGTGAACCTCTCAGGCAGTCATTGACAAAATTCAGATAGTCTTCAACAACACTGCTCAAGTCATTCTATCTGTCTTTGCCACAACATCTACCTCTGTTCTCCTACATGAATCAAGCTGGGGCCCAGTCAAAGCCTGGCTAGAAAGAATACATGACTGACTAGCTGTTCACATAGCTGCAGCTGATCTGTCACATTCTCTATGCTGAAGATGATACATCTCACATTTTAAATGAATTAGATGAAACATTAAAATGACAGTCATCACATCTGGCTCAGAGTCCTTGCCTTCTTGAGACAATTCTGACATATCAAATAGAGAGCAAAAGACACTAGAAATTGAGACTGTGGGACAAGCTGCAGGACTAGCAGCTTTTCAAAACTGACTTCAGAAAGCTGTATTCTCTCTTGATCTCATCACATATACTGATGGCTTCAAAGACAGTCAAGAAGTTTCAGATGAAGGCTACTGTCTATACTGAGAAACAAATCAATTTCTGAAGCTTGATAAGCTGCCTCTGAACTGCACTGCTGAGGTCTTTGATGCTGAAGTGCTTGCAGCAGTTGCTGGTCTTGAGACAGTGCTACAGAACCCCTTCTTTATGTTCACACAGCACATTATAGTGACTCTAGACAATGAAGAGGCTGCAATAAGACTTCATACAGACACACTCACATGAACATCTTTTCTCATTTTTGTTAAATTCAATGAACTCTGCAGATTCTGGACAAAACAGAGCCCAGGTCCAGCTGGCTCAAGACAGATCTATGTTCAATGATGCTCTGGCCATGCTGAGATTTCAGACAATGATGTCACAGATGCTGCAGCCAAGTCAGCCTGCACAATGAAATGCACTCATCACACTCTGACTCTGATGTGAGTCAAATTCTATGCTAAAGAATGCTTCAATGCCTCACTGCAATAATACTGAAGCTTCAATAGCACATCATGATACAAAAATCTCAATATCTCAATGTCAAAAGAACTCTTCTCTGAGCTCACTCTTCTCTGAAGGAATCTAGACCACTTGCTGACAGCTAGAACAGATCACAGTGACTTTGCAGTCTATCATCACAGATGAGCACATGACAATGCACTTCTCATCTGCTCTTGCAGCTGAGATAAGACCTCTGAGCACTTCTTCTTTTGCTGAAAAGACTGAAACATTGAATGAATTAAAATCTCTGAAGCATGCTGAGAATCAAAGAAAGCAATTGACTGACTTCTCAACACAGTAAGAGAAGCTATGATCTTCTCTATCTGATGCACTAATATCTGCTTCTTCATTGACATTCAACATCACTACTAGAATCTGTTCAACATCTGACTTCTCTCTTCTTCTCTCTCTTTTCTATGCTTCTTATATACATTTCTCATCATCTTTACACATCACTCTAGAAGCTCTTGGCTTCCTCAGTCCTGTAATCTTCAGCTACTATGCCATTCAGAACCTCCAGGACAGAGGCTACTCTGTACATAGACTCTCAAGAGGGCTTCAGCCAACTAGACATGTCAGACAGCAGACTAGCTGCTGCGCTGGCATGTCTGATACCCTTAAGAAGGTGCTGTGACTGCAACAGCAGACTTTTCTTAGTCAGCTGATCACATGCCTCCAGGTGTTAAATAAGTAATAATAATAATAATAATAAACTCTACAATGAATCAAGCTTGCCATTCTGTCAGCATCTGCTTGTTATCATATTTCGCCTAGCACCTCCATCCCCACTTATTCAAATCTCGTAACTCATTCAGGGCTAGGGTTTATATCTGTTGCGGATCGCTGCTCTGGGAGTGGCTTGCACAAACCGAAGCTGGGTGTTCATCGTTCACTTCAGATTCATTTGACAAGCATTTTTTTTTTTTTAAAAAAAATAAAAAGTTTACATGTAACTATGTAACTATTTCGTGACAATCAGAGTACCCAGTACGTAACGGAATAAGCTTGCATTCACATCCTTAGAGCAAAGAAGACGGTCCCTTCAGCGGAAAGAAAAGTTAAAAAAAAAAAAAAAAAGAGAACCCCAGAGCATGCAACAATGCAGCACAGGATGTCAAGAGAATATAACCTCAACAACCATATTTGTCCATGATAGCTCTGAATGAAGGGTCACGCAGAAGCTGTGTTGCGGTCAGACGTTTCTCTGGACAGTAAGTAAATACTCTAGTCATGATGGAGAGCACATGTTTTCGCTCAATGGGATCGACTTCAGGACAAAAGTATGCAATTGTCGATGCAAGCTCATGGTTTGGATCGGGTGTTTTACGCTCATCATACCAGGAATCCAGGCTTTCGGAGGGAGTGTAGAGGCCCTTCCACTCCTCAGGCAGTGGACCCAAACATCTGACCATACCAGTTATTATTCCACCGTTAAGCCAGGTAGGGAAAGGCGGATGGCCAAGGTAAAGCTCTGCGAAGAGGACCATGTAACTCCACATGTCGCAGGCAAAACTTGGATCTTTCCTATGAAATCGATCTGGGGAGCAAAATTGCATAGGCGGATAGCCGTGTTGAGTCACGGGGTCGCCAAGTTTCATCGACAGACCAAAATCACTGAGATAGAATTCCTCTGTGCGTAAGTTCTCAGGGATCATAATGGGCAGCACAAGCTCTCCTGGCTTCCAGAGGTCGACCAATGGTATGATTTGCCTTAATGGCCGACCGAGTGTCTTGTATTTAGCACTCCTGTTGAGATTGTGGAGAGGAACCATCCCCCACATACAATTCCTCTCGTTCAAATCTATGAAATATCCATTAAAATGCGCATCAACGGGAAAGAGAGTGGGAGGCAGAGCTGACTCACCGCGGTGCACAATTCCGGCCTTGTGTAAATTTTCCAAGGCCTCTAGCAATTGCTTAGCAGCGGACATGCGAGTGGCCATGGACATCTTTCTCAGGATAATAGGGTAAAGGCATGGGCCCAGAAGAGGGAACACTAGGACCCTGTGATGACAGTTGTTTCCAGGGAGTAGAAAGGTCGCCAAATATGTCACAAGGTGAGAGGTATCCTGTACATTCTGAAGGATTTCATCCTGCATGCGGATTTCATTTTTTTCCCATTCCCCCGAAGACATGACTTTGAGGGCGACATCCCTCTTATCCTGAAGGTCATGGGCCATCCAGACGGTGGAGAAGCCGCCAGAGCCGATTTTATGCTCTATCAGGTATCTCTCATTGAGCACTTCTCCGACACAGATGGGATAGAAGACATGTGGAGTTTTCTTTATATCGTACTTTTGCCAGGGTTCGGCAACCTCTTCGAGGTCAAATTCCTCGTCCTCGGTGCTCACAAAGTCGCCGAAGTCTGCCATATCATTGCCCTTGGGGGCATTTGGGTGCTGCTGCTGTATCGATGCGCAGAGGGGGTGATGGTCGAAGTTGTTCAGGGAGTGAGGCGAGCGTGTTATCGCGGGTTTGGTGGCCACAAAGAAGAAAGCCGCACAAACGCTTAAAGCTACTCGCGGATATAGTAAAAGGAGAAGAGGTTGAATATGTGCTTTATTTCATAACTACTGCACTGGTATAAATATTGTTGATTCTATCAGGTGACGACCAAAGTGTCCCCCGACGCAGACTCAATCCCAATCTCCCATCTTGTCCATTCGCTCAACCTATTAGGCCTATGAGGATCGCTTTCTTGCTGCCCATTTCAATCCCTACCGCATCCTTGGCACCTAACTATTGAGATTCTTCCAAGTTTCACTTGCAGCACGAATGTGAATTGTGGCCGGGATGTCGCGCGATTCGGGTCGCACGGGGATCTACCATTCAATTGATTCAGCCACTCAATTATGGATTCAAACCACCGAGCGAGGGTTGGTTGCCTTGCAGCCTTGCCATAGAGATACCCTTCTATTATTGGTCTTTGACAACTTTCTCTAAGCGCCGACTCGATTCTCCGGTACTTGACTGCGCTTCTGACCCCGATCCAGTTTGGTCTTTTTAAGGCTATCAAGTCGATTGGATGATAACCTCCCGAGTGCACAATCCTTGATGTGCTCAGGCAGCTAGCCACCCCAAAGACGCCTCAGGAAAAAGGAATCTAAGCTCTGTACGGCGGCCTGACCGAAACCTGAGGCAAGCCAAATGCTTGCAGACCAAACAGGTGCGTGCTCACTGGGCACAATGGCAGGGAGGCAAGCGAAACCATCTACAAAAACAGAAAGGCCCTCTTCTGTCAACCAACTGCTTGCAAATTTCACATTACCAAAATTACCCGGCTGAAAACCCGGTTGAAAAGGGTTAGTGAGTCCGAGTCCTTTCAGGCATTCTGATTAGTCTTTGTATGGCTTGCCGCCCATACTGCTGAAGTGAGGAAGAGCAGCGGCGTTTGTTAACCCTGAGGCAGTCGCCCCGGTTTAGTTCAACATCTGTTTGAACATATGAAAGTCTGTCATTCCTCTCATCTGTCTCGATTTTTTCCTGGATTTTATCTCTCAAACATCTCGAATACTGTTCACTGCGAACACCCCAGCCCTTACCTCCCAACGACTCTGGTCTTACGCCCCATTCCTGATATTCACCCTTTCAGAGAAGTCCTCTTCCTTTCCCGCTCCCCTCGTTAGTGTTAGAGAACCTATTCGCTTCCGCTAGCCTTCAACAAAACCCCTAACCATGTCCTTTCCCAATCATCTTCCCGCCGATTCCTACGAGGGCACGATCGATGGCATTACCGTCAAATGGGGTCCTAACGCAATTACCCACCTGCCCTGCAATGCCAAAGTATTCAAAGTGGATCAGGCCGCCTTGAAAGGTGCCACTGAGCAGATGGCCCACGCGAGTGCTAAACGACTTGGGAAAACCGGAGTCCGCATCATGTATGCCGTTATCCATGTTCTAATATGTATTATTAGCCCAGTACCCTAACTGTCTCTTAGGGGCTCGTTTCGTAACACGACAACCATCACCACAGCTGGTGAGAAACTACTAGACGAGTGTCATTTCTCGATTTCGATAACCCCAGGTCGAGCCAAGGTCCATATTTACGTTGATCTCACCGATGAGGTAGCGCTCCACGACATGAAAGTGCTAGGAGAAAGCGTAATTCCGTACGGCATGTCTACCCCGGACCCAACTCTGTCCATAGGCATCTATCCTTCATAGTGACAGACATGGATTGTGCACTCAGGTGAAGGTGACATGGTATCAAAGACAAGGTGTAGATTATCGTTGTTTGGAAGTGGTTATGTCCTATTTGAAGTCGGTATTAAATACAAAGAGGCATAAGTTAATTGTCTCTACTAAATCAGATCTGTTGTCATGAAGTGACGTCCCGAAAGTAGTCATGCTTGAAAAAAAAAAAAAAAAAAAGGAAAAAAAAAAGGAAAAAATTGCAAAGTAATACTGTAACTGTCCAAGTCACAGCTTTCTGTCACTGACAGAATAGCATCAGCAACTAAGAGAGGTAACAATTTCTGTCAGTTTGGAGGAAAATGGTGGGTTGGGCTTCAATTAAGTCGAGTGAGACTAAGTTGCGTGCTCTTAATCTCAATGTGATCAAGGATGAACACAAAGTATATCTGGAAGGGCTATGTATGGGAGCCATTTTTCGGAGCCACCTGTTATGGTGGTTTAAATGCGAGGCGTCCCCATGTAAGTTCTGCTCATGTTCCAAAAAAGAACTGTGGAAATTCGCAAATTCAGACCCCTAACCCAGGATCCCGTCACAGGGAGGTAGAGGTGAGGGCAGAGCGGAGTGATAAACGCGTCCGGCTATGCTAAGCCACGTATGCGATGCCAAATAATTTTCCCTTCAAAGGGTGCGTCTTCTGTAGGTTTCTACACTTTCTGATAATGTTTGTAATAATCTAAACTGTTTAAATCATTTTTGAAGAAAAGGCAGTTTTCTTCAATCATCCATAAACGCGCGTTCTTCCTCTACTCGCTTATCCTATGCCGCTGCTCCTCATTACTTTGGAGACATGGGAGATCACGGTTGCAGACAGTGTTATTCTCGACGCAATGCCGGTCTACTTGCACCCGTCCAAAAATTGAGCCCTTGTTCGCCATGACCAGACCCTATTCCAGGCGAATATACATGCAGCAGCTGACCTTGCCGGACAGCTTGGCTGGGGATGTCGTGATGCTATAAAAGGTTAAAATTAGACGCGATTCTGGTAACTACAAGTCTCGTGCAAAAGTATAGCGACAAAGGAGAAATGTAGAATGAAGTTCGGCTTGACCAGCAAGCCAGATACGGCTGAGGCAGTTCGATACAGCTCAAAGATTGATCCCGTGTATCGAAGCGACATGATCTTTGAATTGGGCGATGTCCCACATATTCTCTGAACAGACTGGATCAGGAGGACATGGAAAACAAGCATCCGTGGCAATCGTTCACATGTCTCCGCATCTTTTCTGTGCGTGAGAATGAATGCGGACTGAAATTCCATGCCCATTGTTCATTCCCAAGACAGAACAGGCATTGAGTTGCTGGACAGATCATGGGGAATATATCAACGTCTATCGGCTTGAGCTCCCCTTTCAAGGTTACGAGGTCGCCAAGTGAAGCCTTCTGTTTGTAAGGAACCCACCCTTCGGTCCCCTGTCAAGCTCATCATTCCCACAGCACGGATGACCCGATTCGCGAGCCGGACACCCAAGATATGCAGACTCAACATCCCGCTTCACCTTCTGCGAGATGTAGTAGCGTTCGAAGATGTCGGCCCGTGAATGGCCGAGCACCTGGTCCCGCTCTGCTGCTGTTGCGACGTCTATACCAGGGTTAGCATGGGGGGCTCTCAATTCGGATGGGCTCGTGAAATATATAGGTAGTCCTACATCATTGGGCTAGTATAACCAACGGGGAGCTATGGACATCCCCAATCCGAGTGGACGGGTTTGGGTGTACGGCTGGGACTTGTTTCTCTTTCCCTTCATATACATCAAGGTGACCTCCATCACTAGAACATGACGCTGCGGTTCCTCTGGATTAGGGATGACACGGAGCACCACGTCTCTGTACCGCAGGGCATCATTTGAGCCTCGAACGCAGCCGCTCTCGATAAGCGCTCCAGGAACGGGAGGATGCGTACGCGGTCATCAACATCAGCAGCGGCAGTTGCACTGATATCGCTCATGGGGAACTGCTGATGTGTCCAGACACCAGTGGTAATGAGGGACCGACAGCAGGTCTTCAACGCTCAGCGTTGGTTTGCATTCGACAGACAGATTCAGGCTGTATTCATCGGTCAACGGCCCCAGGATAAACTGCAGCCAATATGATCAGATGTGGACTGGCGTAACACCGATATGACTCACCTCGCTGACTGGCTCACCAACCAGCTCATCTACCTTTTGACCGGTAACTCTCTTATAGAGGTAGTTACATGGGCTCGCCAATTTCCCCCCAAACAGAACCTCCGGGATGGTTCTTAGATCGTAAATGCACACCCGATGTTTAGCGCGTACTGCTCCACCCGACTTAACTATTGTGCCCAACTGGAGACTGGGATTTCCCATGGTACCTTATGAATGTCGATGACTGGCTGGGCAAATACCTCTCTCCCATCGAATGTTAGGCACCAGAATGCGCCGGGGGTAACTAGCTTAAAAAAGCATATGGAGAAACTCCGCACTCTCCGGATTTCTCACGCGCTGTGAAACCATGCAAAACTCTCTGTGGTACGAGACAGACAATAATATACCATTGAAATCTAAAATATATCTATGGTCTGTGATGGTAACTTATATTTTAATCTCACTCCCCAAGAAAAACCAACTGATAGCTTGCAACAGAACACGGTATTGGCAAAATCGATTGAATTGTAACAATACAGCCCTTCCTCGGATTTTGAATATCCGGAACGGAGAGAGAGCCATTTTAAAGAGGTAGGGAATACTTGATATACATATGCTGTACAAGACTTTAACTAACAATTCATCTAACGGGCAGGCTCCTGTCAAAATGCAAAACGTTATGTGTATCTCCAGCGGCAATGGTGATAAGGGGTGTCAGTGCTCTCAAATTGGGGCTCTCTAAATGATCAGAAAATATGCGCGGCATTGCATTCAACTGTAGTTTCCAATGATTAATCTGTGGGTTACACAACTACCAGCATCATATTCTTCCCACCGAGGGGGAAAAAAACCGTTTGAACATAGTTCTTGTTTGACATGGTGGTTCATTCGATATCAATTATTATCCTTATTATTATTATTATTATTACTTATTTAACACCTGGAGGCATGTGATCAGCTGACTAAGAATAGTCTGCTGTCGCAGCCACAGCACCTCCCTAAGGGTATCAGATGTGCCAGTGCAGCAGCTAGTCTGCTGTCTGACATGTCTAGTTGGCTGAAGCTCTCTTGAGAGTCTATGTACAGAGTAGCCTCTGTCCTGGAGGTTCTGAATGACATAGTAGCTGAAGATTACAGGACTGAGGAAGCTAAGAGCTTCTAGAGTAGTGTGTAGAGATGATGAGAAATGTATATAAGAAACATAGAAAAGAGAGAGAGAGAGAGAGAAGTCAGATGTTGAACAGGTTCTAGTAGCAGTGTTGAATATCAATGAAGAAGCAGGTATTAATGCATCAGATGAAGAAGATCATAGCTTCTCTTACTGTGCTGAGAAGTCAGTCAATTGCTTTCTTTAATTCTTAGCATGCTTTAGAGATTTTAATTTATTCAATGTTTCAGTCTTTCCAGCAAAAGAAGAAGTACTCAGAGGTCTTATCTCAGCTTCAAGAGCAGATGAGAAGTGTGTTGTCATGTGCTCATCTGTGATGATAGACTGCAAAGTCATTATAGTCTGTTCTAGCTATCAGCAAGTGATCTAGATTTCTTCAGAAGAGAGTGAGCTCAGAGAAAGATTTTTTTGACATTGAAATATTGAGATTCTTGTATTGTGATGTGCTATTGAAACTTCAGTATTGTTACAGTGAGGCATTGAAGCATTCTTTAGCATAGAATTTGATTTGTGCCAGAGTCAAAATGTGAAGAGTACATTTCATTATGCAAGCTGACTTGGCTGCAGCATCTGCAGTATCATTATCTGAAATCTCAGCATGGCTGAAGCATCATTGAATATAGATCTATCTCAGACTGACTGAATCTGAGCTCTGTTTTATTCAGAATCTGCAGAGTTCATTGAACTTAGCAAAGATGAGAAAAAATATTTATATGAGTATGTTTGTGTAAAGTTTTATTGCAGTCTCTTCATTGTCTAAAGTCACTATAATGTACTGTGTGAACATAGAGAAGAGATTTCATAGTGCTGTCTTAAGATCAGCAACTGCTGCAAGCACTTCCACATCAAAGATCTCAATAATGCAGCTCAAAGACAGCTTATCAAGATTGATTTGTTTCTCAGTATAGACAGTAGTCTTCATTTGAAACTTCTTGACTATCTTTGAAGTCATCAGTGTATGTGATGAGATTGAGAGAGAATATAGCTTTTTGAAGTCAGTTTTAAAAGACTACTGATTCTGCAGCTTGTCTCACAGTCTCAATTTCTAATATCTTTTACTCTCTATTTAATATATCAGAATTGTCTCAAGAAGACAAGAACTCTGAGTCAGATGTGATGACTGTCATTTTAATATTTCATCTAATTCATTTAAAACATGAGATGTATCATCTTCAGTGTAGAGAGTGTGACAGATCAGCTGCAGCTATGTGAATGACTAGTCAGTCATGTATTCTTTCTAGTCAGACTTTGACTGAGTCTCAGCTTAATTCATGTAGAAGAATAGAGATAAATGTTGTGACAAAGACAAGTAGAATGACTCAAACAGCATTGTTGAAAACTATCTGAATTTTGACAATGACTGTCTGAAAGATTCATTCTGAGAATCAGATCTCAGCTTTATAAAACAGAGTGCTGAAGACACAGCTTTGAGTTGCTTGTTTGAGAAAATGTGTTTAACTTTCAAACAAGACTTCATTTAGTGATTTAACATGTTCTGTAACAATTCTGACTTGAGTGCATGCAAGATGAGTATGTTCTCTGAAGAGTAACTTTCTGTCAAAGAAAATCTCTAATCATCTGATGTAGTTATTAAGAGAAATTGCCTGTTCATTAAAGAAGATGAAAGACTCTGAGTACTTGATTTTTTTATGAAAGTATTGAAGCTCTATCTTGACTGAGTCAAATGAGATTTCATTGTCAATATCTTATTTCAAAGTATGATTGAGAGAATTCTGAAGCTGACTTTCTACTCACTTAAAAGAGCTTTCAGTCTTCAGAATTGCAATGTCATCTGCATATTCAAACCAGTCTTTGATAAGCTGAAGGAGGAATTCTACATAGAGTAGAAAGAGAATTGATGAGATGAAGAATCTCTGTGAAAGATCACAGAGAATCTGAAACATCTTTGATGAAATGCTGTCTAGTTAAATCAAAATTAGTTGTTGATTGAGAAAAGATGCTACTCACTTTATCATAACTGCCAGCCAGCTCTGTTTCTGTAGACATTTTAGAAGCTGGTCTTGAAGAACTCTGTTGAAGGCCTCTTTGACATCTAGAGTGATCATGCTGGTCAGAAGATGTTTGTTCCATATCTTTTGTATATCATAGACTAGTGCAGTGGTGAAATTTACTGCAGATCTCTATCAAACAACACTACACTGATCTTCTACTAGAATGTGATGATGAAGAGTGAGATGAAATATTCATCTAACTATCAGATGCTTCAGCTCTTTATTGAGGTAGAATAGCAATGTGATTGAGCAGTAAGACTTTGATAGAGAGTAATCTCTTTTCTTTGACTTTGAAATAATCATCATCTCAGTCTTTTTGAAGCTCTGAGAGTGAATTTCTTGATCTATATAGTGTTGAAAGAGTAGAATGATTTGATTGCCTATCACTGATCATATCTTTTGAAGAATATTAACTGTAATGCTGTTCAGATCAGAAAATGTGCTAAGTATCTGACAGATGACTCTGTAGACTTTCTGCTCTGTAAGAAGCATTTAGAATATCTCTCTACATGAAATTCTTGATGTGTGCTTCAAAATATCTTCTATATCAAGATGTCTGATCAGAAGTATCTCACACAGTAGAGAAGATTTATCAGCACAAGATTATTCTAGATGTCCATCAGAATGTTGTAAAGAAGAAGTAGGATCTTGAGATTGATATTTATGTCATTTGACAATTTTGTAGACATCTGATAAGAAGGAAGTCTTCTCAATTCACTGATGATTTCATGCTCTCTTAGCTTTTTTAATTTCTGTCTGAAATGTCACTTGTTCTGATTAATAAAGATCATGTCTATATGCTGCATGATATACTCTTCTGACTATCTTGACTGCTGGGGTTCATCATGAGACATAATGACTCTTGAGTTTTAAGATGATAGAGCAGAAGTCTTGTAGAGTCAGTTGAAGAGATTTCATAATGTCCACTGCTTTCTCATTCACATTCTCATAGACTGATGTGGAGAAAGAAGTGAGTAGTTGCAAGAAGTGATCAGCATTGCAGATTGTGAGACTAAGCTTCTTCTTAATTAGTTGAGTCTGAGTCTGTAATAATTGAACTATTATGATAAAAGTTTTATAATCTGAAATGCAGTGCAGTTCAGAAGCAATATGACAGATAGCTAAGTTGACAGCATAGAAGACAAGATCAAATGTGTCTTCTCATCTATATGTAAAGAATTTAACTGAGTTGAGAAGTTGAAGTTTGAGAGAGATTGCTCAGTTATACAAATTCTCTTCTACTTGAGAATGTCTATCAATTATAGAGTCTCATGCTGTGTGTCTAATATTAAAGTCTTCTAATGTCATTCAGAGAATGGTCTCTGTGATGTGTGTAAGAGAGAGAAGGTCTTGCAGACCTTGATCTGCATCTGTGACACCAGATGAGACATTGTATATATTGTAGATATTAGCTTTTTTGAAGTTAGAGATCTTAACTGAGACACAGATAACATCTCTTGAGATATCTGCTATAGATTGAATTGATGCAAGAGCTCTTTTATTTCTAATATAGAGCAGTACTCTGAGTTTTTTGATCTAGTTGAAGAAGAGTAGAGTGAAGTACTTGTATGAGAGATGATTTTTGAAGAGATGAGTGAAGAGATCTGTGATTATTTAAAGTTTCTGAATGATCACAATGTCACAGATTCTTTTATTTACTAGTGAGAGAGTGATGTTGTGAGAGTTTAACTGTCTTTCTACATTGATTTAATATATAGTAAGTGTAAATTCATGAAAAGAGTTGTGACTGCTCTTCATTAATGAAGGTTTAGACTTGATATAATCTTGATGTCTGTTTGAGAGCAGGTCATTGAGTCTGTCTGATTGCTTTGAGAGCTAGTGACTGATGTCAGCAGAGCTGAGAGAGAGAATGAGATGAAGTCTTCAGAGTTTAGCTCTGAATTGCTCTTCTCTGCTGAGATTTAATAAGTTAAAATGAATACTCTTCTGCCAGCTTCACATATTGAGTGAAGCTGATGATGAGAGATGCATTCTATATATTCAGAGACTATTTTGAGCCTTGCTGGACAATCAGTGCTGAGAATGAAATGAAGATCAAAACAGTTGCAGCAGTGAGCTGAGATGTTTGACATTCATCTGAGTGTGTGAAACTGCTGTATTTCTTGCAATATAGAAGTCATGCACAGTTTCTTTCTGTGTGAAAGCTGTGACATCTTGTGCAAATTGAGATCTTTGATGATTTTTTGATTTTGTTAATCATCATCAGATGACTGAAAAGATGAAGTTTATTTGAAAAGAAATGTACTTCAGAGATTTGTACTTCAACTCAGATGTACTCTTCATGCAGATTGAGATCTGTAGATTTCTTTGTTCAGTGACAATGAATGATTGAAGTTTAATGAATGATATTTTGAATCTCAGAAAGAAACATCTTTTCTGACACTGAAATCTGAGTGATATTCTGTTTGTTAAAGCTGTGTGTCAACTTCTTGATTAAATCAATTACAAAAATGATTCAGAATTTCTGTTGCTCAATAAAATAGTCATCTACAGCAGCTTTCAGCTTATCTGCATGTTCAAGAATGAAGACTGTCTTCACTAAAGAGAGAACAGTCATAGTGATTTCTGATGAGCAGTATCATACATCAGTGATTCAGATCAGATCAAAGATCATGACATGTACTTGTTTATGAATAACTTGAGAGTCTAGATTACAAGCAGTGTGTGCTGTAGATAGTTTAATCATGACTCATTTATCTTTCTGTTCTTGATGCAGAAAGTGATTGACTCACTGTATTTGCTTCTTATGAGATTGTCTCATCACTGAAACAGTCTGAAAGAAATTGTTTAAGAGAATCATCTTAGCTGTCATAGCAGTAGCATATATCAATGTAGACTTTGATTCAGCAGTGAGATCTTTAATGACTTTGACTATGCTGTGTCTTATAGCTTGTCTTAGTACAGCAGTCTGATGTGGTAGAGAGTTCTTGTAAGTGCAGAGTATCAGATTCAGTATCACAGATAGCTCATTGCATAGCTCAAGCACTGCAGCTAGCTCTGCAGAGAAGAAGTTGTTTGCATGACTCAACAGAGCATTGAGCTTATAATTCACTGTGGAAGAGGAGTTCTTCACAGTTAGTGAGACTGCTTGAGTGCAGTCAGTCACATTCTTAATGAATTCTCCTCCTGGTGAGAGGGCTGGGCAGGGATTGAAGTCAATATTGATTTGATGTAGTTGAGCTGTGGTGGCTGTTGTAGTGTCTGACATGTCCTGGGACATGTTGTTTTGGGGCTGGGAGGGATCATCTGGGGGTTTTAGTGGAGCAGAGGAGATTGTGTGGGCTCTCTTCTTTTCAGAGTGAAGAGGAGCCTTGGTGATAGCAATGTCACTGTTGTTTTGGCTCATCGCGGCGTTGATTATTATCCTTATTAGCTGTCGGAGTTGGGCAGCAGAACGTAACTAGTCATGTGATTCCAATCTTGAACCTTGGAACCCAAGCAACATCGAACTTTAGGAAGATGTTCTGGCAACAACCGATTTAACTTGGAACGTTAACGTCGAAAACCCGTTGACAGCAAACCAAAATCCTGCTCAATACGCAGCCCAACGACGGGTGGTCTCGGCCACTGTCAGCCCAGTGGTATCGGGAAAATCATAAATATATCCCCAGACACTCCTGCCCCCGAATAGTTGTCCCTCAATGGCACCGCGAATAAATATTCCCCCTATTACCCGGGCCATTCTCAGCGCAATCTGCGCCCTATCCTTTTTGAACGGCGTTGCCAGATGGAGAAAATATGAAGGCTCACCAGGCGCACCGATCCCCTATTTGACATTGGTCCCGTCTAATTTTCTATTTTATCCCTGGACGCTCTTGACCGCGACCTGCCTGGAACAGAACATTTTAACCGTCATAATTACCGGTGCGACGGTGCTTTATGGTGGGAAATATCTGGAACGGGCCTGGGGATCTCGGGAGTTTGCGAAATTTATCCTTGTCGTTGCGCTGATGCCGAATGTTGTCATGGTGTTCCTTTATATACTCTGGGCGGGGATTACATCAAATTCCGGGGTTGCGTACGTTTTCCCACTCTTCGCCTCTGGAACACATATTATTCTTTCATACAAAGCCTGTTGTTAACTTATGTACTTTGCTTTCTCCACAGTGCTAAGGGAATATCTGGCGGTATATCAATCCAGGCCGCCTTCCTCGTAGCCTTCAATCAACTAGTCCCGGAACACACCGTAACAATTCTAAAAGGCCTCGTGAAAATGCGCGTCAAGCATTTCCCAGCCCTCTTCCTCCTCCTCAATGCCATTGGTGGCCTCATCCTCGGAACCGACGTCGCACTGAATCTAAGCTGGCTCGGCCTCCTCTCCAGCTGGACATATCTCCGCTTCTATAAACGCCAACCAGATCTCTCCGGCACCTCAACCAACGGCCACGGAATCAAGGGAGACGCCAGTGAAACTTTCGCTTTTGCCAACTTCTTCCCAGACGCCATTCAGCCCGCCATCTCCTTCGTCACGGATAAGATATACTTGCTTCTCATCACCGTTCGTATCTGCACGCCCTTCTCAGACGAGGATATTGCATCAGGCAACGAGCGGGCGATGGCACGGGGCGAGGCAGGTCTTCCCAGTTTCATGAACAATGGCAGGATGGGTGGCGGGAGGGGTACGGGTAAGCGGGAGGAAGCTGAGCGACGCAGAGCGCTTGCGCTAAAGGCTCTGGATCAACGGCTTCAGGCAGCTACGGGGAACAGGTCGTCGCAGACATCTGCAAGTGCGGGTCCGGCGCATTCAGCTCCACCACAACAACAGCAACGACAAACATCGCCGCAGCCAGCAGCCCCGTCTGTTGCCCCTGGACAGAGCATGTTGGGTGAAACGAACTATACGCCAGACCATTCGTAATGAGAAAACGGACCCAAAACAAAATGTTCTATAATCAAGTCGCTGACATTTTTTACATCTTGTAGCTACCCTGTGTTTCCCTGCGTGTGAATGGAAACGATGGCTCTACTTTATGAATTCCCTTCTTATACCTATTCTCATGGACTACTGCCCTTTTTTGCGAGCGTAGAGGATAAAGGTGGGGAATGCTTTCCAGCCCTATTATCCTTCAGCCCGTGGCAAGTAAGTTGGGAGAGGGATTTCAGGTTTGGATTTGTGCCTTGCTCGAATCTCATTTGTATGTTCTTTCACCCCATATTCCCTCCCCTCATGACATGACCTCGAAGCAACCTTTTGCCGTCACATTCCCCACTCTATTATCCATTTCCATGCACCTTAACCTTATGTATCATTTCTTTTTAAACGACTTTTCTAGACGAAAGGGTTATCATTGCTTCACTTTCATTTTCATTATTATTTTTTATTTCATTTTTTCAATTTCAATGCCCTGCCTTTTTTCCTCTTCCCTTTGGTGACCATATTGGAACGTGTCTGCTTTCTCAGCGGCTTCAAACACTGGATTCACTCTCTTTTTTTTCTTCTTTTTTTCTTTCTTTCTTTCCCCCTTCTGTCATGATAGTATTAGGGTATGATGCTGGCGATAGTGATGGCGTTATTTGTTATTGATATAGAATTGTATTCTTCAATATTTAATCCATGTTCCTTGAAAATCGAATCCCCCCCAATCTCGTTAGTATTTGCTGATGGTATTTCCGGCAGCCTAGTCAACGTCAAAATATCCCAGATTTTATACGGGGTGTGCTGTTATTCATGCTACAGCATATCCTGGAATTCTGATTTATTTATCGTCCTATACACGTATATGTAATAAGTGACACCACTGGGAGATCATCGCGCCCTCTGATTGGGAACGTGGATGCAAAACGTCAATTAAACATCTTTTAACTCCTTACCAACCAAAAAACAGAAAGAGACCAGAAAGTTACACATGAAGTGAGTCTGTAATGAACAGCATAGATGGAAAGAAACAGGGAAAGGCGGGTTTGTACTCCCTCCTTCATAATCCCTCTATGCTTGCTCCCTCAGTTTCTTCAAATCCTCTCTCGAGGCCTCAAGCAATTTCTCCTGATCCTTGATCATCTGTCTATTTTCCGCCACCCTCTTGCGATCCAAATTACTTAGCTCCCTTTGACGCTTCACCTTTTCGATCTCCGCCTCATCCTCCGGTGAGATCGGGATTTCTTCCAAGCCAGTCATCAGTTTGAAGTCCTCCCAGATACGCCCAATAGTCTTCCTCTTTAAATTAATAGTCCTGACAATTTCCCACTCAGCCGGAGGCGGTGCGAACGAATCTGATAGTTGCTCTTCTCCTTCTAGTTGGGGAGGAGGGGAAGGTGTAGGTGTTGTTTCCCCGCTGGCTTTGGCAGCCGCTTTGTTATTGAAGTATAACGTTAGGATGGCCGGTCCCGCTTGTGACTTTGTCTGTGTCACTGTTACGAAAAGCGCTGGGTTGTGGTATTTTAGCCTGGGAAGGCAGACACGCCAGAATTTCCGCGCGCCTCCGTGGCCTTCGTAGACTTTGCGGGCGTAGGTGATATGAATACGGTTTAAGGGGAGGAGTGTGGGGTTAGAGGAGGGTTTGGGGAGTATGGCGGCACCGAGTCCAACTCGCATATTCAACATCTAAGATGCGGGAGGCATCTATTAGTATTTTCTTTCCATATATCATTCCGTGGATCAGGCTGTGGTTGACGGTGACGGGAAGCGTGGGAGTCTTGACACAGTGTACAGGTGGCGTGGAAATTCGGGAGATTAAACAGAAAATCCATCTACCTTCTACAGGACAAGAAAAAAATTATCAGTAATGTATCTTCCATAGAACAAATTTAGGCGCTTTAATTAGGTGAATATATGCTGTCTTACCTCTTGTAGAATTCGCATCCGCTTCACGACGGACACCATGATGCCTGCTGCTCCGCTTCCTCCACAAAAATACAGTCCTTGAAGGCAGTGCCTAAATAATTGGGAAAATAGCGATGAGCACCGTGTGAGGCAATCGTCGTCAATTGGTGTTAGCCAAAAATTGACAGCTCACAGCTGATATCGAAGTTTTTCGACGATTGGGTCGGATAATAGAAAGCCCTTAAGCTCGGAAAAATATGCTGAGTCAGCAACGATCGGGCTTCGCTAATTTTTGATGCGATGTGAAAAACACCGGACCATGAGAAGACTCGAACTTCGCAACATATCAAACTTTACTGCGCCTAACTTTTAAATTGTTCTTTGATTCTTCTTACCTGGGAACTATGGCCGCAGCTGCAGCTGCAGCTGCAGCGCTGGATGCCAGCAATAGCGCTAAAAATACACTGAAGCTTGAGAATGTGAGTTGACTCTGCCCCGCAGCATGACTCGAGGAGATCACTGCTAACATGAATTGTTTAGACGGACAAAAGAGACACCCTCATCGCGATTGAGAAGAAATACCAGGCGCAATGGAAGGCGAACAAGGTCTTCGAAGTCGATGCCCCCTCGATATCCGAAATCCCTCCGGACTCGATATCGCCTGCAGACCTCAGGGAAAAGTTCCCAAAATTCTTTGGCACCATGGCATACCCATATATGAATGGAACTTTGCATGCGGGCCACAGTTTCACTGCTAGCAAAGTAGAATTCATGGCGGGAACTGCGCGAATGGAGGGAAAGAGAGCTCTATTCCCCCTCGGTTTCCATTGCACAGGGATGCCTATCAAAGCCTGTGCTGATAAGTTGGTGGACGACATTAAGAAATTCGGGAACTTTTTCGAGAGATATACTGACGAAGATGGTGAGCCAGATGAGCCACCGGCTCCCACTCAGGAAACAAAGGAAGATCTTACTAGGTTTTCCGGGAAGAAGAGTAAAGCTGCTGCCAAGACGGTGAAGCTGAAGTACCAGTTCCAAATTATGTTGGCGTTGGGTATACCCCTTGAAGAAGTCCATAAGTTTGCGGATCCCTCTCACTGGCTTGAATTCTTTCCACCGTTGTGTGTACGGGACCTCGATAGCCTGGGAGCCAGAATCGATTGGCGAAGACAGTTTGTGACCACAGATGCCAACCCTTATTATGACGCATTTACTCGCTGGCAGATGAATCGCCTCCACGAGCAAGGGAAAATTTTGTACGGAAACCGGTATACTATCTATTCACCCAAGGATGGGCAACCGTGTATGGACCACGACCGGACTGAGGGAGAAGGTGTTGGTCCACAAGAATATACAGCTCTGAAACTTAAGGTCAAAGAATGGTCACCAGCTGTCCGTGAGCTCGTGAAGGATAAGATTGAGGCTGACGCCAATGTGTACTTTGTGCCTGCTACTCTGCGTCCTGAAACTATGTACGGACAGACGTGCTGTTTTCTTGGTCCCAAGATAACTTACGGTCTCTACAAAGTCAGTGATAAGGAATACTATGTCGTTACTAAGCGCGCTGCCTGGAATATGGCTTTCCAAGGCACCTTTTTTGACAGCAGCAACTTCCCGCGAGACCAGAGCGAACTCGAGCCTGTCGTTGAAGCTCCTGGTTCGGCATTCGTTGGCACTTTGGTCAATGCGCCTCTCTCCGTTCATACAGAAGGTGTCAGGATCCTTCCTATGGACACTGTGTCCGCTACCAAGGGGACTGGTGTAGTTACGTCAGTGCCATCAGACAGTCCCGATGATTATGCTACTGTTGTCGATCTTTCAAAGAAAGCAGATTACTACGGCATTAAAAAGGAATGGGCTGAATTGGAGATCCTTCCTATCATTGAAACCCCCACATATGGGAATCTTACCGCACCAACCTTGGTGAAACAACTCAAGATCAACTCACCTAAGGATACTGTTCAACTTGCAAAAGCCAAGGAGCTGGCCTACTCGGAAGGATTTTACAAAGGCACAATGCTTCATGGAGAATATAAGGGCCAGCCTGTTCAAGAGGCCAAAGAAAAAGTACGTCAATCTCTCTTAAAGAGTGGCGACGCGTTCCCATTCGCGGACCCCGCGGGAAAGGTAGTCAGCAGAAGCAATGACGAGTGCGTAGTAGCATACCTTGGTCAATGGTTCTTGAATTACGGCGAGAACGATCCAAAATGGCAAAATGAGACTCTTGATTATGTCAAAGGGCCACTAAACATGTATTCAGAGGAGGCTCGTCACGGTTTCGAAAAGAACCTTGAGTGGCTTAATCGATGGGCGTGTGCAAGAACGTATGGGCTGGGCTCCAAACTGCCTTGGGATCCACATTTCCTGGTCGAAAGTTTGAGTGATAGTACGGTCTACCAAGCGTACTATACTATTGCTCACCTTCTACATGCCGATAGATATGGAAAGGAGCCGGGCCGCCTCGGTATCAAGCCTGAGCAAATGACAGACGAAATATGGGATTTTGTTTTCACCAGGAGAGATTTTGGAGATGATTTGATCCAAACAACTGGTATTAGCAAAGACGCATTGCTTACCATGCGGCGAGAGTTTGAATACTGGTATCCTCTCGATGTTCGGGTTTCGGGCAAAGACCTTATTCAGAACCATCTCACATTTTGCTTGTATGTCCACGCCGCTCTTTTCCCACGGGAATATTGGCCACGTTCTATAAGAGTAAATGGCCACTTGCTACTAAACGGAGAGAAGATGAGCAAGAGTACAGGCAATTTCTTGACTCTGAAGGATGCAGTAGATAAATACGGTGCGGATGCCACACGAATTGCTTTTGCGGATGCGGGTGATGCGATTGAAGACGCAAACTTTGAAGAGTCAGTCGCCAATAGTAATATCCTGCGTTTGTTTACTTTGAAAGAATGGATCGAAGAGGTCGCGAAAGATGACTCACTCCGCACTGGGCCCGCTGAAGCGTTCTTCGACAAATTGTTCGACAATGAACTGAATGTTTTGGCTCGAGAGGCAAGGAAGCATTATGCAGAGTAAGTTCGCGCTCACTCTTACTTCATATGATACGTATTGTTAACTGGAAATCCTTCCTCAGTACAAACTTCAAACTTGCTTTGAAGAGTGCTCTCTACGACTTCACCAGCGCAAGAGACTTTTATCGGGAGTCAACCACAGCAGCTGGTATCGGCATGCACCGTGATGTGCTCTTCCGCTACATCGAGCTTCAAGCCCTTCTCCTTACCCCAATTACCCCTCACTGGTCTGAATACGTGTGGCTGGAGGTGCTCAAGAAGGTTAGTTTTTCTACCCGTTTCCCACTTCCATTGAGAATATATCCAAGATACTAATCACTTTTGTTTCACCCTCCTGAATAGCCCGATACTATCCAAAACGCCCTCTTCCCCGAGGTCCCCGAACCATCTCCCGCCCTTTCCGCCGCTCTCATATATGTCCGCACAACTGCATCGAACATCACCTCCTCGGAAGCCACCTTCGTCCGCAAACTCTCCAAAGGCAAAACAGTGAACTTCGACCCCCGCAAACCCAAGAAGCTTACCATCTTCGCCGCCAAGAAATTCCCCAGCTGGCAAGAGAAATATATTGATCTTGTCCGCGAAGCTTTCGATGCCGTCTCCCTCTCCATCAACGATAAGGAGCTCAACGGCAAAGTGAGTAAATTAGGTGAGATGAAGAAGGCCATGCCGTTCGTGCAGGGATTGAAGAAGAGATTGATTACTGCTAAGGAACAGCCGGAGACTGTCTTTAACCGGGCTCTGGGTTTTGATGAGCTCCAGGCTCTGGGTGATATGGTTGCGGGCCTTATTAGGACCACTGGGTGCAAGATTGTGGAGGTCGTGGTTGTCGAGGAGGGTGGAATGGCTGGCGTAACATTGAATGGCGAGGCCAGGGAAGGGCTGCCAGCGATTGCGGAGAATGCGGTTCCTGGACAACCAACGTTCCATTTCGAGAATATCTCTGAAGTGGATGGGGCGTGATCCCCTTTTTTATGATCTTGATTCTGTTTCTTTTTGGTTTCTCACCTATTTTAAGCCTTTGAGTCATGACTGCGCGCTTTTCAACCCCCCCCCCCTTTGTTTGTTCAGGATGGACTTCACCATAAAGGTACGTGGGGAGAAAATTAAGGAATAAATGACATTTGAAGATCTAGAAGGGTTAGTCTTAAAGAGCAAGCCCGTAAAACCAAGAATTAGAAGAAGATAGATTTTCATAAATGCTGGGATAAATCTTGTCAAGTGACGAAGACCAAATTTATTCCCTCAAACAATGCTTAGATTCTATACTGAAATACTTCTAACTATACAAAAATGCTGAACCCAAAAAAGGCATATAATAAAGCCTAGCCAACAATAAGAGCTATAAAAAATTTTGCTCGTCAGATCGTTCAGTGTTTATATTTTACACGTTCAGAACCAAAAAAATGTAATAATACAACGCTTTTGAAAAGCATTTAATCGCCTGACCGCTTGGCAGACCGCTTAGCCCTCTTCATACTCCTCATCGGCCTTTTTGTCCGACGTTTGGCAGATCTCTGCTGTTTCTCAAGCAAAAAAGAATACGCACACATAGGCATTCGATTTCCCACAAACTTCCCCGTTGGAGTAAATACCTCAACCTTCGGCATAAACCCAGCTTCCAGATCCTTCTTGCGCACTTGCACAATGAGCTCCACCCACCCGCACCCTTCAATTAGAATATCCGTCGACAGAACCCGATACGGTAACGTATTTAGCAGTTTCTTTCGCTTCCTATCCAATGGCAGCGATGTTGGTTTGCCATACGTCTTCGTAACATCCCCCTTAATCTCAAATACACCAGCAGATTGTATGGATTCTGCAATTCCTTCCTTGGCGATTCTCGGGACGTTGGGCACGTCACGCTGCTCTGCTTGCATGAGAATTGCCTTTTCAGTCGACGTCACGTGTGGTTGTATGGGGACAAATGGTGCGGCAAGAATGATGAATTTGTCTGCATCAGCGGGTGTGATGCGGACGAGTCCTCCACCGAGGACGAGAGATTGTGTGGGTTTCAGTGTCAGACGTTCGGGTTTTATGCGCTTTTTCATGATTAGGTCTGGTTTATAGTCGTCTTTGACAAAATCTCCTAGGCCACCACGGGCGAGGCCGGGGAGGTCGATTACTTCACCTCTTTTTCTGCCAAAAGGGATGCGGATTGGGGACGCTGTGGTTCCAGGGAGGGAAGAGACAATGGGGAAAACGGGGTACTGAGTTACTTTCTGGGGGGGCGGTAGGAGGACGTCAACTTCTTGAATAGTTTTGCCGCTCTGGTCGGGGTCCTGGTCTTTAAGTTCTCCTGGAAGAGGTAGTTCATTGTAGTGCGCGGTGGAGTCGGTGAGATTCATATTCCGCCTGTTGAGTTGTAAACTCCCGTCGAACCTCCTGCTGGAAGATAGTTTGGGAGGAGGTAGAGCTCTAGGGGATTTTGGGAAAACAACTTGGAGCAGGTTACTTTTCCCCACGTTTGTTTTCCCAACCATCCAAACACCCCCTCCTTCTTCCCAGATTTTGTCCTTGATATCCTTCGTCCACCAGCCCCTGTGCGCGCTAACCATGTGCACGTTCCCCAGACGCACATATTTCCCTTTGGAACCTAGTGCTTCACGCATAACTTTCAATATAAAGGTCATGAGATGGTCCACGAATGCCTTCTGGGAGCCAAGGAGATCAGAACGTGTAATTATGAAGCTAAGAGAGGGTTTTCTAGTCCCGCCACCGTACTGTATGGTTTTCGCTCTTCGGTTTTGAGAGCGCATCTTCGCCAGGGAGAGGATTCGTCCAATATTAGGGATCAGTGACATGGGGAAGTCTGCGGCATCTATAATGTGATAGACATGGTTGTGCTTGAATGGTGATTCGGCCAGAATGTCTTCGATATATGATAATGATGGGTAGGGAATGGGAGATGCAAGGCCATGGTTTAGGAGATTGTGACATCTGTCGCAGAATGGCACCTTTATATCACTTGGCGGTGGTGTGCCTATAGGAGATGTTATGTTAGCTGGGTGCGGGTTATTCAAGGGAGTTGAGGTAGATCGCCCCTTGCCTTCGAGCCCAGTCGCAGATTGTTCGGTCAGTCCATTTTCGGCCGGCGCATCATTGATAATGCTGACATCATTGTTGCTCGATCGCACATCTTCAGCTGCAGAGCTGCATTCTTCAGGATCAGGAGAGAAGCAACGCATATACTCCTTTACAGCATTCCTGCTAAGAGAGTAGAAACCAGCTTCGTCGGGAGTGACCCATTGCGAAAATGAGCCGCAGCCAGGGCATGACAATGGAAGAGACGTAGGGTCAAGTTTCGAGATGTTACCCTGGAGTATAGCTTGCGGGGGTGTATCTGTGCCTGGGGGGGTATCTAGCGAGGTATGGAGTAACCGTCGATGCCTGCGGAATGCGTGATCTCTATGGTAAGAGCGGCAGACCGTGGAGCTCCATTTCGAGGAAGCGAAATATGAAACCCGCGGGATTGGTGCAGTTAAATACCCGAAGTTAATAAGTTTCCGTAATGCGGATCCTAGAGTAAGGGACATTATACGAAATTAAGATATACATATGCAAGAAAATAGAGAGATCTGCCTCGCAGCGTTGGAGTTTTGCTGCGGGACGGAGAAAATCAAGCTGCGCATGTGGTTTTACTGGCCAGCCGTAGAGACAGCTATGAGATTGATAAGATTGATAACGTCAGATTTTCAGATCTACATACGGCTAATTACAACTCTTCGGTTTTTACGCTGAAGTATGCAACACAAAAAAGGAAGAGACCTGAAATGAGCAAGTAACAAAAGGAAGCATTTCATTTTGTTTAAGTAGAAATAGCATTTCCTCCATAGCCCCTCTGTATACACAACAAGCCCAGCCACTTAGTTTTTAAAGCCCCCCCCCCGCCCACCAAAAAAAAGAAAAAAAAAAAAGTAGGACATATAGATAACTCCAGGCGCCTTGCATGGTTAAGCAAAAGGTAACGTATCATAAAGAAATATTTCAATTTAAGCCTTTGCCTTTCCCTTTCCCTTTCCTTCAACTTCGGGTTCCTCATGCTCTGCTTCATCGTCGTCTTCCTCGTCACTCATCAGGTCATCCTCGTCCTCTTCGTCAAAACCGAAATACCTCCGGACAGGAGCCGGCTTAGCTAGCCCTGGTTCAGCCGTCGCTCTAGTACTCGTTTCAGTGGCATCCTCCATATCACTTCCATCGCTTAGACTTGCAGACGACCGGGAACTCTCATTGCTGTCACTAGCGCTAGTGCTAGACCCACCCAGAATCTCAGCTCCTGTCAAATTATCTTTCCATTTCCCTTCCTTCATCGCGCACAAGACAGCCTCTCTTGCCCTCTCGCCAACTTCCTCCTTGTCCTCCATCCAAACACCATCCACCTTGCCTTTGCCACCTCCATTTCGAATTTCCGCCTCACGTCTCTCAGCTGCCTCGACTACGGCCTGCCACCGCTTTTTCCTGGCTTCTTTTGCCTTCTTGTCCATACCAGGCTTCAGCGCAAGGTATTCCGCAAGCGCTTTGGCTTCCTTCACCGTGCGTAGTCGTCGACCATCGAGGTTGCGGTTAGAGCCGTTGTTCTCTTCCTGGTTTCCCTTGCGGCGACTGGACATGCGGCCTCCAGCAGCACGAAGCTGGGAACCAAAGCCACCCTTTCCCCCACATAGTCCAGCGCTGAGTCGAAGAGGGATGAACGCAGATCGTTTGGTGGTCTGCACGTCATCAAGTAGGGTAGCGACGGATTCCGATGAAGAGGGAAGAAGTTGTTTATTGTTGGTAGTTGTGAGGATAAGGCGAGGTGATACACTCCTCAGAGATGATGGGAGCCGTGAGGATATACTGGCCACTACATCAGCGACGGTTGAGGTGGATGGTAGAGCGAACGAGAGAGTGGGTGGCAGTGGCAAGCCAGGAAACGACGTGAGAAGGAAGTTTATTGTTTGGGGAGCCATGTTGGCAAATAGGATCTGATTTCGGCTTGACGGTATCAGATGTTTCCTCTGTCGAACTCCGTGGAAATGAAGTTAGAGGTGGTTGGTAGAAGACAGATGAGTAGATGAGAACGTATGATGATAATACGTCTTTTGAGGCAAAACGCCCAGAGGTAGGAGGTCACATGATAAGTAGTCTTATTAGTCATTTGACTAACTTAGTTTAGTTAGTTAGTTATCCCAAGGGTAAATCGCTTAGGGTCAGCCCTAGTCACGTGCCATATCCCACTTCGGAAGAAGGAATCCAACTGCATTTCGACTGTTGAAGGGGACTTTTTGTGCTCCGGCTCAACCAACCCGCAATCCCTCCAGTTCAACCTCATCACCCGCCCGACTACCCCATTGTCAAAGCGATTCCCCGAATTGCGCCTGGAACTCGCGACAATGTACGTGGTCACTCCCCATTCTAATGGTACCAATCATCTAACTAACTGTCCCCCCCTAGGCTGATCCCCAAAGCTGACCGCAAGAAGATCCACGAGTACCTCTTCCGTGGTATGTGACCGAGCACATAATCCGCCTATTTGGATTTTATTTCTTAATATATGTTCTGTGCGCATATGGTGTATATACATATTCTAATTATTCCACAAAATCACACAGAGGGCGTGCTCGTGGCCAAGAAGGACTTCAACCTTCCCAAACATGGCGACATTGACACCAAGAACCTCTACGTACGGAATCCCCCAATGAACAAAGGAACCCCCTCACAATCAATCCTCGAAACATATGAACCCCCTTGTCTAACCATAAAATCAAAACCAACAGGTGATCAAGGCCTGCCAATCTCTCACCTCGCGTGGCTACCTCAAGACCCGCTTCTCCTGGCAATACTACTACTACACCCTCACTCCCGAGGGCCTCGACTTCCTCCGCGAATGGCTCCACCTGCCCGCTGAGATCGTCCCAGCTACCCACGTTAAGCAGCAGCGCTCGCACGCTCCCCCACGCGGCATGATGGGCGGCGAGGAGCGCGAGAGACGTCCCGGCGGTCGTGGTGGTCCCCGCGGCGACCGTGGTGAGGGTGGTTACAGACGTCGTGAGCAGGGCGAGGGCAAGGAAGGTGGTGCTCCTGGTGACTTTGCTCCGTCTTTCCGTGGCGGCTTTGGTCGTGGACGTGGTGCTCCTCCCCCATCTTCTTAAATGATGATGAATGGGGAGATGATGGATTCTGGTTTTGTTTGTGCGTACGTGTGTGTATTAGGGCGAAGGAGTCACGTCCGGTTGTATGGGCGGATGATGGTGGTGGGGAATTAAATACAATATTTGATTTAACCGCAATGGAAAGGACAAAATTTACATTGATGGCACTTATACTTGTGCATTTTGCTCTTCTATATTAAAGGGTGAATTTGGTCGTAAGAAGGGGCGCTGGCAGTGGTGTGGTCTGACGCAATTTCAGAACGTTGTTCTGACCTGATCATGGGAACTCCAGTCAGCCAGATTGATATATTCTGTTGTCTCTAACTGATATTCTCCCTAGCGTTGTGCAAAATACCTACTTGCTAACACGATCCAGGAAAATCCGCATTCTCCCTCTATCTAGTTCTTGAACCTCATCCGATCATATCTCACGACGGCCTGCAAAATAACCGACGCACCGATCGCACAATCATCCGCCGAAGCAAACTCTTCCGGATGATGACTTAACCCATCTTTACACGGCACAAAAACCATGCTCGTCGGCACCCTTTTCGACGTGAAGACACTATCATGACCAGCCCCGCTCATAATCGTGCGATACAAGGACTCAGGAACCGACTGATCCCCAACAACAGCCCTAGTCGACTCCATCACACATCCAATGCAATCCTCATGAAACTGAACAGCAGGACAATCCAAATCCAAAACCCACTCAACGCGACACGGCATCCCAATCCCCTTGCCTTCCTCCGCCGCAATCGCCGCAAACTCCGCCCGCATCTCCGCATCGCACTTCTCCACAACCGCCGTATCCGCAGCCCGGATATCAAGACTGAAATTGACAAGCCCAGGAACCGTATTGACGCTGCCAGGCTTGATGGCTACGCTCCCCACACTAGCTAGAGCGCCGTGCTTCTGCGCGATTTCGCGTGCCCGCACCATCATCTTCGCCGAAGCGAAGAGGGCGTCCGCACGATGCGCGAAGGCCGTGGTGCCGGTGTGTGCATCACGGCCTGTCACGTAGATGCGGTACCAGCGATATGCCTGGACGGCGGTGACGACGCCCACGCGCTGTCCTGCATTAATGAGATTCGGCCCTTGCTCGATGTGGACTTCGAAGTGGGCAGCGATCGGGTATGAGGTGTGAGAGCATGGGGTGGTGCCTAGGTAGCCAATCTTTTCAAGGGCAGATTTCATGGTCTCTGGGACTGAGGAGGCAGTGGGTAGGGAGGCGACGGTGGGGACTTCACGGAGGTTATGGGCTGTTTCAAGAGGGATTTGGCCGGCCCAGACGCCGGAGGAGACCATGCTTATGGGGAAGCGGGCGCCTTCTTCGCTGTTTTATTTCAAATTGTTGTGAGTAGACAGACGCCTTGCCGCTGCTGTCTTTTTGATTTGGGTGCAAGCGGACGGGACGGGTCAAAACATACTTTGTCCAATTAACAACACCTACCCCGCCCTCCGTTTTGATCCCGTTCTCTTCTAGGACCTTGAGCATCTCGATCCCGGCACAGACGCCTAAAATGCCATCATATCTGCCACCTGTGGGCTGTGTGTCGAGATGGCTCCCGACAAAAGTGGCGGGGACATCCCTTCTGCGTCCAGGACGAACAGCAAAGATGTTACCCATTTCGTCGACTGTCACATTGCAGCCGAGGGACTTTGTGGTTTCGATAAACCAGTCTCGAACTTGCTTGTCCTCTTGCGAGAGGGACAGCCGCTGCATGCCTGTATCTGTAGGGCCTCTGTATGATGAGGAGTATTTGGCGTTAGCATCATATACATAGTCTCCTTATTGAAATTTGTCTGTAATCCACCCCCCTCCCCCCTCCTAGTAATTTCTGGCATACCTCATTCTGATACAAGCACTTCAAATCAGAGTATTCTAAAGGTGGCTATTGCGGGTTGACAGGGAATGATAGGGGCAGAACCAAGCAGACGCAAATGATACCAACGAAAAGCACACCACCTACTCTCCCCATCTTATGCCAGAACCCCATTGACAGCTGTAATGGATATACTTCCACAATCTCTCCTTGTTGGCCCGTAGCCCCGAAAGTTCGGATTCGTAAAGTTCGGTAGTCAACAACATGGTGTATTCTCTTCGCTGAGGGCTGAGATGGTAGACAACAAAGTAGAACTCTGGAGAATGGGAGTGCTGTAGATTTATTCTTGGAAATTCAAATGCGTTTGAGGCGCTTGTATCAATTGACTCGACGTTGAAAAAGGAAGTTCTAGGACCTGGGTGGGATATATACTAAATCTGCTCTTCTTTGATGGCGTTGGTATCCCAATGTTCCGAACTGCTACTCAACAATATGGTCCCTAAATACACTGTGCCCTACTCCGGCCAAGGTCTGTTGTTGCACATGAATGGGATAGAAACGCAAGCCGCATCGGGAGCGTGCGGAGGGGGCGGGATATGCTTCATGCAGGATGTATTCACGACATGGCGGGGTAAGATGACATTTCGGAATTATTGGTCGAACAATAAATATATAACAATTCTTTTGATTTATCTAATAATAATAATTATATTATTATTATTATTATTATTATTATTATTATTATTATTATTATTATTATTATTATTATTATTATTTTATTAGTAGGGCCAGTCATGTAAACCCGATCTAATCTAGGATACCTTTTATTCCTCTAAAAGCCAATTATCCGTCAACCATCTAATCGTGCCACCCACACCTGATGTGGGTGCGCCACAGCGTAATGATAAAAACAGTGTAATGATAAAAATATCAACTTCTTCATTAATCAATCTTCAAATATTAATATATCACCACCACCATGACCAATAAGATAGATGATCTTGAAAAACATATTCAGAGTGCCATTGAAGTCTATAATGGCAATTGAAAACAGAAAATCCTACCTCTGGCATGCAAATTCAATGTTTTTTATCAATGTCTTCAAGTAAGAATCAATGGAAGAAAAACATGCAATGCAAAGACTGCATCAAACAAGAAGCTTAGCAAGAGCCAGGAGAATGCATTAAAAGAGTGAATAGCTCATATGAACAGAAATAATTGTCTGCTGACTGCAGAGCAGATTCAAAATAATGCAAATCTCATTCTTAAATATTATCATATTGATTCTTCAACCTCCTCATCTGTGATTAGCAAGATGTGGACCTATCAATATATACAAAGCTTGAATAAGTATAAAAGAGTTAAGCAGAAGACAATGAATCTGAAAAGAATTGCTGTTGAGAATATTAGCTATATCAAAATGTGATTTGACTATTTGAAAATCTTACTTCAAAAATATGCATTTCAAATCTGCAATATCTATAACTTTGATGAGATTGACTTTCAAGAGGATTAAGAATGTGGAGAATGAGTTATTACTGCTTTTAAAGACTTTAATTCAGTTATAATTTCATCATATTCTTGAGAATTGATCACTGTGATTGAGTGTGTTTCAGCAGATAATGAGGTATTGAATCTCTTTATCATCATGAAATTCAAAACTCAACTTGAAGATTGATATACACAAAGCAATCTATTGGGCAGATATACAATCACAACATCAGATACTTACTATATCAATAATGAAATTGACTTTGCATGAATTCAGCACTTTAATAAGATCTTTAAAAAATATCAACAAGACAGTTATTGATTGCTGCTTCTTGATAATTATAAAGTTCATCTCACTGAAAAATTTTTACAATACTGCAATCTTCATAAGATTATCTTATATGAATTTTCTTCACATTTAACTTATATACTGCAATCTCTAAACAGTGTGTCTTTTCAGCAGTATAAGCACTATCATTCAAAAACAGTTAATCAAGCTGCATGATACAGATATAAGCAGTATGAAAAACATCAATTTCTATAGAATCTAATTAATATCTGCAAAAAGACTTTTTAATCTTCTACTATTTAAACTGACTTTGCAGATCATGATATTATTTCATTCAACTCATAATTTATACTGCTTAAGCTAGATTCAAAGATCTCTAACTACTTCAAGTTGCAAATATATGAAGAAGACTTCTTTTCACTGTAATCAAGCTGTTTAGATATTATTTCATTACAGTTATTCTTACTCAAGACAATCAAGAAGCTACAATGTCATATTTAAGTAATAAAGAAGACAATGCAAGATATGAAGAATATACTTGATTTCAAATCACCTCATCTGAGCAATCAATTGAACATGATTTTTCAAGATAGTCTTGTTTAGACAGAACTCAATGCTATAAAAGAGAGTGAGATTGAGAATTACTATCTTGCAATCAAACATCACAGCACTAAAAATACACATCAGCAGGTTCAAGTAGGAGGTATACTCACTGTCAGAGATTCAAATAGAAAGATCATGCAATGTAAAGAAGAGGAAGCAGAAAAAGAACATTATAAGAGAGTTAAACATGTTGAGAGAGCTTTAAAGAAAAATGCCACAAATCCAACTCAACAAGAGGTTAATGATATATATAAATATCTCATGAATAATACAGCTACTGCAGATGATATAGATAAATTAATTATCATAGATTAGCAGTGTGGTGATGAGATATTAATTTTTGAAGTTCTAATTATCCATATTTTTATCATTACGCTGTTTTTATCGTTACGCTGTGGTGCACCCACATCAGGTGTGGGTGCGCAGAGGCACGATTACTTCATAACAATCCAAACTTAGCGATAAGCTCCACCGCTGCCATCGCTACGGACACGACCTGCAACGAATTTCCACGCACCCCTTCGGGTTCTGCGACTCCTGATTATCGCCGGGGAAAAAGGACCAGATCAAAATAATTCTCGCGGGGCAACATCCCTTGAACACATGGGGACAACTGCTGAGATCGAAATTGTGCAAAGAGGAGATAGTTTATGCATAAAATTATCGACCGACTGTGGTCGACGGGAGATTTCCAAAGATTGAGAGATAGGAGTATTTGGACAGAGCCACGGCCATCTCTGGTAAAAGGCAAGAAATGGATTCTGAGCTAGCCTGTTCCACTCCTTAATCAGTTCTGTGCCTGGACTGTCCTATAACCTCACTTTTATTATGTAAGCACCTATAGGAACACGGGTTCGATCCCAGATTCTGTTGTTAATTTTTGATTTAATATTTTTGGTTTGTATGTAAAAACGGGCTTGTATATATATATATATATATATATCTCTGTATTTTTATACCCCCGGACTTCAACTATTTCTCTCTGGCGCCAAGCAATCCCTTAGCCTCCTCCGTCCCCTCCCCGCATAACTACACCAAGCTGACACCAACTCGAGTTCAACGATAAGCCAAAACCAAAAACATTCCCGTCACAAGATCGAACCTATTCACTTATACAGTAATTATTGACTAGCCTGGTCGCTTCGAGATGGCTGCTGCTGTGGCTGCTTGCATCTTCTGTAAGATCGTGAAGGGTACGTATCTGTTTGCCTCCCAGAGGTCTGCTTCATAGACAAACCCCCCTTCGATACATATATATATACTAACGCAATTGAAATAAGGTGACATCCCTTGCTTCAAGATCTTTGAGAGCGAGCGGGTTCTGGCTTTCCTTGATATCCAGCCCCTGAGCAAAGGCCATGCGGTTAGTGTTCTCTTATCTTTTTTCTTTCTTTTCTCTTCTTTTCTTTTTTCGAGTTGGGAATCTCGTCCCTACGTGCCACACAAGTGGCGATTGATGGGCCCAATTGCCTTTGGTTTCGGTCTTATGGCCGACGAGCAAAAGGGACACATGCTCTCGTCTTCATTTTTGCTGTCAACTGTCAAGCAAAACTCGAGAAATAGTTCACTGGCAATTGACAATTTTGCTTCCCCCGCAGCTCGTCATCCCCAAGTTCCACGGAGCCAAACTCACCGATATTCCTGATCAAGACCTTTCTGAGCTTCTGGTAGGTGTATAATTCCTTCTAACTTTCCTACCGGGATAAAGAGAACAAATTCCCTCTGAAAAGAGGAATCCTTGCAACGAGAAAATGTTTGCAATATTACGAGCTAACCGATGAGCCCCTAACCCATGATAGCCAGTTGCGAAAAAGATAGCAACCGCCTCGGGCGCCGTCGATTTCAATATCCTCCAGAATAACGGGCGCCTAGCCCACCAGTTTGTTGATCATGTACGTCTTTTTTCAATACCCTCACCGCGCTCAATTTCTTGAGGTTTTCCTTCCCCACTCTGTTTCTTAACTGACAATATCTATGCAGGTTCATGTTCACATGGTACGTTGTAGCTTTCTCTAGATTCTCTCGTTCACGCACTTAATTAGCAACCCTCCTCTTATTGGGGATGAGGCAACTGAAGAGTGGATTTGAAAGCGAGAAACAAAAGCAAAAAGCGAAAGAACACCAATTTCCCCATTCCTTGCCCAGCGCATGATTCCCCCAAATACCAGCCGTTCATCGCCCCACAAAAAAAAATAAAAAATAAAAAAATAAAAAATAAAAATAAAAAATAAAAATAAAAGTGTGCTGACATTGGACATCCCTCCTATCTTCCGCCATCATATAGATCCCCAAACCAAACGAGAAAGAAGGTCTCACAGTTGGCTGGCCGGCCTACGATGCAGTCAAGGATGACCTCAAGGTGCTGTGCGAGGTGTTGAAATCGAAGATGTAAAGGCAACGGTGTACTACGAAGTCATTCAACTGAAGTGATTCCATTATTAATGCCGGAAACCCCCGGACGATGATGTCAGGTTTGGGGGGTTTAACTATTGTATTTTATGGCACTTATGTAACAGAAGGGGGCGGAGAATTAGGCTTCTAATGACGAATTATCAACTGTCTTGTCGCTGGAGAAAAACTACTCGATAAAGAGGGGAAAAGTGGATGAGGGTCTATTTTCCCATGTCTCGCACGCTCGTATATTCTGAGGTCGAGTAGCCACGCCTTAAATATCTTCGCGGGCGGGCTATCTCTATTGATATACCTACCCCTATTCACAAACCTACCCTTAATGATGTGCAGCGCGGCGATATACAGTATCTGCCGACGAAAGCATTCACTGTGATGTACTTCCCACTGTCATCTTATCGTAGATAGGTAAAGCAGACGAAGACTACTCTCCGGACGGGAGGGAGGAGAGGTGGAGATTCCCGACGCCAGTCTTTCGTGAAAGGAAATAATTTCTTCATATTGTTCCATTCCTCCAACCACTTTCTTGACTTGCTTGAATGGATTGTGTGGTTAATTTTATCAAATATGTATGAATAATGTATCCCTGGGTGTGCCTGTAAACAATCTACCCTCAGGAAGTTAAATCTATCTACAGGAAATGAGAAGAGGAAAGAAAATTTGTATCCCCCGCACAACCCCTTTGCTATTAAACAAGATAGAAAGTCGGATGTCGAATATCATAAGGGTGTAAAGGGGGGAAATCTTCAGGAAATTTCAGGAAATGATCTAGAAGTTACAGGAATGGGAGGCAGTGAAAATGGAAGTCGTAAAAAGAGGGTAGAAAAACATCACAGCACAACACACAAAATAACAAACGGTCGAAGTGAAAGTCATAAAAGGACGAAATTCCTAAGGGAGACACACCTAATTGGAAGCGGCAGCAGCAGTCGCAGCTATAGGCTGGACTGGCACAATTTGTGTTTGTGACTTCGGAGACTCTGGGCTCTCCTGCTTTTCCGAGACTGGAGACTGTCCTGTATTTGCGGGGGTTCCCGTTCTAGGGTTCTTAGCGTCTGCTGCCGCTTCAGCGTCCCTAATACGATCATAGATGGAACGCGCTCGGATGTATGGATCAAGCTTCCAGTAGAAATCACTCAGCCTCGAGGCGATATCTTGTCTCTGCTTCTTGATCTCTTCGCCTTTATCTGCAGCATTTAGCCATAATATAGTTGCGTTTTGGAACTCGTCGATGATCTTATATCTTTCTCTCTTGAGTTCGGCGGTTTTAGTGGTATCCTTTAGCTTTTCGTTCTCCCCTGCCTTAGGCTCCAAGTACTCGTACTCGTAGTTGTCATTGCCGCCAAGTGCTTTGGGGATGGCGTCCTTGGCGATGAATTTCTCAAGTTCCTGATAATTCGATGTGAAGTGGACCTTCGATGCCACTACGGGATCCAACCAGCCTTTGATAATAGACCAGAAACCTGCGGAAGAAAATGTTAAGACAGGCCTAAAATATGGGAGGGAAGGGGACTTACTGGAGAATATCCATGGTGATTTGTGCACCAGAATGGCACCGAGACTTTCAGGGTAGTTGGCTTCAAAGCATTTAATGATGAATTTAACAGGTATAGTGTCCTATGATGGAGTGTAAGTGCATGCGAACCACATGATGTAGAGCGAAAGGGAGTGTGAAACACTAACCATATTTGCCAGACCAAAATCAGTCATATCGAAGACGATGACCTGGGGAAGAATTAGTTCTTGATATGAAAACCTGGTGACAATGACATCAACAACTCACAGCAGTATCTGTCTTAGCGTCTAACATGAGACGAGAAGTCTCTATTTGGAATATAATGTTCTTCTCTATAGCAGACTGGCAATAGGCGCCAATACGATGCAGGCGGACTCTAATGTAGCAAATCGGCCTCCCTGTTTTATCCTTGCCGCGAATATAAGCCTCTCCAATACGAAGCATCTGGAGCATATCTTGCGCCTCCTTCTTGGTGGCGTCATCACTATTGTTGTTGTTGTTGTTATCGTGGATCGCAGCTTCACCCTTAAACATAATATCTTCGTCTATGTGCCACTCCTTGGTTCTCCATTTTAGCGTAGAAACCAACATCACCAAAGCTTTGTTGACATCCCACTTCCTAGCACGGAGAAATCGAAGTAATAGCCCATCGGGGTGGTCATGCTTAATCGTATTCCAGAATGCAAGCCGTAGTTCCTCTGGAGATTGACTTGATAACGCAGAAAAGAACTCCTTGTTTAGCCCATATTTATCGTCTTCATCGGACGCATTGGCTTGGCTGTTACCGCTCGGAGCTGCTTCCTCTCCTGCAGTTTCAGTAGATCTGCAAAAGAGTCCGAATCGTTTCTTTGTCGTAGTCTTCTTATTCTCCGTCACGGATGCCTTATCTGACGCGTTCTCAATTGCACTGGTCGCTTTCTGAAGAAACGACAAATTATCCGTCCACCCCTTCAACTCATCATTGCCTATATTGAATATTTTAAAAAGGATCACCCAAAACTCTCTGAGTTTCGCTTCCTCTTCCTCTGTAAGGTTGCCAACGTGCCCAGTAGGTGCTACATATGTAGCCATTTCTTTACCTTGTTCAGTTGTTTCTTCAACAGTGAAGCTGTCTAGAGCAGGGGTTAGAGTAGTGATGCTCTGTTTGTCCGAGTTCCAGTAGATGTGACGGAATCCCAAGCCACCGAATATAATAACAGCAGAAACAGCGAATGCCCAAAGAGACGACGCTTCTCTTGTAAAGGAGGGGTTGTATTGAGAAATCGAGACAGGGCAGCTATACCTGATAAGGGGTGGTGAGTCCTGACGTGACCAGCTGCGAAACCCACTGTGCACTCGATGTTTAGTCAATCTGGAGACAAAGTTGACGGAAGCAGGTGAGATGCGACGGTGGAAGAAAGCCCACATATATATAAGCTATATACAGGTAGGAACAATTGTAAGGTCCAAAAGAGCGGTTGAGCTTAGTTTGCTGAGCTATTGTGGATGTACCGTACAGCGAGTGAGAAAAACGGATTGAGCGAGTGCCTGTAACACGTCCTCTCTCACAATCTCTCGGTTGCTCCGGAAGCCGATCCCAGCTAGAGACGACAAGTGCAGAAATTGGCAGTGAGGATAACGTAATGAAGGGTGGCTGGAGACGAACAACCCGGAAATCGCAATAATGAAAATGGCACAAGGTAGTATTCACAAGCTGATTTCAAGATGTCTGCTGCAGATTCTTGTCCGGGAGAAAAAGATCGAGGTGTTTTTTTGGGCCAAGAGCAACAGGAACCGTTTGGATCTCTGCTTACGTCATTTGCACGTGAAATCCTTGGGTCCACCCGCGTTATCCGCTTCACAAGGTTGATTTCAAAAACAACAACTCTCCGGAACAACAATTAGCGATATCCCTTTGGCCTTTTTCTTCTCTTTCGTACCACTGGTACGTATAGACTTGGGGGTTTGCTTTATCCGTGCCTGGCAGTCATTCCATAGGACCACTGTTTCCGCCGACCATGGACTCGGGCACGGCACCCAGATCAACCTCTCGCCCTCGTCCCTCCTCCAGACCTACAACACCGCTCCGGCCAGGTTCACGGTCCTCGATTCGTGATTCTCATGGATTTGGAACAAGTTGGAACCAAGATGGCATCTCTCAAGCCGCTGTCAATGCACTAGAACCGCAGTTTGCGGAATTGGCGGATTCCATGGCAGATCTCGAAGCCAATTTTATGTATCTCCAGCTGATGCATGAGAGCTTGTCGCGATTTAATGAGTGTTTTGCTAGCTTCTTGTACGGACTGAATATGAATGCGTTTTGTGTTGACTTTCCTGAGGTATGGTTGTTATATTGTTTATATTCCCTTAAGGAGAACCCAGTGTTAACTAGTGCTACGTTGGCTCAGGCGCCTATTCCAGATTCCTTCAAAAGAGCAAAGCAAGCAGAAGGTTAGCCAGAGTTGGACAAAGCTGAATCCGACCACAAAGCCGTCTTGTTGAATAGCAGTGCTAATGTTTCTGTTATCAGATTCCATGCCTGCGAATGAGCCATTGACAACAACGGAAAATGACGCTGAAGCGACTTTCTTGTAAGCCTCCCAATATCTATTTCCTTGAACTGGGATTACCGAGGTACCCTATGGTTGATAATTTGCTGATCAATTAACTACTTTTAGAACTTCTGATACATCGTTTGTTGACCACCCTCCCACATCTACCAGATCAACCTCAAAATATTCAACCCCCGCTCCCTCCAACCGCAGCTTCAGTACTTCTAGTCGAGGCACCATTGGCGGCCTCTATTCGACTAGGGCTTCGACAAGGAGTCGCTCCAGTGGGCCTGCAAAACCTAGAGCGCGTGGAATCCGATAATGGAAGAGCATTCTTAACAATTTGTCTTTGAACACCGATCTTTCGAAGAACTCCTTCCGGCGGTCTAAGTCTGTTTTTGAGGGATAATTGCGCCGTATTCCCTATTACTTTAAGGAGTCGACAGATTGCAGACTCGTTTCTACCTTTTATTGTGTCGACTGCAAATCTGCCCCCAGAAGTGAATGGAGGGAAGGTGACTCCGTGGGTGATGTTGATAATGACTGTGGAGATGGGAACGAGAAGGTCCAAAGCTCATGGTTCACTGCTACAATAATCAAGTGTTTATGAAGCTACTTGGATGAACCCAAGCAGGTACTCTACCGGTTATAGTTTGCGCTATGGCGAAGGAAGTATATTATGTTGGTATGGCAACAGCTGTGCCTATGCACAGTCCATTCCACAAGAGTGTTCACAATGGCCACACAAGAACCAGACACTATTTCTAGACTACTCTTTCTTCTCCATTTCATCATGAGGAAGACAAACTGTCCATTTTTCAGGTGGGGCTTGGCTTTTGATCTTGGTACTTGATTAGATCCTGGGCGTTCTGCAGGCACCAAAGTTTATTTTATAGACTGGATTGGCAGCAAAATAAATTTGACACCCCCATATATGGTAGCATCTACAGCATTAATAGAATCCCAAAAATTATACCCGTAGATCTTTTTAATTCAACGGAACTGAAGGCTATATAGAATTCGTGAAACATCCAGGTGGTTGCGGAAACTCATCATGGTGATGTTCACAAAACAACGGTTTTGGTGGTCTAAACACCCGACGAATCTTAAATGCTCCGAGTCAAAGTTAACTACCAAGTTACCAGCCATGACGACAACAACGCTCCGCCTTTCTCTCTCACACACACGCACACACACACACACACACCCACACACACACACACACACACACACACACCCATAACCCCCCACAATTCATTGCCTAGGTACTGCTATACTTTCGTATACCATCCTCATTCATTCACTCCTTTCACATCGCCTCATTTTTTCATCTTGTGCTTGCTGTGCCGTATGTAGCTCAAGCTGTCATACGCAGGGAGCGCACACACACACACAGCGAGCACAGGAACATTTTAAAGCGCCAAGCTCTTCCACCTGATAGATATCATCAGCCATTCCGACCTCTTTCTGTCCTCTCATTAAACAAACAAAATTCCCTTGATGCGATAAGAAGGGGAAAAAGACTTCTCAAGCCATCGACATCAAAATTCTTGTTGCTCACTAACTCTACTTGACGACGCAACCTTTAGATTTGCCGAACACGCCTTCTTATTGAACGATAGGGTGGTCACTTATCTTTTCAACATCCCGTTCATTCTTTTCAAGAGTTCAATTCATTTGGCTGGCTGGCCAGCATACTCTCCTGCATTAAGGATTGCCATTTAGCTTTGATAGGGAATAACTGTTTTCACAGATTTCCCTTGTACGCAGAGCTTCGCGGGTATATTCTCAGCACATCCCGGTGATTTGCTATTAGAGATCCAGATATCTCTAGAGACTAAGACCGATCAACAGTCGTTTTATCAGTATCTTTCAAGATCCCCTACCAAGGGACAGAAAATATCGCGATGTCGTATCCCGAATTTGGATGTGGTATGATTCCTCCTTTCTTCCCCAATCCGTAGCTGCGGCCAAATACATAGAATACTTACAAGCTGTTCAGAGCACCTCCGGGAGGTCCTAGAGAGAGACGAAAAAGCTGCGGGCCAGTTTCACCAATCTCTCCTCCAAGCACATAATGGAACAACCTCCAAAGCTGCAGGAATAAGGTCACTGCGGCCCATTTATGCTTGTTTGGAATGCTTGGCTGTCTGTACAGCGGGGAATCGATATGCTCATTATGAGAATTTTGGTCACAAATTTTGTGGGTGCCATCTGTTGTTTCCTCGGAAAAAAGCCATCTTTTGCAACCTATTAATTGTTCTGGGCATATTTTACTAGTCACGGATTCTCGAACCAGTGCAATATTCTGCCTGGGATGCGATGATTATGTGTACGATACGGTATTGGAAAATTTCCTCTTTGACCCTTCCGGTTCGTCGATTAACAAAATAGCCATTTACCCTAACATGGCCCTCCCACAGATACCATCCCTAACATATTTAAATAGGAATCTTAAAACGCAAATTCGATGACTCCGAGTCGGAGGAAGATCAAACCTACGTTGGGGCTAATGCTAGCAAGAGGGTCTGTGGGAAAGAAGGGGTTAGGGGTCTATTTAACCTGGGACAAACTTGCTATATGAACGTCATATTGCAAACTTTGCTTCACGATCCACTTTTGACTACATACTTTCTCGGAAATAACCATCTTACGTACGATTGCACGGTACAAAACTGTATAAGTTGTGCTGTTTCAGAGGCCTTCTCCGAATTCAACAACGATGAAAAGACAGAAGGATTCAGCGCACTCAATTTGCTGTTGGCATCATGGCGATCCAGTCCGGTAAGTTATGTCGAAGACCCTTTTTATCAGATACAATTTTAGAAACTCATGTCACCACCTTCACATAGATACTTTCTGGATATCAACAGCAGGACGCCCATGAATTTTACCAATTTTTGGTCGACAAGTTGCATGCGGGTGCCAATGATCACGTCGAAGATCACAACAAGGCATGCCATTGTTTTTTTCACAATGCCTTTTACGGAAAACTGCGAAGCAGTGTGACCTGCGACAAGTGTGGGAATGTCACCCAGACGGAGGATCAAATGATTGACCTTAGTCTGGATGTCCAAGTCCAGAAAAAAAAGCGAGCACTTGGCGGGGGTGAATCAACCACGACCCCAACACTTGATGGCTGTCTGCAGAGCTTCACGTCACCGGAAAAGCTCATGGCGGACGCATACAACTGCGGTGGTTGCGGAGGCACTCCTCAGAAAGCAACGAAGCAACTCCGAATAAGAAAATTACCCGTTATATTGTGCATGCAGCTGAAGGTTAGTATTCCATATGTTTCTTTTGGGCACCTGTGTCTCTCCAAACATTTTATAGCCATTCTTCTGAAGGAAATTCATGACAGCGATTTGAACACACTCTTTCCGTCTCTGAGAAAGTAGAAGGAAAAGTTGACTTCCCTCTCTCGATCAATATGCTTCCTTACACTACACGGCCGTACTCCAGTACCCCCACCAACAACTCAGGTTATATCTACGATCTCTCTAGCACTGTCGTTCACAAGGGAAAACTTGATGCGGGACATTACTATGTGTATTGCCGACAGGGCGAGCAGTGGTTCCTCTTCAATGACGACCAAGTGACGGCAGTCAATGAAGCAGAGGTGTTGGGCGCCGATGCTTATCTGCTCTTTTACACTCTTCATGCCTTATCTAGGTTCAGCTGATCTTTCCACGTGGAACCAAGTCGCAACTTAGAATTATGCTTCAGGACGTTATTTTTATTTTCGCATTATTCTGTCATCTACTCACTCGGAGGAGGTTTCGATTTATTCCTCGCATTAGGATGCATACACTTCAGGTTTTCCAACCACGGTGTTTCAACCCTCTGCTGATCATCTCTTGTATCGATTATCTTCACAATCCCGGTTTTTTGATGCCTCTGGGGCTATTTTTCATGCTGTCATGTTAATTATGCATTGCTATTTCTGGTCGTGGCCTATATTATTTGATATTTTTGTCATGGGCACCTCCTTTTGGACAATTATTTTTTATCCCCTCCTTGAAGATTCCTGCCCATCATCGAATGTGCTGTCATCGATCTCGTCATAGCGCTATCCATTAGCAAAAGCAAATAATGGGATCAGATATATCGCCCCTGCCCGAGTTCAGCTTCTCCAATCCTTCCCTTCCGTCACGTACAGCTTGTCACTCCATTCCTCTTCAATTCTCTATTCCAAGGTTATTTTGAATATGACCAGCATGATACCCCACATTCATTTGCACATTAGGTTGACTTGGCAAGGACCCCGTAAAACGAGTCTTTGCCCAATCAAGCCTGGCGCAAGGCAGAACCGTGGCTGGGGGCGAACCTGGGTGATAATCCATGATATCCAGAGTTCTTCTTGCAGTTCTTCTTGCATTCGAATATCAATTTCTTGTTCAGCTCTCGAGCATGAACTATTGACACTGCGAAAAGTAGTGTTGCACATCTTGCCAGGAACCGAGACTCTTAGAACATTTACCCAGTGCTACTCTTGACACTTCATTTCCAGGACGTAATGTTAGGCCAGCTGAGCGCAAGGGACCCTTTCCAGATGCTTAATTTCGATTGCATCAGCATCATTTTCACCTACTTGACGCCCATTGACGTCGTCCGATGCAGCCTGACCAGCCGTACACTGAGAGAATGGTCACTTTCATTTATGAGCTGCGAAGGACTCCGATGTCACTTTCCGTATTCCACCGATACCGGCTCGTTCAAGAACGACACATTCTTACCCGCCAAACGGTATTGTCGCTTTGGTAAGTGTTCCGAATTACCCAGCATCGATCCCCAAGTTAGTACTATTCAATCGTTTCTAACTCACCGTTACTCAGCCTCATCAATCTGTTAAGGAAGGAAGTCCCTCAACGGTCTTGAGATTTGGTGATTCTAGACCTTTGAAAGCTGTTGGGGCATTTGTGGTTTGGATCTCGAATTTATACTCTTTCAATGGTCCATATATCCGTTATCACCGCCTGAGAAACAAGTTTGGCGACAAGCACCGTGGTCGGATTCAACCAATCAGGAAATTGAAGATACCGAACCTAGCTCCCTCTCACAGTTTCAGGGCGGAAGTTATCGATTTGAGCGCGGACGGATACCTGTTCGTTCGAGGGACTGTGAGAAGAAATTACCCATCACATTTCGAGTTCACTCGGTAGGTTGATTGTCTTTGGCTTGGAAAAAGAAAACCATGAAGCGTTCATTTTCTAGTACATCAATATTACTATGGAGAATAGGGATCTAGTCTTTGCACTCGAAGGTCCGAAGTTGCTGTGGTATCAGGATGGCGGCGAAGATGAACTCCCCAGACTGCATCCACTATACATTGGAAAAGAGCGGGTTTATTTTGTCACGCAGGTCAATACACCAGAACTTATTGCATACGGCATCAAAACAGGACAACGCCTTTATCGGTCTATACTACCTGGCCAATTCAGAAATAACACCAACCCATCCCTCTTCAGCTTTGTTCGTGATAAGGAACACGAATTTCTAGCGCATGTATCACGAGTCCGTTCTCCATTCGTTTGCGTCACTCTGGTCAGCGGAATTGACGGTAAAGTTTTCCAAGAAATCAGGATTAAAGATGATCAATGGCCCTTGAAATTTCAAGGGCAGCCAAACGTAGCCGCCTTCGCGCTGGAAAGAAACCTGTCAAATTTTCTTGGTAAGGATTTGGACTTGAAGCTTTTTGAGAAGTATTCACTCCAACGGAATGGGATGTTCACCATAGTGTCACGGGATTTATTTATTGTGGAAGGCAGCGCAGCGGGCACTCGATATGTTTATGTTGACCCTTCCAGGCATTTGGCATTTGCTATGACTGATGCGACCTCTGAAACCACAATCCCACACGCATTCTAGAACCGAAGGAAGTGTCGGATAAAAATCTCCGAAACGAGATTGGAGCTGTTATAAAACAGCATGGGGTTAACGGAAAGATTGAGAGCTGGCTCACCTTGACTGCGGCAAACCGCATTACCCTGCCGCCAAAACCGGTCGGATCGAAACCTAGAGAACCATGGCTGGTTTGTAACGCAACCCCCCGCGACACCTTCAAACTTGGCTTTTGGGAAGAGCGGGGATTTATGTTTAGCATTAACAGCTCCTCTGATAACTATTCAGAGATGACATATATTGTGGATTTTACAACAAAACCGAATCACTCAAATCCTGGAATATATGCAGCATAAAGGGTGGGACGGATGGCGAGTTCTTTGTTGATTCTCTCTGCGTAGGCTTCAGTTATTACTTGATACTGGCCGTCGTTGAGCGTTGCTGGTTATGTTAAGGGAAATTACGTTACCAGCCAGATCTGTCAGAGTTCGTTTGCATTATTAATATATACAAAGAAGTATGACAAAATTCGAAGATTTGGTGTTTTTTTTTTTTTTTTTTTTTTTTTTGAAAAAATCTGGACATGCCAGGGAACTGAACATCTAATGCAAAAGTCCATAATTAACTGAGCGAAAGTTGAGGAGCTGGAAGATCACTTGTGTGTGTAGTAGCATACAAATATGACAGACAACGTGCCCCTCCACTCCCCGAACATTCTGGTTAATCCTCAGTAAGGGGCCTTTTCCCTGATCATCCTTTTGGTTATTGTTTGTTGCAAACTCTGGTGATTGGGTTAGCACTTTCTCTGCTGGCGAGATGAACGTTAGCAGAATCTATGTGTCTAGAAAACATCAATGAGATGGGCCGTAGAATTCACATAATGAATTCTATTACTTCTCTCTTCTCAAGCTTCTTGGAGGACTCCACCAATGTGTTCTTCGAAATTACCGGGAGACAAGCCATCCGTCAAGGGTCAGTTTGAAGATATGCAGTCGCTGTCAGAGATTCTCCACGAAGGGTAAAGGACCGGCGATTAGTTATCTGGAGCGTTGGGAGGAGGACGCCGTTATTCAGCTTAATCCTACTGGATCGAGGAGGGAGTTTCGGGGTGTTTGGGAGCTGGAAAAGGAGATTGAAGCATTCCACACTGCTACATTTCAATAGGGTGGTGGATGATGATGATGATGATGGTGGCCGAGTTTGGAATGGCTCGTTGTAATGTCTGGAGTTGATCATAACTTGCGGTCACGAAATAACATTATTACTGGAGGAGAAAAGTGGGATTGCAATTTGATTTCGTTTTATAGGAACGGCCAACTCTGAGGTAGGTTTAAGGTTCAGCCCTTCTGCGAGGCATGAAACGACAAATTTGACCAGCTCCTGACACGCAGTTGGCAGTTCGACCCGGAGTATTTCTGCACTAGGAACTTCTTCAACGATTGGAAAACAGCGCGGGAGAACCCGTTGATTCCTGTCAAATCCTTTCGAAACTCGGATCGGGGAGGTTATAATATTTTTTTTTTTCTCTTGTTCTCTTGCTTCCCAAGTTGGAGGCCCCGCTGCCCATAGGCGCCTAAGGCAGAAGTCATTCTCCCAGATAACAACTTAAAACATTCTTGATGGTATAAACAACTTTATCTCTTCCATTGCATGCTGCACTCAAGTGACCGACTCCGTGGCCAGGGTATTGTGCATCCACACAAATGCATCACAACCTGAGACCTCAACCTCTCATACACGAATCGCACCACCCATATTGCAGGGCCTAGCTCGTTTCACCGGAGACAGTGTGCAGCGTGGTCTGTGATCGTCAGGCCCAATGACAGGTAACGAAGGAGGGCAATGGAAGGGGAGGGCAAGCGTGGGAAAGGGTGGAAAGCGTGGAGATGGTGGGAAGGGCTGTGATCAAGCTATCTGTGGCCGGGAAGAGGCGTTGACGGACAGCTGCATATGAGGGAACCTCGTGGTTATTCATGTAACGTACGTAGCCATGGATGTCCCTGGACAACGAGCGTATGGATACCCATAGGTAGTTGTCGCATGTAGGCCGCTGAATCAGGGCTGAGAAATTTCAAGTAAGTAGCTAGTTACACTATTAGTTATCGTAAAGGACTGGGGGTTTGTCAGCGCAAGTCTGGACGATTATTCTTCGCCAATTTTAGAATCCTTTCTGTGGTGCCCAATTGTTCTTAACGGGTTCCTGACGAGCACGGGAAGTTCATAATTCTGGATAAGAAATGCTATTTGCTGAAGAATGTACCAGAGCTGACCACCACCTTTTTTGCGTGCTCAGTCGCCTCGGCATCCACAGATCGCGGGATGTTTAGACGGTAGTTAGCAGCTAGCTATTCGCTGGGATAGCAAGCAATGATAATAAATAGTCAACAGGGATTGGGGTGTCCTGCTTCTTCGGACCCCGGACTGCGATCTCTTTCCAAAACCTCTCATTTCTTGCTGCTTCAAGTTCGTTGAAGGTGATGGGCTGCAATGTGGGAGGGGCCGGCCGGGGGGTTTGACTGAGGCATACAAAACATTACGACATCCGCTGCGCCAACATGTTCTGCCGCTATTCCCATTGCTCTTAGTTAGCTATTTAGACTGGTATTGATTACACGCGGCGCTAACTCGGGTGAAATCGTCATGCGTAGTAACTAAAGAGGCGCTTCGCTGCTCGGAAACTGGATGTGCCGATACCCCCCGGATGCTAACGGAGTCTTTGTGATTGTTACAATTAGAGTTTGGCTGAACTCTCTAGGGGCTGCTGCTCTCACGCGAATAGTCAACTAGTTAGTTGATCAACGACGAGAGAGGGTTACGAGCTGATGAAACAAATCATCATGAATCTGATATGATTGCTTGGAGTGAACGATACCCAGCAGCGTCTCTCCTTTCCCCTTGCATCAATCATTCCGGTCTTTCTGTAGTACTACAAGCATCTCGCTTCATATGGTTATCCCTCTCATAGCATCCATTTCGCCATCTAGTAAGTTAAATCAGATCCGATGACAAATTTCGAGCGGCCCACCCCACCCCATCCCACCCCACCCCGCCCCGAGGAATAAGAAAAAAGAAAGCAAGCTTCAAGCAATAGCTCTCACCGGGCTATCCGGCATCAAGACATGTGGTTGAAAGAAAGACTGCCGCTAGCTGATCAACACTAGCAACACATCCCCACTCATTCCTGGTAGCCAACGGCCAAGGATGCACTACCTGGCTGGAAGGGCGCGGCGCGATCACTGACTCAACTTCCCTGTCCGTAGTTGGTCTGGACCGAATTCATCATTGAACAGCAGCATGCATTCTTCCAGTCCAGAAGTTATACTGGTTGGTACCACTAGTTATCTGACCGATATGAGGAGCTGAGGCCAATGACAAATTAAGTGGGCTGAAAAGGGTTGATTTCAGTTTAGGATCATGCTTGCCCAATGCTCCCCATTCTAGCATGATTCCGTGAGCTTCAAAATATTGGGCATCAATGGAGGGATTCGATCGTAAACACAGACGGGATTTCCCAGCAAATTGGGTGAGAAACGAACGGAGATGGGTGTGGGACAGATCGAAAAACAGTGTTCAGTTCACATCGTCCGATGATCTCATCTTAGTGAATCGAACGGCGAGATTTAGTGGCTTCTGCAAAAGATAGAGACGGTGACCTTGGACTGCTGTTAAATCCGACTTTCTCTAGTTCCCTCCGATCTGGTGATTTTATTTTTATTTTATTTTTATTTTATTTTTATTTTATTTTTAACAATGGGCACTGAGTGCAAAATCCACCAGGTCATTTTAGTGCGGAAACACGACACAGTCCGATGGGAGTAGCAAGATACAGACAGGTCGTTTGGCGGAGTTAACTAAATCACAGTCGATTGGGCGATCCTTTCTATATAGTTTGTAAGCTAGGTCCGTACGAACTGGAACAGCTTATCAATCCTAGCCGGGAATGGCCAACGGATGAAAATCTGTGCTTATCTCTCCGCGGCTCGTGAAAGAATCTTCTCAGCTGTGCAGACCAAGGCGAAAAAGTAAGCTCCCCTCCCCAAAGCATTGTTTGAGTTGTGGTGAAGCACCGCCTTCCCCCTCCCAAGATACAGATAACCATATGGTATCAAAGTATGTCTTGTACCAAGCTGTGGATGACAGCCGTGGAGGGACACATGCTGCCCGCCCACGAAAAACGAAAGCATATTTAACCGGGAGAACGAAGACAAGGTCAGATGACGGTCTGGCCCGTCCCATTGCTGCTTGGGCGGAACAGTCGCATAAAGTTGCATGAGAGGTATCTTGTAACCATCCACAATTTAAGCCTACAACACGAGGAACGGCGTACTTTATACGGGGGTAGATAGATATGCGATCTCTTCGCCATCCTTGCGCAAAGGGCGTCATTATTCAATCAGGAATGATGAATTTTACTCTGCATCCGCAACGAACAACTTCGGCTTGTAACTTGAAGGGTAACTAATTAGTTAATAAAGCACAATTACTAATGAACAGGGCATCCACATGCGAACTGACTAATAACTGGGCAGCCCTAAAGTGGATCCAACTCTTGTGCAAAGGGAGATATATATATATATATATATACATATATAGTTATATAAACAAATTTAATGTCTGTTCCCTCCCAAGGCTGTATGACGTGACCGTCTGGCACGTTTCATTTCATCCATCAAAAAATGCACAATATATCTCTCAGCTTTCCCACTCTTCTTCTTCTCTAACAGCATCATAGGTTTTAACACCGCAGTTACCAGTTACCAGATTTCAAAAGCAAGCAAATATTTGGCTTAACAGCCAGCCCTGGCTAGCGCTTCCCCACCCACCCTCCTCGTGTGTTCCCGCTTTTTCCTGTCAATACCCGGAACCCGGACTTAAACTCAGGAAGCTTTTTGCCGGAGCCACGATTTTTTGCCCCCCGGCGTCGCTCTCCAAACTCTGCGCCCCTAAACAATGCCTAGCATCATCACCATCATCATCAATCATCATTCATCATCGAGTCCATTCACAAGCTTTCCAAGGGGGGGAAACTCTCAAGTAAAAGAGCAGGAGTACTAGTCACTGTAGGTCTTCGGAGATAAGATTAGAATAGAACATTTCTTCCTTGATGTCTTTCTTCCTTTCTCTTTTCCTCTTTCTCATCTGGAACCACCCACCTTAGCTAGAACATCCTTCCGCCTTCTTCTCATACCTCCCCATTTTATTGCGCTCATTGTTTGCCATACCTCACCAGCAAGCTGCCCGAGAACCAGCGCACCTACCAGCTCCCCGCAAATAACCACCCAACAATAATAACAAGAAGGATAATAATAATAATAATAAAGATAAAAATAATAATAATAAAAATAATAATAATAATAATAATAAGGAGAAGAAGAGTATACTACCAGTCGGCTCGTCAACTCGCAGCTTTTTCGCGCCTGCTTCTAAGCTCCACGATCACGACCCTAAACAACTCCCAACAACACATACTGCTATCTATTGGGCAAGCAAAACTTGAAGATTCCTCGCTTGAGAGGTGTTGCAAGCTGGTGGGGGAATATGCTGCGGATGGCGTCTTTCACAGTTCCCAAGGGAGCTCCATGGCTTCTCTTGTCTCTGGTGGTCACCGCCCTTGCACATGGTGACGAAAAACACGGGCACGGCGGGATGGGCATGGGCATGGGCATGGGCATGGGCCATGGTGGGAAGGAAGGCGGTAAAAATAACAACAGCAGCAGCACATCTACCTCATACGACAGCTCCAAGATCATGAGCTACTTTGCATATGGGAAACACTCAAGCACCATAGCAGCTCACATCGCTCTCATGGTCATAGCCTGGTTCTTCATTCTGCCAATTGGTACGCATACAAAATAAGGCTATACCCCATAGCTATCCACGCATCCACAGGCAAGAAGTTGCTTTTTCTGCCCATCACAATATAAAAGGGAAGAAGCGAAAGAGTTTGCTAACCTGGGTTTGATCGTTTGGTCTTGGTTTGTAGGTGTCATGTTTAGCATCGCTCGATCGCGGCTTGCCTTGCCCACGGAATTTATCTTCTTCATCGTAAATGCCTTCGGGATACTACTAGCAGTGGTGTATAACAGTCAAACGCCCAATCTGTACGATAACAACGTCCATCACAAGATTGGCTGGATTGCGACTTGGGTTATGTTTGCGGAGCTTATCATGGGCCTCTTATTTGCGTATTCCAGTCGTCGTCGTGGGGACGACACGCACCGTGGACCTTCTTTCGAACGAGTTGCTTTTATCCCCGTCTCAACAACGGAACCACAGAGCGAGACATACCCAAGCAGGCCTATGCATCAGTACCGCTGGTCCCGTGACAGCGGCCAGGGTACTGAAAGGAATTACTCCTCGCACAGCCAGAGCTCGTCACTAGAACGAGGGCGCCAGCTGTCACGGCCGAGCGATAGCTGCGACTACCTTGAGGAGAAGCCGGATGATGGTGGAGCGGATGGTGGAGCTCCCGCAGCAGGTCGATTCTTCCAACCCCCCTTGTTGGGTAAATTCCTCTCAATGCGGCTTTCTGGGCTTCTTCCCAAACGCGCACTTGACGTCATAAGTATTCTTCACGTCATCATCGAGAGAACCATATTGATTATTGGTTTTATCGCGATATCATCCGGAGCTGTGGTCTATGGGGGTATTTTCGTAAGTGGATTCCGCTCTTGTTCTCCTCTTTCTCTCGACCGCTTAGACTCACCACGTTTCATCACGCAACCTTGGATGTTGTGCTAATATTGCATGCAGCGTGGTTCCAACATCTTCAATGGGCTTGCGCATTTCATCAAGGGTGGAATCTTTTTCTGGTACGGGTTGCTCACCCTGGGTAGATGGATGGGATGTTTCGCGGATGTTGGCTGGGCATGGAATGTCAGGCCATCACGTGCCACGGTAGGGGCATGGCGGGCCCGAGTCCCTTCAGGGGAATTTACAGAGTCCTTTGTAATCTTCCTCTACGGCGCGAGCAACGTCTTTCTCGAACATTTGGCAGCTTGGGGTGATGCATGGGTTGCTCAGGATTTGGAACATGTGTCAATCTCCATCATGTTTTTGGGCGGCGGTTTGGTAAGTTGACAATTTCCATCTTTGAAAAAAAAAAAAAAAAAAAAAAAAAAGTCATCATAGCCCCTGACCTTACTTCATAAAACAGTGCGGCATGTTGGTTGAGTCAAAACGGGTTCGAGAATGGATGAATGCAACCATTTTCCCTGCTACTGCCCACCTAGAGAGGTTGCCGGCAGAAGCTGTGGAGGTGCCAGTGTCACAGCGAGTGCCCCTCAACCCAATTCCGGGTCTGGTCATCCTGCTCCTAGGGATGATGATGAGCTCCCACCATCAGAACAGTATGGTGTCGGCTATGGTGCATAAACAATGGGGAATGCTCCTCGTCGGATTCTCTCTGGCTAGAGCTGTAACTTACCTCATCCTCTGCCTCAGACCACCCACCTCGTTGCTGCCATATCGACCACCCTCGGAACTCATTGCATCCTTCTGCCTTATTTCTGGAGGTCTGATTTTCATGTTAAGCGTAAGTTTGATATGAAGGGGTTATCCTCCCCCGCACAGCCGCGGTCTTGATTTGTTCCTAGGCTCTTTTTTTTTTTTTTTGTTCTTGCTAACCCATTTCTTTCTCAGACGAGAAACGTCGTCGAAGCTATGGAATATTTCAATCTCAACGCCATGTTTGTATTCACTGTCGGCATGGGATTTACATGTCTTGTCATGGCGTGGGAAATCCTCTGCATTTCTCTCAAGGCATGGGCTACTAAGAAAACAGCCCTTGTCTCCGCTGAAAGGTATCGGTTTCCTGCTTAAATGAACAAATAGGAGCAAAAAAGAAATTTCCAATCTGCATCCTCTGCATCCACCATTTAACTACCCCCTATCCCCCTTCTAACCTATGTGCCCATGTGACAACGACGTATTTTTAGCGGTCAATACCATTTTATGCTTGATTTTATTTAGTTTTTGCGAGCTATAAAATATTGGAAAGTTAATCTATCTCTCCTATTAGTACCTTCTTATCCTGAAGGTTCTTTGGAGATTTTCTGTGTGTGTATTGCCGTATGTGCATGTGAAGAATGTGATTAACTTGGCCTCCATAATTATTAGGCCTAGTGTTAATTTATTTTTGGAAATTAGTGACCCATAAGGACGAAGAGAGAAAGTTTGTGATGAAATTACGAAGGTAAATAATGAATAACCCTATCTGCTCCATTCGGTGAGGCCCTGACTCATATTTCTGGGTCATCGTTTGTGCTTGTGGTGCTTACGGTATTTTATGTCTTGATCTGGATCCAATCTTGTCTCTGCTTTTTAACAATTTTATCAGAGTACCCTCTGATGTTTCTGGATATACGAACTGTTATTAAAAATTATATATATCCCTTTATCTCATTATTATTATTATAAAAATGGGGAAAAATTGACGATTTGAACATTCTGGCTTCGTTCTGATGGTGCCAATTCGTTCAATTCTGATTGTTCTTTCACTTCATTTTTCGTCTCGTCAACTACCCACGTTCGCACGTTCGAATATTTAAACCTTGTAATGTCAGGGAGAGCTCATCACCCACCGCTCCATGCAGCATCACCTGCGCATAAGTGTGTGCTTGTGTATGGGCTTTGAAAATTGAACTATGCGTCTCGCAATTAGTATATGACGGCCCGGATGTGAAATAAGTAGATCCAGATATATCCATCCATATTACCAATAAAAAAAGTGGATATGGAAAACAAAAGCATGCAGTCCTTCTCCCCTCAAATTCGCATAGAGAGCCAAAAGGGAAAAAGTAAGTAAAATGGAAAAAGTTTTCCAACTTTGGTAAAAATCCCATGATTCTACATAAATGTATGTTCATACATACAATATTTTATTCCACGATCCCTTCTGTTCGCGTATACCACATCAATCCACCATCCACCTCCAATAGAAGTTTCAACACCAATAACCCCTTCAATGACATGAGTAAAAGTCGAAAAAAAAAATGAGAGGCCTTGCTAACCATCAAATAGAACACACACGCATGTTCCAATATTCAAACATCAAAGACACTCAGCAACCTTTAAGAATATATCTCTGTCGTAAGCATGAAGAGAATATGGAATACTGTATGCGAATGGCTCCATATGTTGAATTTGCCGGGATACCAGCATTTGAGGAATCCGGCGCTGCATTATATGCATTATTGGTTCATTTGTTTGGGTATGGTGGAATGATCAGGCGGAGAGAAGGGAAGGGGGATGGAATGGAATGGAATGGTGAAGTAAGGGGTAAGTACCGTAGGGCAAGAAAATTGGGTTTTACCCTGCTCGTAAATGTTCGCTGCTATTAGCAAAAGCAATCCTTCTAAGAGATAATGTGGAATTCCGCTGTGAGAGAAGGTATCGAAGTCGAAGAACATAGTGGCGTGAGCGACTGGTGCAAAACCCAGATAGTGTTTTGCCAACAAGATGCTCAAACGAGAACATTCAGTGGTTTGGGCCTTTGTATTCTGGTTTTAAGAGGACCGCGGCGATAAGAGAACCACGAACTGTGGTCTGGGGATGTAAAAGTTGTGTCAGTGGGAAGCTTGACGTTTATTTTGGCCAATCCTGAAGCCATTTGGTGGCAAGTGTATGGGGAAAGATATGTTATGAGATAAGAAATGGAAAATATGATAAGACAATGTTAGCCAACCATAAATCAATATATTAGCCTAAGACCTTATTCTCCAGTAAAATTTAGAGTAATTACCAATTATAAAATCTCCAAGTATTTTATAGTAAAATCCCGTTATAATCATTCAAAAGCCAAGTAAGTTCGACCAGGGGAGAACAGTGTTTCAAGTATAATGTAACGATCTTGTCTAGGTGTAACGATCAAGTCCCTAGACAAGACATAACCTTCAGCATCTGGAAGAGGAGCAGAAGCCTATCCCCCAATGCTGCTAGAGGATCTTATCGAATATATGTCGAAGCAAACTCCACTGGCTAGCAATTGAAACAGCGGCAGGGATGAAATGGCTATAGACATTGCACGATTCATTCATGAAAGGCGGCCGCCGTTGATTTCCACTGGACGCGGTATCCTGTCAGGATAAATCGATTCCGCATCATACCATATGCCAGTAGCTTAACTGGGAGTTTCGCTTCCGAGGAGGTTCTGACGATATTGAGAGAGGGGCAATTTTGGCAAGCGGGCATGGTAGCGCAGTTGGGATGTATGAGTATCGCTTGTACAAAAGAGAACGACAGAATTGGTCAGCTCGTTATCACAACTGAATAGGTGGAACGCGGCTTGGGTTCCAATGAGTGTTTGGAGTTGTCTGGAGATAAGAATATCTAGCAGACGCTCTTGTGAAGAAATCAGCCATCCTTGCCATAGACGAATTTTATCTTCTTTTTTGATAAAGCGCCCAGCTCGTATGTCAAGAAATGTTGTGAAGTGTATTTGTATACAAGTCAAATAACAAAACGGTACCATTCTCAACGCCAAAAGGCTTTTATGTTGTGAGTCAGTTCGTCCCGCTTGTCCCGCTTGTGGGGCGGTCAAGTGTACGGATCGCTCCCAAGGGAAGGGGGAGATACCCGTGGCACCCGCGGAGTATGACATCACCTCGTGTTCATAGTTTCATGTGCTTTGCTTGTATCCAATCCGTCCTTTGAAACTGCCTCCAATGGAAAGGAGATGTGGATGGGAGAAAATGGCTAATGTTTAGCAGATTGTATACCCCGCAAGGGTATATTCTTTCTAGTTCAAGGCAGATATCACAAATTGCAACATAGGAAAGCATGCTCGCAGAACTATTCGTTACAGTCCAAAAAGCCCAAGGGACCTTGATCCGAATATGACAAGGTTCTTCGGGTCATCCAGAAATCGAAGGTCCTGTTCCTGGAGAAGCCCCTGTTACGTTCCGTTAACTGTTCGAATGCATGCCAGTGGCAACATTTGCTAAAGACCTAGATCAGTTGTTTGACTGCTTAAAGATAGAATCGGAAAGGATCCTGGATAATTTTTTTTCTTCAACATTGAGGAACAAATGAGGTATGAAGGTGGGAAAAGAAAACCATTCCGAAAGCCTGTAAAAAAAAAAAGAAGAAATAAAAAAGGAAATACTATGGTAACAGCTAGTTATTCATCTGACGGAGTGAAATTTGAGGCAACCAAGCAATTGGGACTGATAGCCAGGAGGCTTGTTTCTCGATGAAATATATAAAAAATATATTGAACAGTCGTAGTTCCAAGGTTAATTCCAAATTCGGGATCTTGTCCGGGATCAATTTCCAGAAGGTTTCATATGATTGAAGATTACCCGATGGTAACAAGGGCAATAAAGTGTCGGGGATTGCGGGGCCCCATATTTATGCGAGTTGGCTATTTCAGGTCCTGGCGGCATTATAAGCTGCTAAAATAACCGAAGATAGAATCAGCTTTCATAAAGATTTTGGCTTTTGAATAATTTTGTAGAGCAAAAATTCTTATAAAAACTAAGTTATATTTTTCATAGTTTTTTTTTGCAGATTAGGAGTATGTTACGGCAAACCGAGGCTAGGTAACAAGTCGCACGACTGAGGGCAGGACGGGCCAAATCGTGAGACTAGACGTTCAATTGAGGAGGCTGAAAATAGGTAGTATATCGGCTGTTGTATAGAAACCTCTTTAAAGGGAACGTTCTCTAGAAGCGTTTGCTCCATATAAGCGATGCAGTCTCCAAGGTTAGGAGCAGAGATGAGGCTTGGAATCTAATTAGTTATTTGTCAATATTATCTCCGCTGAGAGCCTAGCCGTGGCTGCGCGCGCGTTTTAGGAAGAATGAATGCTCCCAACCGTTGATGTCAACATCTCTGCTGCTGCAGGAGTCAAAGGCGTTGAAGGTTGAACAGTTCAGGTTGAGGGGATGTTTAGTTCGTTTAATTAGTGAAGGCTGTTCGAACGATGTGGCACCTGATTAGGTGTAGCGTCCGTCCCAGCCGCGGAGTTCCAAAAGTTGCTCTGGAGTCAAAACCGCTGAACCGCCTTAACTACCGGTTGTTCCGAGCTTGTGTTTACCCCAGCGTCGTCTCCGCCCCCCCATTGACCATTCCCCGCGGGCTTTTCCTTCTCTCTCCTCTGCCTGTGTCTGGGAGCAGTGAGGCAGGCTGAAGGGCAGTCTCATTGCTCAAAACTCAACTTGCGTCGTTCCTTACAATACATCGAGCTGGTTGCGAAGTACGACCAACATCTCAAGTCGTGATAGAAATAAATACACTGATTTGCGACGGAAAAGCACAAGCAAAGAGAAGAGAAATCAAAAAAGGGAAGAATACAAGGCAAACGATTCCTACGGTTCCCCCGCATCACGAACTCGAGCAAATCATTGATTTGCTCCGTGTTTTGGCTGCTGCCCTGATTGTCGTTGAATCAAGATATAGAGCATCTTCAGTCTTGTGGAACCGAACAACAACGCAGCTTTCCGTGTCCCTCACATCCGCCTGCATCTTGCCTCGAATGATTGAAATCCAACCGCAAAAACTCTCTTTGCATCTCTTGTACTATTTTGACGACTATTCTGCACAGATTTTATTTTTTTTTTCTCCGGAGTCGGCTCAGCCTCAATATCAAATCCCAATACAATTCCCCGGCCGTCGCATCAACTCTGCATCTATTACTTACAGCCATTGGCCACCTATTGTTATTTCCTATTCCTTTTTTGTTCTTTTTTCTTCTTTCTTCTTCTTCTTTTCTTTTCTTTTCTTTTCTTTTTTTTAATTCAGAGGCAAGACGATAACGAAAATACCCAATGGCGAACTCGCTTCCTCCCCTCCCGTTTAACCCGGCACGATTCCGTTCGTATATACTACGCCTGCCATTATTTACACGCGTTGTCCTTTTAATTATCGGCATAGTTTGGGTGTTGGAGATCCAGACGATATGGAATGTGGTACAATGGGGAGCACTCATACCCAGCGAGACTAGACTGGCATCGAGTACGTATACCATAGTGTGTATCTTCTATATTGCTATGGACTGAGAGGACAAGCATCTTTCGGAAATTTTGAGATTTTAATTCTGCAGTATTCATTGGGGTTAACTAACATACATCATTGAAGTGTACCGTCTTAATACTTATCCAATCATTCATAATGGATTGTTTCATACCTTCTGGAATATTTTGGCTCTAACACCACTTTTGGAGAGATTCGAGGCGGAACACGGGACGCTTACATCTGTAGCATTGTTTATTGGACGTATGTGTTTTTGGTTTCGAATCTCCAAGTACACTACCGGGGAGAGAACGTTTGACAGAGACTGACAATCCTTCCTCCTAGCATTTTCAACTCTGCCTGCAGGGCTATACCTGCTCGTCGAGAAGGTTATCTTAAGGGGCAACACTCCTGTGCTGGGCTCCAGGTATGCTCTCCAAGTTCGAGGAACTGCGTTATTCCACGCATAAGGCTGACATCAACCTTTACAGCGTCTGGATATTCTTGCTTCTGGGAGTTGAGGCAATAAAAACATTCCAAACAAACCCGCATTTTGTGTTAGTATCCGCCTCCTCGTCCCCTTTAACTTGTCCCGTATCCGGCTACCGGTTTCTAACGTTCACCATACAGTTTGGGGTCGTACAGAATACCAACGTGGACAACGCCATTGTTAATAGTCCTTGTGGTATTTGCCCTGATTCCCAACACCAGTTTCTTGGGTCACCTTTGTGGTGTCGCTATTGGCTATCTTTGTAAGTTCTTTCTTTCACAATTTCTAGCTGTTGGTCAATTTCTCACTAGCGTATCATACAGTCGGACTGGGGTACCTAAAATTCCTCGTCCCTCCCGAGAAAATTCTTCGCTGGATCGAAGGGAAACTGAACCTTCTCGGAAGACTGCCTCACTACGTATCGGTTGATCAGAAAACATATGGAAGATATGGACTCTTGCCCACGAGGAACCCTACGACAAACGAAGACATTGTGGGAATGTCCATTCCACTGGGGTCTACACAGCGGTTGGGTCCATAAGTATATTTAGCAAATTTGTATGAGTGTATAAACATCTTATTGTATATATATAGATATGTATACATTTATCCACTGGTTTTATTCTGGGAGACTGGCATGTATAGTGTGTATATTTGGAGATTGATAGCACAGCTGGTCTCTGTGGTCAGCCGTAACTAAACATTTACCTAATCCTCGCTTCAACCTCTACAATTTCGGAGATCCAGCTCCAACTGCGCATATACGCCCCATCGGTATAAGTATTTTATGGCCTCGAAGGGAATGTTTTCTCGAATGTTTCTCCTTCAATGGCTTTAATATGTAAGAAGTAAACAAATTCCAAATTTCCATCCCTCACAATTACTTCCTGCACCATACATGTTTCCCTGACCAGATCGCCCTAACACACCGGACTCAAACACAGCGAATTTAATCTTCAGGCTGCGCCGTGATCCACGCCTGTTGTATAAGTTCCCGTCGTACCTATCCGTCTTCCTTGTCATTGTCGGGGTTGTCTGGCTTCTTCTCCTCCCGCTTAACGAGTACTCCCGCAAAACATACATCTCCGAAAACGCGCTGTTACCGGGACAGGTACACACGTACTTTACGGGGAGCGAACAGAATGTGTTTCGAGGATTTAGGCGGGAACTTGATATGGTGAAGGATGCAGAGTACGAGGTGTATGTGGTTTTCAATTTGTTCATTGGAAGCAAGAGATCTTAATCTCCACTTGCATCAACAAATTCGTCGGATTTTCGTCTTGATTCCGTGGGTAGTCCGATAGCTAACTGCTCTCCCCACTGTGCTGCCCACAATTGCAGGATTTCGCAAAAGATCCAGTCAATATTTCGAGAATCCGGTCTGAAAGTCGCGACTCAAAACTATGAGTACCGATCAGCTGGGTACACACATGCCGGGCAAAATGTCTACGGCGTTATTCATGCTCCCCGAGGAGATGGCACAGAGGCTATAGTTCTAGTCACTTCATGGAAGACTGTTGACGGCGAGCTGAACCTCAATGGCGTGACTTTGGCCTTAACTCTGGCTAGATATTTCAAACGTTTGTCTCCCCCTCCTCAATCAAATCTGAATCATGGATTGGTATCGGTGCTAACATTACATGGGCGATAGGATGGTCACTATGGTCCAAAGATATCATCTTTCTAATCACTCCGGACAGCAAATCCGGTGCGCAGGCATGGGTTGATGCCTACCATGACATGCACCCCACTTCAGTTCAACCCCTTCCCCTGAAGAGCGGTGCCTTGCAGGGAGCTTTAGTGTTCGAATACCCCTTCGATCACGCATTTGAATCTATCCACATCATATACGATGGAGTCAATGGACAGCTACCAAACCTAGATCTTTTCAACACTGCTGTTGTAGTATCCACCGAACAGATGGGTATTCCGGCACACTTACAGCAAATGTTCGAGCACGATGACAGCTACAAAACCCGCCTGCAGACCATGCTTCGAGGTATGGTGAACCAAGGGCTGGGGAGTGCAGCAGGCCCCCATAGCAGCTTTATACCCTACCACATTGATGCAATTACGCTCCAAGCAGTCGGTCACGGGTGGCAGGATGAGATGGCTCTTGGTAGGACGGTGGAAAGTCTTGTGCGCAGCTTAAATAACCTCCTGGAACATTTCCATCAGAGCTTTTTCTTCTACATTCTAATGCAGACGCACCGATTCGTCAGCATTGGGACCTATCTTCCCAGTGCAATGTTGATCGCCGGGAACTTCACCATTATGGCCGTTGCTTTGTGGCTAAAGAGTGGAGTGCGGGCTCCTGCAACCGACAATGAAGACTCAGCTGTTCCCGAGAAAGCAAGAGTGGGTGGAGGGAAGGATGCTACTATCACAGGTGCCACAGGCGCCGGACAGGAGGGTAATGGCATTTTGGAGCGACATTTGGCGCTGCCGCTGGCCTTAGTGTTCGGGTTACACCTACTTGGTGTCATACCGCTCTATTCTTTCAACAATATCTCCCATCAAGTAAGCTCATTAATTTCGTACAATATGGAAATAAGCCTCGAAGCTAACCCAAGTTTACTTCTCCAGTACTTCGAACGAGCTACCTATCTTCTAGCCTTCATAAACATCTTTCTTCCCATAGTCATCGCCGCCGTCTTAACCCGCTTCTCTTCCCCAACTGCCCAACAATTCCTTCTCATAAAATCTTTTTCCCTCCTCCTACTAGGCCTCTTCCTCTCCGCCCTTGCAACGCTGAACTTCTCCCTATCTTTCATGATCGGCCTCTTATGCACTCCCCTATCTCTCATCGGACATATCCAAAAGCAACCTACCCAGAACGCAGCGCATTCCCAATCGTCAAACTCGACTAATAAGGCTCAAAAGGCAACCCCTTCCTCAACATCAGTCGCCACTATCCTCCTATCAGTGGTAGGGCTTATCCTCATGAATCTAGTTTCCCCAACTACTGTACTGCTGGCCGCTTGTAGGTACTGGCAAATTCCAGTGTCAACTTTACTCACCGAGGCGGCGTTCGGATGGAATGTATGGGGGATGTGGACGCAAGTGATTGCTTGGTGTGTATGGTGGCCAGCTTGGCTGTGTGGATGTTTGTTACTTGCTTCCTCGGTTTTCTGAGGTCGAGTGAAGCTTTGAGGTGCCATATCCGTTGCGCTCGGTACGAGTTTGGGGAGTGATGAATGGGACTGATGGAACCTGAGATTTATTTTCAATTCTGAATTCATTTTAGCTTATGACATATGCCAGGCTTTACTGCACCATGTCATTATCCCCCCCCCCCCCCTGCTGAACAGCTATGAGCTGTTAAGGTTTCCCAAAGGCTATTTGTGACTATAAACATAGCAATCAATCTGAGAACATATACTATCTAAATGTTCTACAAATATCTACTCAAAGTAGAGCCAGGATCAATCCCGTTCGGGAGTGAAGAGGAACTCTCCAGTACGATAAAAGACACGAGCTATCACAACATGGTAAAAGTAAAGCTTTTCCCAAGGCAAACTTTCAAATTCAAATAGGATTTGTGGTCTACACAGTCGGATAGATGATTAAACTCCGAAGAACGTGGAATGTGTAGTCTCTCTAAGACAGACAGAAGCATGAATAGGCTACGCGGCCCAGACGTCCTTCCCAACTCCCTCAATCCAATGACCAAGCTGGTTAACTCCAGCATCCCACTCACGCAACCGATTCCGCATTCCTTCGGTCTGACCCATGTCCAGAACCTTGGGTTGCACCCAGCTGATCCGTGCGATCTGGGCAACTTGATCGATAGTGCCCTTGAGAAGGCCCAAACTGAGCGCCTTCATGATCAAATGCTCGATCTCATTAGGCTGCACTTTCGTTTCTTCGGATATGGTCGTAAATGTCATTGTGCGGTCGTGCGGGGGTCGTCGGAAAACCATCTCCGTCAGCGCGGCCAGAGAGATCTTCTGGTATAAAAAGATCTTGTGCTGCTCCAAAAGTTCGTTTTTGCTGGTGTTCCCCGCTAAGACATCGTAGGCTGCGAGGTCACCGCGATTAAATGCGAAGAGTAGGTCGCGGAGCCAGGCATGTTGTGTGTTTCTGAGAGAGTCGAGGACGGGGTGCAAGAGGAGTTCTCCAAAGTTGTAGATGGAGTCGGATACGAGAGCGGCTATGCTCAGGTCGTATGCTCGAGAGGTGCATTCCTCTTCTGTCAGATCTTTGACATCCACGCAGGCAAGGTAGAGGAGCGCGTTTTTATAGTAGGAAGCAAATTCGAGCTTGGCCTTATTTATACAAAGAAGGTATGATTAGAAATGGTATGGCTTATGCGTGGTATGTATTTTTTTGGAAGACATACGTGGTAATAGTCCGCATTAACTTTGTAGAATGCGGCATGCACAACGGTCTCTACAGAGTCAAAGGAATCCAACACTGCTTCTGAGGCGTCTAGATCCTTCCGCGCTCCCTCAAAATCTTTCAACCGCAGCTTTACGCTAGCTACATCTGCCATAGCATAAACATATGCATCTTGCGACCCGGGTTTATTCACTCTGTCCGCCAACGATGTGAGGAATGTGAGACGCTCTTGGTCATCTACAATCACAGAGTTAGCTTTGACATCCTCTAGCATCCGACCTCACGAACCCAGACTTTCACTCCAAATCGCAAATACGAACCATCACATTGTGTAGATGCCATTAACCCCAGAGTTACAAACTTCAGCTGATTGATCTTGTCTGCAAAGCTAAGGATGAAGTTCTTGAAGATCGCTAATCTCTGCGTAGCGCTCTCGGGGAGACAGAAAAATTCTATCAGCGCATTCGTCAGCTGATGCCATAGTTTCCGCTCCCAGAAGTCTTCGAAGGCTAGAAATGTTCCATGAGATTCGCTGAGAGCTTCGTCGCGCTGCTCTGCGAGAAATTCGGGGATCTTGTCGGCCTGCATTGCAGGCAGTGAGAGGGAGCTGATGATGTTCGGAAGTATAGGTGTAAACCGGGGCTATAATAAAATAGTTTCGAGAGAAAGAAAAGGATTTGGAGGTGGCTCTGTTTATTTTCAAGGGAGGTGGTTATCTTTGGAAGACGGACATATTTGCTGCTGTTTGTCTCTTTTATCGTGTCCGGTTGGATGGTTTGGTTGGGCCGGAATGAAGTGGATGAATAATCAGTACCCCCACCATGTAAGGATCAACAAAGACAACCACCGCAACTCCTTTTCAAGAAGCAAGTTCATGTCTGATTTGGTTGGCTATATATCTCAAAAGATTCCACTATTTTGTGATATGCAAAAACTCAATCTGAGTTGATGAATTAAAAATACCTTCTATCCCTGACGCGGTCCTAGATAAACTATAGTTAACTACCTCGCAGGTCCTCCCTCTGCCAAATGTATGCTACCCCGGCGCTTATATAGAGCGTACACCTGGATTATAAGGCAGCAAGGTGATGCAGTCTATCAAGTCAACTGGCCACTAATTGTACATTTCACCAATTGCGACTACATACAGTCAGTTGTTGACATACGCGGGTCGCGAGAGCTCAGCGTTTGCCCATGAATTGAACATCAGCATAAGATGAACAGCACCCCAACTTCCAACCTGGTTGCTGATACTTCATGTTTCCACTGCTCAGCCCCAAATATTCATTTGATTCTGAGCTAGAGATCTGGCTTTATTCAATCACTCAGACTATGCGCCTGTTACCGCATGGTTCTGCTGTTTCTATAACAACACCCACCGTTCGGCTAGCATCTCCCACAGACTGTGGTTTTGGCATCCTGGTTGACTGAGATATCGCCGAGATATCTCTGTGGGCTAGCTCCACATATCAAAAAAGGCGATTGGTTTAGTGTATAGTTTGCTTAATTTCATGGTATGAAAATGTGATTGCAATCCCATCCCTCAAATATCTCACCCCCTAATGAAAAATTTCCCCCTATTTCTCCCATCACAGTCTTGTGGACGGGATCGCATAATTGGTAATTCGTAATTAAACATGTATCCAACATGCTTCGAGCAAGTGACTCTGTTGTCTCATCACCCAGATAACTGATCATTCCAGATTGTGCGTCTCTCAGAAAGATGATGTTATCCGTGGGCTTGAAGATTGTTACGATCCAGACCTAGGGAAAGAGAGGTGCCAGTCATATGTAGAGAGCGGCTGAGTGTAGATGGTGTGTACAGATGTGTGGATGGCCTTGAAGATTATTCAATCCGGTTACCGGTAGGTTCTCAGCGTTCAATAAGCTTGGTTACCGTGGAGTAAATGATATCATTTCAAATTGAATTCATTGTGAGTTGGTTGTATCTTCCTCACGTTAAGTTGCATTTAAACCTGCGACTATTCCCTTTTGGGGTTGGCACATCGTCCCCATCAACTCCATTTCAACATCCCGCAATAGAAAACAGTGTAGAACAGCTTTAAACTGCATACAACGCCCCTGGAGCGCCATCCTACCTTCGTGATTGTTCCCCTGGAGGTTTTCCGACAGCTTTTGACCCCCTGGTTTGGTTGGGTGGTCAATTGATTGGATTACAATGCAAAAGTGCCGCGCCATCCAGGGCGCTCTGGGCTCCCAGGCAGTCACCCCACTGCCTTCAGTTCGAGCGCAACTGCACATCCAACGCCGAAATATACAAGATGTCTACATCACTCGGACCGGGACGCCAATTTTAAAAGTCCAGGGTGGACGGTATGGGCTATTTGCTCCGTTGTGATTGGGGTAGAGTGCTAACGGATTTGGTGATCCATTAGGTCCTCCATTGGAGGTAATTGACCAGCAACTTTTCTCTCACACGAGTGTCCTTTTAACTCGATGGCTTTCTAGGGCATACTGCTACAGTCTTCGGCGCTACGGGTTTTTTGGGCCGTTATATCGTGAACAGACTCGGTATGACATATCTATGCTTTGGATGCGGAGCGGACGAGGTTGTTAACGGATAGCGTTCATATAGCTCGCCAGGGATGTACCGTGGTCGTGCCTTACCGAGAGGAAATGGCTAAGCGCCATCTAAAAGTCACTGGCGATTTGGGAAGAGTTGTCTTCATGGTGAGATTCAATCGAAGAATGCCGCCATAAGTGGCCCAACCCGCTTATCCGTTCATTTATAGGAGTATGACTTGCGAAACACACAGTCAATCGAAGAGAGCGTGCGCCATTCAGACGTCGTATACAACCTTGTGGGAAGAAAATACCCGACAAAGTATGTGATTTCGAGCATATCATCCGATTATTGGACTTTCTTATTGAGCATCTCTCTACAGAAATTTTTCGTACGAGGATGTCCACATCGACGGCCTGGAGCGAATTGCTGAAGCTACTGCTAAATACGATGTCGATCGCTTCATCCACGTTTCCTCATACAACGCGGACCCGAATTCCCCCTCTGAATTCTTCCGAACCAAAGTAGGCTTCTAGAAGACAGATGGTAGTGCGCACCCAACTAATTCTTTAATTAGGCCCGAGGCGAGCAGCTTGCTAGGTCCATATTCCCCGAAACTACCATTGTTAGGCCGGCGCCGATGTTTGGATTCGAGGATAACCTGCTTCACAAACTGGCCAGCATAACCAACCTGTTCACGTCTAATCATATGCGGGAGCGATACTGGCCAGTCCACGTAGGTTACTTTTGCACGTCTATGGAATGACCATGGCTGACCATTTTCTCTAAAGGTTATTGACGTAGGCCATGCTCTTGAGAAAATGATGTTTACAGATGCATCCGTGGCGCAGACATACGAGTTGTACGGACCAAAGAACTACTCGACCGCTGAGATTGCCGAACTTGTTGACCGCGAAATCATCAAGAAGCGTAGACATATCAATGTTCCCAAGCGCATCATGAAGCCAGCCGCCTACTGGGCTAACAGACTCCTTTGGTGGCCAGCAATATCTGCAGATGAGGTTGAGATGGAATTTCTAGACCAGCAAATTGATCCATCGGCCAAAACTTTCAAAGATCTGGACATTGAGCCTGCTGAAATAAGCAACCTGACATTCCACTACTTGGTATGTAAATTCCAGTACAATCCGCTTGTTTCTCTCTGCTATGAGCTTAAGACTTACTCGTTTCTACAGCAAGGGTACCGCAGTTCCCAATACTCCGACCTACCACCAGCCTCGGAGCGTGAGAGAGCTGAAGAGAAGAAATACGTTCACGTCCTTGACGACCAGTAGTTCACTGTCATTCCCCACAACGTGTCTATACTCATACTTCACTAGACACAACCAATTCCAACCGTGTATTTGATAGAGATTCTCTGAATTCGCTGTATCCTGTATTTCGGCTATAATTTAGTAGAGATCCCAACGGAGAACCGTGAAATAACACATATATCTGCGATACCAATAACTAAGCTTTTATATTTTGAATCAAATTGCTCTAGTAGCCATATGTGAATGTACTTTTATCGCATCTAAATGGCGGCAATAATGCCCTGGGGAAGGAGGACTTTTTGATGACAATTAAAAATTCCTGTGATTGACGCCGTATCGACGAACCAACACGGAACGACAATTATTGACTTCAGTTCTCCCTCATAACTTCAATCCGTAGTATGTAGTATACATACATACATACAACCCACTTATTAAATATGCTAGCAGCCTAAAGCAGCCTCCTCTCATCTTTTCCAATGCAATCACCACGATCATCGTCATGACAAACGTTCATCCAAGCCTCCCCGCTAAAACTCCCATATTCCTCCTTAAAACCAAATCAACCCCCCACGACGGGTACGAAGAATACTTCTCCGCTTCCGGCCGCTACGACCCTTCTTTCATTCCCGTCCTTGAGCACAGATTTCGTGACAAGAGCCTGCGGAGGATAAGGGACTTATTTGTTTCCGGGGATATTAACGATCAATATGGCGGGCTGATATTTACGAGTCAGAGAGCGGTGGAAGGGTTTGCGAGAGTGATTCAGGAGGAGGTAGGAGGTACGTCTCTGCTCTCATTTTCTTTTCTTTTTTTTTATTTGTTAGATGTACTATAGAAAATGGTGTTGGCTAATGAATTCGAACCCGAAAATTTTCATGAACACCATAGAAGACGCAGCTATAAAGGCATCCAGATCTCTCCTCCTCTACACCGTCGGACCGGCAACGTACCGAACCCTAAATGTACTGCGCGAATCATATCTGCCGCATTCGCAAATAATGGGCCATGACGCAGGTACCGGGGAGAAACTTGCGCATATCATCCTCTGCCACTACAATGCAAATTACAACCGGCTCACAGATGCAGAGAGCGCAGATGATACCGCAAAAAGGAAGAGAGACAGCAAACTGCCTCTCCTCTTCCTCATTGGTGAGCAGCACAGAGATGTCATTCCCAAGACACTTATGGCGGAGACTCTTCCTCCGGAGCGGCGGATAGAGGTTGAGGAATTGATTGTGTATGAGACGGGGGTTATGGAGTCGTTTAAGGACATGTTTGCGGCTGCGCTACGGGATGCGAGAGAGAAGAGAATGCGGGAGAGAGATGGTCGGGCTAGGAACGATGATAGTGATGAACGGGCTATGTGGGTTGTTGTCTTCTCGCCTACGGGCTGTGAGGTTATGCTTCAAACACTTGGGCTGACTGCGGACGACGGAGGAGAGGGTATATCCACATCTACATACAGAGACGGGGGCAAGAGAAGAGCAGCAGAGGCACTTCGCGACTGCTATATTGCGACGATAGGCCCGACGACGAGAGACCATTTACGTGAGAAATATGGAGTGGAGCCCGATGTTTGCGCGGAAATACCGAGTCCTGAAGGGCTTGGGACAGGGATTGAAAAGTTTCTGGCGGAGAGAAACGCGAGATAGTCGCTCTAATTGGATGTAGTGTATCCGCGGATGATGGATATAATTTTACCTCTCGATAAAATAGAAATGGGTATACAAGGTTTTAGGGTAAAGAGGGTTTCGGGCATAAAGATCTACATCTATTTAAACTTGATATAGGCCGCTGGAATCGCCCGGGTATTGGGGTGTTATGGCCGGAATGCATGAGGACATCCATCCTAAGCGCAAACGAACATGCTGAGATGCTGAGACCAGTGTGGATCGGAGAAGATTCGAAGTACCATGAGATACAAGCATGAAACCAAGCTGACTGACTTTATCTAGCTTATCCTGCCATCCTAATTGCGTGATGTTAATCAAATCAAGCTTAAATTCTCATGCTAGTCTGCAACGTTGCTACACAACAGTTAAGGAAAGGAAAGGGGAATGGAGAAAGAAGTAGAAGGAAAGAAGACAAAACGAGATAATAGCTGTACAGCAATTAGCACAATAATATAATCGTGCAATAACAAATCATTTGGTCATCAACCAGCCCTTAAGACCATAGGATAGATCATTTCATTGCTTCTTTGAATGTCTGTATTGGTTTTGTCGTGCGTACCCTGCTCAAAACGCCGATATTGCTGGGAAATATAAGTAAAAAAAAAAAAAAAAAATTACGAAAATGAAAACAGGAGGGGATAGATAGTATTGTATATTCTTGTGTTTTTCCTTTTTCCTTTTTTTTTTTTTTAAACTTTTTGCATCTGCTTCCTCATGGCTGAGACGAGACATGCTTTCCAGGAGTCTCCTACCGCATGATCTCCTCAAAGATAAGAACTATATACAGAGAGAATGTCGGTCAGCTTGATCATACATGAAAGAACAACAATGGAGCAAATGAAATAGGAAATAACAATAAGAGATACTCCAGGGATAAATAGACTAAAATACCTTTTAGCTGCTCCTTGCTCAGGGAGTCCTTATTTTTGTCGAAATCAAAGAATTCTTCGGGGATGGGGTCAGCAGTTGGTTCATCCTCTGGATCGTGGTAGGGTTCCAGGTATGGGTGGCGCAAAGCGTCTTCGACACTGATGCGCTTGACAGGATTGAATGCGAGGAGCTTCTCAAGCAGGTCCAAAGCCAGATCGGAGGTCTTGGGGAAAAGAGCTTTCAGGGGTATCTTCTTTTTGAACGGAAGGGATCTGATATATTCTCGAGCGCGACGCGACTTGATGCCGTAATAGTCTTCCATGGTTGGTGTTCCCAGAACGTCGAGGATAAGGGTAAGTTGGTGGTGATCTGGGTTCATTTAATCAGGTTAACTATGTTTTTATCCAAAAGAAAAAAATAATAAATAATAAATAATAAAAATAAAATAAAAATAAAAATCAAAAAAAAAAAAAAAAAAAAAAAAAAAACACAAATTCCAATGTGTATTGACAGACGGGTTGGGAATTCTTACAGTCCTTGCCAGGAAACAGGGGTTTGCCGTTCAACATTTCCGCTAATATGCAGCCAACACTCCACACATCAATCGCTTTGGTATATTCTTTGAAGGTCAACATGATTTCCGGGGCACGATACCAACGGGTGGCTACATATTCTGTCATAAATCCAGAGTTGTCATCTGTTGAAGCAGCGGAACGGGCTAGGCCGAAATCACAGACTTTCAGATCACAATTCGCGTTAAGGAGCAAGTTGGATGGCTTCAGATCACGGTGAAGAACGTTCGCAGAGTGCATAGCTTTCAGGGCTCGCAGGGTCTGGTAGATAAAGTACTGGCAATGGTCGTCGGAAAGGTCCTGGGTGCGGATCACACGATGCATATCTGTCTCCATAAGTTCCTACCAAAAGGAGATATTAGCTTCGCGGGCAGAATTTTGTGGAGCTCGCGACATACCTGGATGAGGTATACTTCAGTAAAGCTCTCGTAGTTACGGGGCTTCTGGATGTCGAGGATAGAAATGATGTTTTCATGATTGAAGTATCTCAAGAGTTTCATCTCGCGCAGCGTGCGCAGACAGAACATCGAGTGATCGAACGGGGTTATCTTCTTTATAGCGACCTTCTGGCCAGATGGTTTGTGGAGGGCGGAGCTAGAACCCATCAGCGCTACATACGCAAAAACAGCTACACTAGAAAAGCGATACTCACCAGACAACACCATATGCGCCTTCCCCAATCACATCCTGGATGTCATACTGATCAGAAACATTGAAGGATATCTTCCTCGACCCTCCCAGGGCCATAGCGAAAGCTGTTGATGACTGGGTGTGACCAAGTTAGTATTCGGAATGGGACCAAAGGAGCAATAACAGGGAAACCGGGAGCCCGAAAAGAAACATTTGCTGAATGAACAAAAAGATGACATGAGATATACGCTGTTAACTGGGGATTTGCACTTTTAAAAAGGTAGAGTACAGAATGAACAGTAGAGCTTCAAATCTGGGTGGGGGGGACACTTAAGCCTGAAACCCAAGTGCAGGGGAAAACAATTATTTACCTCGAGTTGAGGCACAGGATGATAATAAGAGCTTGGCCCTAATATCGATCTCAAACGCGTCACAAGGCAGCTTATGCATTTTTTAAGCCACTGTGGGGTCCATTGTCTCCACCGTGGCTGATTCATACTGCAAAGCGGCCGAGTGCAGACGCAAAAGAAGGAGATGATAAATTGAGTAGAACAAAAAAAAAAAAAAAAAAAAAAAAGAAGAAATTCAGAAGAGAATCAAAGGACGAGTCAAACGGAAAGACATCTGAAAGGACGTTGTCATACACAGCAAAATCCTTCAGACATGACAGAAGAGCAATAGTTGAAGGAACAAAGCACAGACTGAGAGAGTAAACAAAGAGTTTTGAAGGAGAGACAAAGCTGACATCTTACATTTGTTCACACACGAGTCGAATCAATGACAACTCTAAGGTTCTTTGATTCTCTTGGAGAAGAGCCAGTTCAATCTCCTGGCTGCTATCCACCTGTATTGAATCAATGTCAGGCTCAATGATCCAGTGGTTGCTATCTCTATTTGGTGGTGAATTGGTGATAGAGAGCGGGATAGCAGTTCCTCCTGCAGAGAAGATATGGGATAAGAAGGACGGAGATCAGTCAGATTGCAGGGATGGCTATGAGGTTTGGCGACGTTTTGGATGTGGTGAAACGGTTTTGTAGTGGCATGTAACGGGGATTGAAAGATGACAGATGAAGGGATATCGGATCGAGTCGATCGGATAAGGGTCGATGGAATGAAAGGAAGACGGCCAATGAGGGGGAAGGGAGAGAGCGGTAAATGGCTTAGTGGAGGAGGAGGAGGAGGAGTGAATGCGCAAGCCTCGAGAACTACGGCATGATCAGTATTATTGTGCGTTGTTAACTGAACATCAGCAATCCACCAGGACAAGGTGATGGGAGGTTGTTGTTGGTGACGCGATGAGGTGGAGATGGCTGGGGTGAGATGTGGGGATGGAGTTGAGTGTCATACCACTCTGCAGTCAAATGCTCGACTTCGAAAAAGCAAGAGATCCAAACTAGCGCTGCGTCTCTTGGTATTTTGGTGGGAGGGGTTGATTGTTTACTGAGGATATGACAGTGATGCGGTCCGGGACAAGTTTATGGATGCATGTAGTTAGTGGTTATTTACGTACGGAAGTAAATAAAGATAGATCAGGCGGATGGTTATATTTAACGAGACGATCCACGCATAGAACTCTTGGGATAGCAGCGGGGGGAACTAGTCTAGATGAAAGAACCTGTCCTCCGCCAGAAAATGGAATCCCAATCCAAAATCCACAGCAGAGAATTACAGCCCAACCGCGCAACGGACAAGCCAGCGAGCGAGTGGAGATGGTTGTGAAGGTGGGTTAAACGGACCAAGTTGGTGGGGCAGACAAACACCCGACCCTACGCCCCCAGCCCCCGGATGCAGTCCGTCCTTCGATAGATTTTCGGTCCCCCTGCAAGCTGCAGACTGGAATCCCAAATCAGGATCAACAGGCAGGACTGTGACCTGACGGGGCCGTGCCACCTCCAACTAAATAGCCACTAGCCATGTCGGATCAAACCTCTTCCTACGCTCAAGTCGCTGCTGGAACCGCGGGCTCAAGCCAGATCCAAGGTTTATCAGAGCACCAGTATGAGAGAACTGAGCATCGGTTCGTTCTCTCCCGCCAGTCGTCCCTGGGGTCAGCCAGCGGACTCTGCGCGGGTTTGAAGCCGTGCTGGGACTGGAGGGGTTGGTTATGGTCTATTTATGATGGAGATTAGCCATGGAATGTCATGGATGTGCGATGTCTTAGCATGAGGAGTTCTGCCGATGTCATTAACTAATTATGGCCCTTCGGAAAATGAACGGCTAACTATTTACTGGGCTGTTTGCTGCCTAACTGCTGCATCGCCATGTTGGGAATCAAACCAAGAATAATCAACCTCCTGAGCGAATTGTTTGTTGCTCCCACAGTTAGTTAATCGATGCGCCCGCAGCTACACACGCAAACGGTTGAATTTGGGCTAGGAAGTAAATAATCTAACTAGTTAGATCCAATCAAATCATTGATCCTCTCAAGCTTTTAGGTTGAACCCAGACGCCCCTTTTAGATCCGCGTGTGGCTCAAGCTTTATTCTTCTGAAGGTTCCATTGCATCCATCTCAACTGGCCAAAAGAGAGATCTATGTCATTATGACTGACGCTTATGGACTTTAAATGCCCAAATCAATGCGCAAAAGTGACTGTCGATTTCTCCAAGCCAATCGGCATTCCTTGAGTCCATTTCTACCTCGTTTGGGAAACATAGTAACCGCATCCATACGAACAACAGCGTATGCTCTGCTATGGCTCACCATTCGGCTTTCAGTAATTCCTTCGTTTTTGGGCGCATTTGCCTCTTGATAGCTCTGCTGCCCAGTAGTCGCCAGTTGTACCTGGGGGCCGGAAGGGCGTGCGTGTCAGAATCTTTAAGAATTCGGATCAAATCAATTTGCGCCTCCTGAGCCTCAGATCCTGAGTATCTATCGTATGATAGACAGACCAAAAGGCAATATATATATCTCGAATTCCTCCCATCAGGAACCTGTCTTCCAACACAGAAAAACACAAAGATCTCAACTTCTATCTCTCGCCGGTTGATGCTCAAACCTGATTTCAACATTGCCAATTTCTTTAGATCAAAACCTCCAACAATGCCCTCTAATACCCTTCTCAAGTGTCTGACCGAACCCAATCCCCAGGTTGACAATACCCATTCGTTGACCGGTCGCCCAACCGAACACCACAACGGACGTGCTATATTATTCGTAATGGGCCGACTTCAACTTAGCAGAACAGTGGACGAAATCAGAGGACAAAACCTCCGTGGCTAAGGGGTATCCTGATTGGCCGGCGTTTGAGGAGGAGAAGCATATCATGCCCAATGGAAGTGTCTACTCCTGGGGGTATCGAAGCTTTCCAAGAAGTGGATTTCGGAGGTCACTGAAGACACCGACAACGACGTGTACCAATGACCTCTTGCCCAGGTTGAATTACACTTGTGGAGTAACTGGATCTCAACATGGACGAAATTCCATTTGAGACATATTCAACCGATATGTTATATGTCGGTCGATTGGGCATCTGATGAAGTTGGAAGTATAAAATCTCCTGAGGAACAAAGCGTGTCTTTCACCACTTCTTCAGGGGATGATCACGGGCAAAGCACGTCTCTCACCGCTTCATCCCAACAGAGATTATTGGGCAGAGTTCGTCTTTCGTTGCTTCTTCTGAAGGGGGATAGCAGGGCAGTCGACATGAAGAGTATTCCGTGGTCGAACCCGGAAACTTGGCAGGGTTACAGTCAAACTGGCTTCTTGGTGGTTGCATATGATGGCATTCAATGGTGATAGCTGAGCGGTACCCGTCAGTGGATCCTTGGTCACCAGTTGACAATTATTACCGTCAGAGCTCAACAGAAAGGAAAACAAGGAGCCTACCGGAGGATGCCAAGATTGAGCCGATCCCAACCTCCATCTCAACCAGTTCTGCGCCCAGCACCTCATCAGCTCGAGATTCTCCATAACTAGGTTCTCCTCTAGTTACAAGGCGCAACTCAACCCGATCGGAGAACACCGCCACGGTGACAGCGGATTTTCGGCAGGCTTCTTCTAGCCCACTCTCATCACAACCACCAGACTCGCTACAAATGTCCCCACCGGTCATGATGAGATTGCCAAACTTGACAGCTGAGCGCATTTTCCGCATCCGATGGGATGATCGTCCCCCCAGAACGGAGCGTATGCAGAAGTTATCTTACATGTGATCACCGCGCAGGGTCGAATGAGCGACGGGACTCCAGTACACAGCATAACGAGGGGAAAGTGGTGCCAGGCATTTCTCGATGACAACAGGAATGCTGTCCGGGTTCCAAAACATCGCACCCAATGAGAACGCCGTTAGGACGGGGTTTTGCTTTTTCTTCTCTTTTTTCCTTCTTTTTTTCTTTGCCGTCTCTCTCTCGTTTCTTTCTCTGGGTGTCGAATAGCGAAATGGGTGACGTGGGACTAACTTCAGTCGTGTTTACTCTGACCTTCCATTGCTCCATTGCAGATATTGTAGGATGTAAGGTATCATAGGTCTGGTCTACTAATCTAATAGCGCTGTGGGAGTGAAAAGGTGAAATATGTGAAATATGTTAATTTCGGCAGAATTTCCTGGTGCCAGTAAATCGCAACTACTAGATAGCCAATAGCTCCCCTAGTTTAAAAAGAACATAGAAAAGAACCAACTTTGGAACCGTTGAAGCAATGGCTGACGGCACCCGTAGAGAAGCTGATTAATTATCTGCTAAGACCTGAAAGGCTGCGTCGCGAGAGAGGAGATTTCCTGAACATATTATTGAAGATTAAGGTGTATAAATCGTAGAACTCAATTCAGAGTTCAGTGACATTTTCTTTGCCGCTCTCTTTGCCGTAAATTGCTTTTGAGTCCTTGCTCCTAGCGGCCGATATAGAATGTTTGTCTCCCATTGGGAGTTTCCACGTATCGACTGCATGTTGAAACGATTGAAGCAACTCCTACGCATGCTGCCTGGCCATAACTTCCGGACGTAAGAGTATGTTTTCACTTCTCCCAGGTCGACCAGACGCGCTCTCCGCTCAATCTGCGCTTGCGTTGCAGCTCAAGAAGAAGATCTTCCTTGTGGTTTTATTCGGGATGTAGTTAATCATTAGCAATCACCCAGCAAGAATCCTAATGCGCAGATCAGGAGAAAGGTGTGAACTGCGCTTCCGTGAGCTTGATCCAGCCATGACACTTTACTACCATTCTGCCCTATGCCGTAAAGTCGAGCAAAGAAACAACTCTCGTGGGAAAATTGGTAATGTGTATGGCTTCGAGCGTTCAGGGACCCACGGAATTCCCATTGCTTGAACTAAAAGCGAAACAAGCGATGTGAGATCCCACGATCACACTCAACCTACCCCAATCTTTGACAAACAGCTTCTCGCATAAATTAAGAGAACCTGTTAGTTTCATGACAGATTTAATCTGCTCAAATCTGTACCAAATACACCGTGCCCTCTATACCCTGCGAAATGATCCTGATGAGGCGGACAGGTAGGTTTCTTACAATGGATCAATCGTCGCAGCAGTGGTTTTGCCTTGGATTTGCACGCCAGGTTAACTATCCATTGGAAACTAGGAGAGCCACCTCCCAATCATGGAATCATTCATGATGGCAGCCCTGGGGAAATGAGACAGCAGAAAGAGACGCTGTTCCTGGCTGTCCCGAGGAGCAACAGGCACGACGCAAAAAGAGATTATAAACAAAAGAAATTTGGGAGAATGAACCTAAACTACATGCCCGCTTAGTCAGCAATTCCACTTGCTGATAGGAACCCCTTTTTGCTTATACAAGGATAACTATCATTCCCAAACCTTTTACGGTTTGAAATAGTGTCGTTTAACCAGCCTGCTGCATATCCTTGAGGCTAAATCGCATGTTTTGCCAGGTCCTCAAAGAGGAGACCCCACCTCATCTGGGATGAGGTGGTAACTCGCAGTGAAAAATTTCTGATACCTCTATATAGGGACAACAAACCTACGTTTCCTTTGGAGGGTTCATGTGTTCCTAACTAATGAACCAATGACATCATGGCCACCATTCACATACAGAGATGCTGGCATCATGTTAATGATGGAAATTCAATGTGGATGAAGAGGAGAAACCTGATTTTGTGGCTATTTACCTCCGAGTTACAACCCTATATATGAGTATCGGTCCCAACGGCTCATGATCGATCACATAGAGACAGCTTCTGGTATGCAAGAATGACGGGCTTGTCAACTGAAAGCGGTTATCGCCCTTATTGCCTTGCTCGCTTCCGCTCCTCCGGCTATGCTGGTTGTCTGGACATACTTTCGTCAGCAGAAGAAATGGACTGTTGCTGAACATTGCGGTGGGATTCTGCTATCCCTTCATCTTCCAGCTGGCGTTGAAAAAGATTGTGCTAACAATCCCCCATTTTATCTTTCAAGTGTAGGTTGGAGAAGAGACGTTCCTGGAACATCTTCAACGCTTGCAAGCAGCCGTGTACTCTTCACGAGCATCATTCAATTCAAACAGGCATGCCTTCTGTCATCTTCGGAGGCTTGGAGCACATCTGAAACATCTCGTTGCGTTATCATTGAACAGGGTTGGTTATTCGGCGTCGGGGAGTAGCAAAGTGAGAGAGGCGGGTCGCGTTCAGATAATAGTATCCCCCCAGCGACCCGCAATTCGATGTGTAGCTAACATGAACAGGATATTCACAAGTTGCAGGGTTGGCATTCCGGCATAAGGTGTCAATAGTTGAGGGTTTAATCATTGCATCCCCTTCAGCCAACGGATGAAAGTGGTTTTCTTTCTTTTCTTTTTGTGGATTTGAATTTGCGTGTGTTTTGTCAGTTCATGATGTCAACATCGACCTTCACTCGCACTTGGCGGCCTCTTTTGGGGGCGGAGTACCAACTTGGCATCGCTCAACCTTATGAGGCCTTTTTCCATCAGTATAAGCGGGGGTTGAGCACAAATTAAAAATCTTTGATGTTTCCTGTTAATAAATGAACGTGGCTAGGCCATTCTATTGTCTGTTGCTTTACTTTTGTCCATGTCTGTCAGGGCCAGTTGTTAGAATGGATGCACACGAAGTAGGGATGTATTCTGTCAATGACTCAAAGAAACGGATACTGATAAAGCTGAAACAGTACACCAGTACTCCTGAGATTCAAACGAATATGCACTGGGAAAATAGTATGGGAGATCGTCTGGGTTTTTACATGTTCTATTTTTCTCTGGGGAGCTTGGGATGGAACGATGACTATGTTGACGGGGAGGAAGCGCCAAACGATTATCGATATTCCACCAGCAATCCTAGTCGTATGGAGTGTTGTGTAGATGTTCTGTAGAGAGTTCACTGGATACTTAATCCTGATTGTTGATGGCGGTTCAACTCCTGACGACAAACCATGGGTATCCGAGCATATTACCCATCCCTTACCAGAAAACGAATAGTTATCTGTATCATGATCTATCGATGCCATATGACAATGATATTTCGGACTTCAATTTCAATACCTTGATACCCCTTTTTCCGTACGTTCGATCCGACTGTAGTAACAAAATACCCTGAAGCACCCCTGAAGCCATTTCTGCTCTCTCCTAATCTTGATCTCCCATCCACTCTGGAGTGCGAAGTTTGATGCTCAGCCTGACTCTGGGAGACATCAGAACGCAGACGTCCGAGACTGCCCCGACGATGGGTCCCCTTCAAGCGGGGATGTTAAACTTCACCCAAATAAACTATCCAACACTGCCATTGATCAACCAGAACGCAACACCATCACTGTCACACGTAAGGCATCACGCTCGGAGTTCCAGTGTTCTAAATTTTGAAGTTACCTCTCTGGATAGAAACCAAATCCAGAGTGGACCAGTCGAGCAAGAGGGTTTCAAAGAGCTTCCATCTAGGTGGGTCCGCCTTCATCATTGTTCCAGTTCTCTAGCATTCCGCTAACCGCTCACTTTTATAGCACCGGTAAGCTCCGGCGGACGTGCCATGAATGCGGCCAGGAGTTGACGTCACTAAAAGACTTCAAGCGCCACCACACAGCTGTCCATGAGAAAAGAAGGCCTTACCGTTGCACAATCGCAGGCTGCAAACCTGAGGATAGCCCCAAAGATAACTGAAAACGACATATGCGACATAAGGCATGGAGAAACCGCACAGAATCATACATTGCACTGCGTCAGTTCCCAAGTTCCTGATATCGCAACAGTTGTCAGTCAGCAAAAGGAGAAAAGTTGAAGAAATTGAAGCGGTGGCGGATGACCCAATGGCTCAAGAGAGGCTAGTTGGTATGCTAGCACAGGTAAGGCAGAGGAATGTGGAGTTGGAAGAGAGGTTAAAAGTGATAGATAGTCAAATGAAAGCATTCAGAGAAAAGTATGAGAATCAGGTGGATACGCTGCTGAGCCTGTTGGCCGAGAGGCGAGGGAGCCCAGCAAATCCAGCCAGTGAAGCTGGCTAAGAGTAAATGAAAGATAAAAAGATGTATATACCACCAAGCCAAAAAGGAATACCTAAATATAAAAAGTGGTGTACCCCGGAAAGGAGAGGAGGATTGAAGAAATTATATAAAGTCGAAACGTTCATGTGAAGAATAGGCGAAATATGAAGAAAATTCGAGAGTGCTGCTGCACCCCTCAGCAATCGCGGTCTTGTGGTCTAGTGGTATGATTCTCGCTTCGGGTTTGCCCGGTTTAAGTGCAACTTAATCTCTGATATGCGAGAGGCCCCGCGTTCGAGTCGCGGCAAGACCCTGAGTTGTACTTCGTCTTTTTTCTAGCCACATACATATATATATATCTCTCAGAAAGTCCCTTCAGTCCTTCACTTCCTCCTCCTTCGGGTGTTTTTTGATAATTACTTATTATCTCCGTTCATCCTTATGTCTCATCATCTGGATTTTTAATATCCAATATAAATTGCTCATGTGTTTTGAGATTTGCTGGACAGTTTGATGGTCCCTAGTGGATAACATGGCCATCCTATGTACATCGGACTGAAGCAGCAAACCCTGCAAGTAGGAAATGACCGAATTCGAAACATAGGATATATTGTTCTGATTCCTCAGCGGTGGGTCTCATTTAGCAAATGCGACACTGTTCGACTCTCTCCCACGTCACCCTATCCCTCCAACAATAACCTTAACAACTGCTGCATATCACAGTTCTATGGCTATTCATCTGTCCATACTTTTATGCTATTTACGGAGAAGTCGTCTAAGGTTAGGAACGTGACAGCGACGAAATTAACCTGGCACCAGGAAAGTGGAGAGGAGGGAAGAAGAGAGAGAGAGAGAAAAAGCAACGAAAATTTTTATTATTGTTTCAAAAAGGGCGTGTGTAGTATGATTTATGATTAATTAACTTGGGAGACGAATGACGTCCGGGAAGTGGGAATTATTTTTCTCTAAACATAATAATAATAATAACCTATCAGATACCCTTTTATTGGATAACCTGTATTTCCGAAATTTTATCTGTTAGCCAAACAAGCACTACGAAAAGAACCCAGTAAAAAGAAAACACAGAACATAAGAGCGTAAGAAAAGGAGAGAAACGAAGAAAAGGGGAATATGTAAATCAGCCAGCCATACGATAGAGGGCCGAATAAAATCAAGTTCATACCTTTTCACGCAACATCCCCATCCATTGTGGCAAGCTGACTCCCTGATCAGCCCGATCCTCAACCAGCATGGTCTGTGCCCACAGTCGCAAACCAGGCTCCCCATCCTCCTTTACAACATAAAGATGCGGAACAATTATACTGCCAACACCACGCGATTGCTGATCGCGACTTTTCTGCACAACGGCGCGCACCCTCTCATTGAAGTCATTTTCCAGCTCCGGCAGGAATTGCTTCCCAATCTTCATATGCGCCCTCTCTTGAATGCCGAAGACATCTAAGAGAAGCTGGGGAACGGTGTCGCGGCCGACCCACAGGAATTGCGTCTGGCCATCGTCAATTAGGTAGAGACCGTAGGGCACGAGGCGTTCAGATGATAGGTTACAGCGCGGAGGCAGGATGATTTCTCCCGTCTTCTCGTCTGGCATGCCGGCGTCGTCAGGCATATCATGGAGCGAGTAGAGTTTTGGGTAGATGTATTGGATGAGAAGAGAAAGTGGTAGAGTAGAAAGGAGGCAAAGGGCCGCTGATCGCATATCCGTCGGGATCTGCGATGACTTTCGAAGTCCGATCTATTGACGTTTAGGTAAGTTCATGACGGGCCGTGTGTTGCGAGAATAGGGGGCATCAAATATGTATCTTACATTTTTCATTAAAGCCAGGAATAGAATTGGCAATCCCCGTAAATTGGCGGGGAACTGCAACCCACCTCCACCAACACTTCCACCTGCCAGCTCTTTTCTGTATGTTGCCAATAGCTCCACGATCTTGGCTTGAAGTGCGTCCCGGGCTGGCTCCAGACCGCTCCCAAGCGTACGCTCAACTGCCTTGTGACTAAAATAGGTAATAATTGCCGATTGGTCTGCTGAGGAATAGACATCCGCGAGCGATTGTGTCGTGGGGAGGGCTAACGTGATAACTCGGATCCTCCGTTCGCCATTGCATGTTGTATGAAGGACAGCAGTTTGCAAGCATATGATCGGCCTCGTGACGGTTTCGTCGATAGCTACCTCTACAACATATGCCTGATCGCGGGGGAAAGCAGGGAAGGCACAGAGATCTGAGCTTCTATTGAAGAAGTTACCGTAGAACGTGCTCATCCTTAACCCTGTCGTGGCACGCACACGCAAAACAGCTTCCAGGCCGATTTCTGCTGAAAGGTAGTCCGAAAACTCCTTGGCAAACTTGATAGCGTCTTCGCTCCGGCCCGCATTCCAGCCAGGGTAGAAGTATGTCTGACCCCCGGTGTATCTTGGTAGATTGCTAAGGGATGCCACGTCCTGATACTGCGATGAAAACAGGAACATATCCACGGAAATCTGCTGTTTGGAACACTCGACTGCGAAACTCTTGTAGAAGCTATTACCGGTCTGAAGCAACGAACTTTCCTTGCTAGTTCCAAGAGCTTTCTTATCTTCTCTCAATTCAAGACTTCCGAAACCAATGCTAGGGAGTGACGCTGTCAGCACGGTCATCTTTCCGCCAACGGGGCTGATAAGCTTATGGCCCGCTCGAAGGGCTGAACCCATGCACGACCCGTTGTTTTGAGTATTTTGGAACATTTCTTGCAGTTTATCCAGGAACAGTTCTATGTTCTCTCGGCATTCCGTTAGTGTGACCAATAGATCTCCAGGAATCGGGAGGAACGGTTCATCCAAGTCGCTGACAACTAGCATTCCTGGATTTGAAGCCTCCGAACCATCTCTTGGTATCGTGAAGTAATGAAGGCTAGAATCCACCGCAATGAATCCAAGCCTAGTTCGGCGATCTGCATTTGGTATTCTATCAAGGCTTTCGCGGATGCAGCGTGCGCTGGTAGCCAAAAGTCCGGTGGTGACAGACGCAAAACTAACATCAATCAAAAACAAGTAAACGAGAGGTTGTGGAGGCCGGACCATATATTCTTGAGGCGCCACAAACTCTACAATAGAGTGGTTAAGCTCAGGCCGTTGCCATCTATCGAGCGCCTTTTGTGCGGCTGCATCCCAGTCGAATGCCTGCGGCACGTCATTGGTGAGGTTGCACATATTGCAACGCCAGCGATGACCATGGTCGAGAAACGTCACAAACGGGTTGATATAAGAACGACATCGTCGACATCGGGAAATCACTTGGTCGGAGACAATGGGGACCGGATCTTCGGCATCATGGAGGGACGCATAGGGTTGGATGACCAGAGCAAATGGAAGACGAGATTTCTTTAGCAGCGAGTGCGTGGTCGGCACAGCGTTTAGAGTAGAGCGCACATATTTCGGAGGGCAATTCGCCGTTGGAGATGGGGTGACACTAGACTGGTATACGTTAGAATCAAAATAAAAAGTAATGATTCACCAAGTATATCCACTTACATTTGGGGGTAAAATAATCGGTGGTGGCGGATAATCCAGTTCCGCGACATTGAATGGTTGTGTAAGCAGATCTGTGGGATATAGCTGATTGAGTGGTTGACCTCTCTGGGCTGGCATTTGCTGAACTGGAGGTTGACCGCCCATGCTCATCTGGTCCATTTGCTGCGTTACTTGACCTATACCGACCGAAGGTTGGGACTGATAGCCTCCGACTGGCGGTTGATATCCTCCAACGGCCACCGGCTCAAGTTGGCCACCAACCATTTGTGGAACCACCTGAACCGGCGCTGCCCCGTAAGCACCTTGAGGATAACTCTGCGGTTGCTGTGGTGCGGAATATTCGCCATAAGCCCCGCCACCTTGCAGCTGTCCTCCCAGGGCAGCATTCTGACCAACTCCAAACTCATAAGCCTGGCCAGCGTATGCTCGTTTCTTTTTACCGTGGAGGCCACCTGGTGCCGGGGCTGAAGCATCGGGCTGGGTTGGAGAACCTGGGACTCCGTATTGCTGTTCGCCGACATAAGGTGGTTGTTGTTGTTGTTGAGTATGCCCATCTTGAGGCTGGCTTCCAGGAGGAAAGCCTCCCTGTGGTGCCGCCATCGGGAACGCAGAAACTAGAACTGGAAGTTGAAAAGAGTCGCGACAACACCCAGCTTCTCAAATGCGGTAGAACAGAGGAAGCAGGACAATGTTGAGGGCGAGTGGATTACAACGTTCAGTCAATGCCCAAGCTTCTTGGGGAGGGACAAACGGTGTTAGTTTTGGAGTTCCAACAGGTTTCGCAACTCATCAGAAATGCATCCACAGCACATTGACCGTCGCAGGCGTCGCAGGCCAAAAGAGCAGTTGCGAAAGATGTGGAGGAGAGGATCGGGTCGACGTGGCTTCAGGTGGTTGATGGCTGCGGCGTTCTGTGTATGCTGTAGGAGCGAAACCGGAGTTGAGGTTGGTGTTGGTTGTTGGTTGATGGTTGCAGTCTAAAAAAGAAGTACGGTGGCCTTTTTCCGCCGACGCTGACACATTCAACCCCCACCAATTGGAAGCCCTCTTGTAATTTCGCTTAGCAAGTTAAGATCTAAATATGAATATCTCAGCCATCATCACTTCTGAAGTGTGTAATTATAAAAACAACAAAACAAGATAACTCTTAAGTATTTAATATAATATATTACATTGGTAAATTACCCTATTATACAGGTATTATAAGGGTGGTTGTTGAGAACTTGAGATATTAAGTTAACATTTAAAATCATATAAATTTGGGCGTTGGGCCTTTGATCAGATACTGATATAACTAATCAAGTACATATGACTTTGTTAATACTTCTGGTATGAATAGTATCCTTGAGTCATTGAAGAAGCTGAGATGGATAGTAAACTTCTAAAAATACTTGACGCTCACTGTGGAATTCCCTCCCCTCTCGCACTCGTCGCGATCCCGATCCAACCCCCGATCGTTCTATGGAGGTGAGTTCTTTAGTTTTATGACACTAGGTTTCTCAAAGAATTGATCAATAGCAAGCCATGCCTTATGTGGAGGAAAGAAGACTCAATTGCCACTGCGTACAGGTAGCATTGTATTAAGAGACTTCATCCACTCGCAATAGTTAGTTACTCTGGATAAGCTCCGCCTACAGCAAGTCCTGTCACTTGAATGGATTGATCTGGCTCCTCGATAACCATTATATTCCGTGGATGCAAAATCACCATGTGTCATAACAATTCAGTGATCGCCGCGAAGCATAGGTGCACAAACTCAACACAGGCTCTCATCGTAGGTGGGTTGGCTACCCGAGATGAGGAATTTGTTGAACTGGACTTCATTTCTCAATCTGCTGGTGACCTTCTCCACTTCCACATTCCGCAGTTAATGCAGGAAGATGATTGCCACTACCAAGGCAATGAAAGGATCATGAGTGTGTCCGAAATTTTTCCAGGATAACATCTAATTGATCTTAAGCAGAGTTTTTTTTTTTTTTTTTCATCTGTAGATAGAGAAGACCAGAGCTTGATAAACTGATCAATAATATTAATAGCTTTTATAATTGACAATCTCGATTCTCTAAAGGATTCATATTTATATATATTGACTTCTTTTCTAATTACCTAACACTTTAGCATTTGAACAGATTTATTGAACTATTATCTGCTCATTTATAAAATCTTTATTAGGATGTTACACTAGGTTTATATCTTATTAAATAAATTATAGAACTATTAAATTAACTCTGACTTAGGTCTCTAAAATTTCTTTTGACATTTATCTTTTTTGTCAATATAAGAAAATACTAGAATTGCACTTTAAGAATCTAAAGATTTGTTCTTTTTCAAAAGCAGTATCCCCATTAAGCTTCAAGACTTGAGAGACCATTTCCTCATAGACGTGGATGGGAGAGAGAATGAAATTTGACATTTTCATCTAGAATTCATGCAACTGGGTATTTCTCTTGTTCAGAGCTTAATCTTTGTGCCTGCTAATGGGCTAAATTGCAGTTGATTCTGCTGGCTAGTCAGTTACATAGAGTGATTCATGAAAGCTTGTAAGCTGCAGCTGCAGCTTTACAGAAGAAATAGAGTCCATTTCCCAATTCTCCAATGGCTTTTTGAATAGATATTTCACGCTGGGAGCTCATTTTGAGAAGGTGGTGTGAAGATAATTCGCGATGAATTGAAAGATAAAGAATTTATGGCGACTAGCTATTGTTAGTTAGGAATCATGTGACCCCTATGCAATTGTGCTCTTCCCTCAAATAGTTCAGTGTAACGATTGGGTCTTCTTGCCAGGTTGTCTAACAGTTTGACGGCTTCACAATCCACAGTTGACCCCTGAGCAGACATATCAAAGGAACCAACATTCATACAGGCCTTTGATATGGACGATATTAACTTTTATCATCCGTGATAACCACATCCTCCCCATTGTAGTCGCACTCAGTGGCAGCTTTGTAACTATCTACAACCATGATAGTCGAATGAGCTCTCGTTGCTTCAAGATCGCTCATCAAGTTTCTCCTCAATTCCTTTTCCAGTGGTCTAACTCGATTAACCTGGGCATACAAAATATAAAGCGCAGTCTGATTATTGAATCATGATTTCTCTGACAGGGGCCCGGAAGCTCGGGAAAGAAATCATTAAATTTCTTCTTTGGCCCGTACCAGATTGAGTTGCTAGCCACAATCTTTGCAGCCGCAGCATGGGGACGGGGTAGATAGAACTCATTATTACATCATCGAGAAAACATTTCTCTTGAGAATTATTATTGCATCATTTTCATCCAGCAATCCATGGATTGGTAACTTTCAATATTGCGTTTTGCAATAATGACCTCAACCCCAACCACTATAAAAGCCAACTTCTTCCGCATGCTTCCACATCGCATGATTGATAAACGTTACAGCTGGCTGCTTACTTGAATTTATATATATCCAGCAGGAAACTGCTATTACAAACGTATATCCCCGCTACTAACATGGGTTACCTCTCCGAATTGGTCAAAAAGGACCACAGGGAGCTGGTGTTGTTCCATAACCAGATTGTCAACGCGGACAACGATATCGACAAAAGCAGGTTTCAACACCAGTTCGTTTGGGAGTTAGCTCGCTATGCTGTGGCTGAGGAACTGCTGTTTTACCCGGCGATTGAAAAGCATTTAGCAGACGGAAAAGAACGGACAGAGAAGGACCGCATGGAGCATAAAAAGGTAATGGACAGGGAGCCATGCCGTCGACATATGAGAGCATATGCAAGCAAAAAGGAGTTATGACCGCTAATACAAATTGTTTTCATACGTAGACCAAAGACCAGCTGATGGAATTCGAATCCATGAAGCCGACGGACCCAAACTTCGAGCCAACAATCAACTCTATCATGAACAACCTATCTTCACCCATTAAAGAGGGAGAAGACGATAATCTCACCGCTCTCGAGAGCGCCATCAGCATTGAGGACGACGAAGAACTTTCCGAATCCTTTAAGCGCACAAAGATGTTCATACCCACGCTCACTCACCCTGCGGCCAAACCCCCCAACCCACTTCCTTTCGAGTCACCCATTGGGCTCTTGACCACACCCATCGACAAACTTGGGGACATGTTCCGCAGGCTTCCACCCCACCGCCGCCATTGAGCTACTGAGTGTTTTCAATATATATTTATGATTTTGCAGGAGGATTTTATCATCTTGTTTTCTAGGATTCTTTTCTGAAATCCACCGGAAGAAAGTGCCTGGGGAATAAACACAACAAGGGGGAAAAGGGGATAAATGTACTCAAATCTAACATTTTGGCATATGTCTTTTCAAGTGAGATTGCTCTTTCAGCATTATTATCTGTTGGAACTTTAAGCAAGCTGTAATCCTTTCCTTTATATATTGCAGCTCCCACAAGACTGAACAAAAAGTCAAGTTAATCTTGTCCAAGGAAAACATATTCAAATGACACAGCAATGTTAGCATATTATTTAAAGTGTTAAATGATTAGTTATACTGCGTTAAACTAACTTATGTACTGTAGTGACAGCCCCGTTCGCCCTCTTCGCAAACTTCAAGGGCTCAAAACGAAGTATCTGGGTCGTGTCTCTCGCTAGCCCACTTTATTTAAATATTCTCCAGAAGAGATCTGGTGAGATTGCACGATACCTAATCTAGATCTGCAACCCCCCTAGTGATATATATATGTGGTTGGGGGCTTGACCCGAACTCTCAATCACAACAGCCACTATGACGTCACCACAAGCATCATCAACCAATCCAATATTGGTTTGACCAAACTTAGACCTAGTAATTGTGCTCACTCCTTCTGGTATTATTTAGATACACATTCCCTACCCTTCTGCTACGTTGGCAGATCAAGCCAGCATAAAATTGTCATGATAGTGTTCTGGTTGTCCATGATTAGCATTCATCTTGGGTAATACACTTCGACCAAAATTTTCATCACTATAACAAGCAATTAGAAGTTGCAAATTGAAGGCCTAATAGAATCTATTCCAAAAAAAATCCATTTTAAAAAAGTTAAAGTGATAATAATTCATATGACAAATGCCAGCACAAACTCCGAAAACACCTTGCTGGATAAAATAATGGGACGCATGCAATTGTAGAGCAATGTACGCAATGCAATATGAACATGCAAGAAAAGGAGAAAGAAAGAAAGAAAAAATACTAACAAGAGAAAGGCAAACGTATGAAACCCCCTGAAGAAATGGGCAGAGAGAGAAAAAAAAAAAAATCCCATATAAATCCCTTACACGCCAACAGCTCAGATCGCCCCATTTACCCCATTACCCCCTTTTGCATTGACACACACACTGACCATTCATTGTGTGGAAGACTGACAAATCGCATTCCTCATATTCTCCACAGTCTTCACCCCAACCCCTCTCATCTTTCCCAGATCCGCCAAACTGCGTATCTGCACTTGCTCGCTGCCACTGATAGCATCGCAATTTTCTTTTCTACCCATATCCATTTCACATAGACAGTCAACAATGGCCTCGGCTTTCTTTATCCCAACGCCTCGCAGCAGCTTTATTTGGTTGATATTGCGGGTGTTGATGGTGTAAAGGATGTGGGCAGAGCGCGGAGTGTCCTCCGGGTTGGGTATGTAGTCGACACTCATAGCCGCATCAGTCTTCGATGTTTGCTGTGATGAAATGGTGGGTAGTAGATGAGACGACGATGGTTTTCGAGGGGGTTTGCTGGCATGAGAGGCTGTAGGTCGTTTCTTTGATAGTTGGATATAACGATTGACGGCCGGTATTTTGTCATCGCTAAACTGCTCATCCGGATCGGACGGTTGGTGTTCATCGTCAAAATCGACATGATATTCAGCATTGAACCTTCCAATTCTATCATATCTCCTCCTCTTAGTTGTGTGTTCTGTTAGCGGTCTTGTCTCCAGTCTCCCATCAAGCGTTTGCAATTGCAGCAGCTGTTCCTGGGCCTTGTTTTCCAATTTGTCTTTCAAAGTCTTTTTTTTCCTTTCCAGCTTTTCATTTCTTGGAAAAAAAGGCTGAGCCAATTGATACATTCTCAAAGCCGATGAATCCTCTCCTCGTGTCTGGTGCTGTTTTCCCATCAGAAGATATGACAACCCTTCTGCTCTTGCGTCCTCTTTCCCTTCAATTCTTTGTTCTAGGAGCTCGAGTCGGCGCTGCACTTGCTCATTCAGTTCGTTGCTGGAAGAATGATCAGTAAGGCATTGTTGCTTCCCAGCTTCGTTCATAGCTCGTGCAGCTAGTATTTCTTCCACTTTTTTCTCCACCATTTCTTCAATCCTCGCAGCAGAAACAGCATCCCAGTTTTGTAAACCGGCGTCTGCAGGACAGAATACTTTTGAAGGACGAAAATGACCAATAGCACTCGCATCAGATCTGCGTTTTAAGGGTGAGGATCGTTTTGGAGCGTCAAATCGTTTAACATGCGCAGGTGGTTTCGACTGTGGCTTGTCAGCGTACACAGCGAATGTCTTGACTGATTTACTTTCCGACGGCTTTGAAGAATCTGTTGCGGCCGGCAGAACAATATTTGCATTGATTGAAACGGTAAGTGGTCGTAGTGGTTGACGATGCATTCCTGGTCCTGTCACATTAGACCCACGAAGTGTGGGCCTAGGATGCCCTTTGAATATGGGCTCATTTTCTACTTCCCGGGTCTCAATCTTCTTGGTGCGGTTTGCGAAGTTGAGCGAGCTGAGGGTATCAAGATGATAGGAACGGGTTGGGGCGAGATTCAATATCATAATGGTGAGTCCATTGTTTTGGCCCAACGACAATATCCTCGTCATTTTCGACTCACGGTATGGGATTCGGGTTTGCTTCTTGCTGATTGCCTCGACACATTGAGCAAGTACAAATAGGCTTTTGTTAATACATGCAGATTCAATCATGCGCTCCTTGCCATTATCGGTCCGCCGGTTGTCCTCCGATCCTGCAAGATCGATGCAAGATGCAAGACTGATACGAGTCTGCTCACCAGTAGAAATCACCAGCTTGACACAGAGTATAGCATGAGATCTAGAGGAGTGAGCATTTAGCTATCATTATAACTTGTCAGTACAGGACTACTCGATAATGTTTTTGACTCATTTTATTTTCCCACCTTCGTTGCTGACGTCGATCTGTTCACATTGGCATGATCATACAACATCTCAAACTCCTTCAAGTTCGGGCAAGGTCGCTCAGTCAACCCAACGACCACAGTTTTTCCACCGGCATCCCGCAGTGGCAGACCTGAGGTTGTTCTTTTTTCGGGGGCCTCGAAGAGGTCGAAGACTTTATCATTGTATATCTCATAGTAGCTCATAACCACATCAACTTTAGTGCCGCCCTGAGAATCCTTCTCAATCTTGCGACTGCGCCTATATATACCGCTCAAGAGTCGTGGAATCACGCCTCTCTCGTTCAAAGATTTTCCTCCCCGCATGGTATGTGTTTTGCCAGTTCCAGTAACCCCGTAGGCAAATATTGTCACGTCGAATCCGTTGAATAGATGTTTTATTGTAGGGGCGACTGAGAACCGCAAATCTCTGTTAGCTTCATGAGTTTTCCTCATCCCGTCGTAGCACGACGACAACAAAAGAAAATGGAAATGGGACAAATCTCACCCTCTCTATCAAAAATCTCCTGCTGCGGCACATCCGCTCCATACACCCCATGGAACTGGAAACTGAATTCCTCCCCCTCATTCTTCGGATTCGGAATCCGCACAAGATTATCCCGATCTCCTCCAACCTCCTGGTTCCCACCATTCTTTTGTTTTTTATCTTTAAATCCTGTCTTCTTCACCGATTTCGCTTCACTCTTACAAGGGGATAATGGATGCTGTGAAGATGGAGCCACCAGTCCATTCGTACATGTTGGTGCGGACAAGGCAGTTGTTCTTCCGGAGCGGACGATGATATCGCTCTCCCTCTCCGTTTTCAGGAGCGGACGGATTCGTGCGATGACACGGACGCTCATAATTTCTGAATTGCTGAGGATAGGACTTGTCGTTGGGGGAGTAAATATATAGTCCTATCGATCTGTCACGGACGCACTAGGGGCTCTTCGGATTCGATTTCGTTTCCGCCAATTCAGAGAGGGTAAACAATAATACGCAATAAAGGTGGAGAGCGAAACCAAAAGTATATAGGAAGAAGAAGAAAACAATTTCGAAAAGCGAGTCCCCGTAATTTTTATCAACCTCGAATAGGATCACCGTGCCGTGTTGTTCGCGGTCTCCGGGGCATAAAACGTTGAACAACCAAACAAGCAGAACCAACCAACCAACTTGATAAAAACCAAATTAAGGCACAAGTAAAGAGAACGAAAAACAACGAAAAAGAAAACAAGAAAGAAGAAAAGGAGGAAGAAAAGCTGCGTCGACTTACCTTACTGTTGGAAGATGATTGTTCACTGTCAGATAATGCAGTCAATTCTCGACAGAAATCTAAGTATTTGAGGAGAACGAGGGAAGTGGATTGCAAAGACAGAACAGCGCGTTGTCATGGCAACGAGGAACCGCCGAGGAAAAAACGGACGGGCCCCTGGTTTTGAGAACTGTCATTAACACCCCTAAAATCCCAGGAGGAAAAGAAGGAGCATCAAGCATAAATCCAATTATTCCTGTTCATCACTCGTTAACTATTTTATTTACGCATAAGCAAAAATCAAACTACCTTTTCTAAAGGTTGCATGCAAAATATGCTCCAACGCCCCGGAAGCGATTTTTGCGTTAGGAGAGTCTAGAATTCAAAAGAGAGCAATTGATTATCTATACATGGCATTGCCCATTCTGTACGTGAGTATGTTTACCAGAATAACGCCTGTTCAAGATCCTCCATCAAGAATAATATATGTATGCGAAATGGCAGTGTGAGGAAGAGTCGACACACGGACGACCTGTTATGGGAGAAATCAAACGCCAGGAACGACTTAGACCTTGGACCCTAGTATGGGGAGAATATATCTAAGGTGAGTGGGAGAGCATGACGAAGGGAAAGCGAGAAAGTAAAAGAAGAAGAAGAAGAAGAAGAAGAAGAAGAAGAAGAAGAAGAAGAAGAAGAAGAAGAAGAAAACGGATATATATTGAAAGGAAATAGACAAGCAAAACACAAACCTCACTTGTCCGCCCAACTCAACTGAACA